GAAGACAAAATTCCAAGAGTGGTACAATCTGCGATCAAAGCTCTGAATGTGCTTTTTGGTCTGCCTCCACACTAAAGCCGATGAATCGCCTTTGCTTTCAGTGGGCATGGTCATCCTTGGACTGTGTTGGCTTGGGCGTCCTCCACGAGAGGTACACTGCATTTTATGTTATTGTTACAATGTTTCTTGATTCCTGTATCAAGTCAACATTGAGGGGACCATTATTTTGGGAAGTAAGTGGTCTGTCCTCCGTAGGTGCAGTTTTGTAGTCTGAAAGGATCTGGTAGTCACAAGTTTTCCTTGTCTATATTTCGTCCAGTAATTGATCTGTTTCTCCCAAGTCACTACTTGTCAAATATAAGGTATTACGGAATCGAACCGCTGCGCCTACCAGGCTACCTTAATCTGACTAGTCCAATCTAAGTATCTAATACACGTTCCAACAACTACTGGCACCAACGGGCGCTCCATTATTGGAGGACGTCTACAACAAGCCCAACAGCGCCAAAATCGAGGAAGTGGGAGTAATATCTGACTACTACCTGTCAGCCGCAGCATCAGCCAAGTTTCACAGATCATTTGTGTCATCTCCGAATACTCAGCAACGCAAAGACTTGGTGTCCAAGAACCTGTGGCTGGCACTTACGCCGACAACAAAATGGACACAAACGCTGACACTTGTTGCTTGGGTAGCAATTTCATTATTACTGCTTACACAAGTCTACCGCCAACGCATGTTCCAATTGTTTCAGGGGCGACAGCATATGATTGTCCAGAAACTGGTTCTACTTTTATTCTGATCATCAACGAAGCGCTCTACTATGGAAACAAGTTGGACCACTCCTTGTTCAACCCAAATCAGATTTGAAGTTACGGTACTCCTCTTTGGGACAACCCATACGATGATATGCATGAAATTGGGATTGAGGCTACGGACTTATTCATACCACTACTATCAAGGGGCACCAAGCTACTCTTTGGCACACGTGCTCCCACTAAGCAGGAACTTGAAACGTGCCATCATATTGAGCTCACAAGTAAAGTGCCATGGGAGCCGTCAACTGTGCAACTTGGGAAACTCTCAATGCGACAAAATACTCCTTTTGAAGATCCACGATCAAATGAATCTGAAATGCGCAGTTTAGATCCTGTGCAACACAACTTACAACAATGGCGTGTTGTACAACAAATCAAGGCAACTGCTAATAGGTTTCAAGATGTTCCAGTCCGGCCATCATTTGTATCAACTGAACGGCACTCCAAAGTCACCGCAGAGAATCTTTCTGATCGCTTGGGAATCAGCATTGCTCGAGCAAGAGCTACATTAAACGCAACCCTGCAACGTGGAACCAGATCAGCTATTATGCCACTTGCAAGGCAATATCGAGCCGCTCGGATGTTTGAACGTCCACGATTGAAGGGAAAATTTTCTACTGATACTGCCTACTTCAAACAAACTTCTCTTCGCGGTAACATTGCCAGCCAGGTATACTTTCACAAATATGGGTTTTACAGTTGTCACCACTTGCAGAAAGTTAATGATGCACAGGTTGGACCAACCTTGAACAAGTTCCTTTCCAAATATGGTTTACCGGAGCACCTTACTATGGATGGTGCACCTGTCCAGATTGGTCGGAAAACTACATTTATGGATACAATTCGTCGATGCAATATCGACCATCACATTTCCAAACCTTACACTCCAAAAGAAAACCCGGCGGAAGGTGGGATTCGAGAGTTAAAACGGAGGTATTATCGATTGATCATCAAACAACGCCTTTGGGACTTTGTCTTGGACTACGTGGTTGACACAATAAATGTTACTGTCAATTATTCAAAGTACTCTGATGGTAGGGTACCTTTAGAAATTATAACTGGAATCACGCCAGAAATCACTGAATATCTGGATTTCACGATATATGGTTGGGTGTTCTTTCGCAGCGATGGCGGCTTGGGAGGCAACCACATTGGACGATGGCTTGGAGTTTCGCACCGTGTGGGACCCATGATGACATATTGGGTTCTCCCAAAGAGCGGTATCCCCATTTCTGTAGATACTGTCCAAATGGTAACCAACGCTGAACAGCTAACTGATTCCGTCATACAACAGATGCAACGTTGGACAGCTGATGTGTCTAAGATAGTTGATGCTAAATCTACTTACATCAACTGGGGGAAGGAAGACATTCCTCATCAAATGATGTTCGATTTTGACGACGAGGATGATAAATTTATGCGCAACTTTGGTATGCTCATCAACCCAGAGACACTGGAAGATGGCGACTTTGAGGGGACGGAAGAAGCTGCAGATGACCTTGATGCTCAAGATTATACCAATATGGAGATTGGTTTACAACAAGGCGCAGAAGGCGAACTCCAAAGGGCAAAGGTGAAACAACGGATAGTGGATGAAAATGGAAGACCAATTGGCGCCGCTAGCTCCAACCAATTGCTTGACACAAGACAATATGAAGTGGAGTATGCAGATGGCGGTACTAAAATATTCGCAGCCAATATACTTGCTGAGAATTTGCTTGCACAGGTCAACGAACACGGACATAAGCACCGACTGATGGAGGAGATTTCGGACCACCGTAAAAACGCCAAGGCAATCACAAAAAGTGCAGGATCGATGCTCCTCCCTAGTGGGCGGACTTGAAAGCGCCAAACAACTGCTGGCTGGGAACTTCATGTGATGTGGAAGGACGGATCATCCAATTGGGTAACACTGAAAGACATGAAAGAATCCTTTCCCCTTGAGGTTGCAGATTATGCCAAGTTAAAGGCTATTGAAGATGAACCAGCATTTGCATGGTGGGTCCCACATGTACACAAAAAGCGTGATCGTTTTATAAGCAAGGTCTAATCAAAATATTGGGAACGGACCGCATCCCTAAATCTGTCAAGGAGGCTATTCAAATTGATCAAGAAAATGGTGATACCTTGTGGCAAGATGCCATCAAAATGGAAATGAAAAACAATTGAGTTGCCTTTGAGGAATTTGGCGGGGACATCAAAAAGCTAATTGGATACAAACGCATCTGACGAAATGCTGAATATTGTGCTAATGGACACAAAACAGAAGCGCCAGCAGCACTGAAATACAGCACTGTGGTAGCCCGAGATTCTGTGCGAATATTACTCACCATTGTAGCATTGAATGGTTTGGATGTCCAGTGCGCTGACATTCAAAATGCTTTCCTCACCGCACCCAATCTTGAAAAGTGTTACATGATTGTGGGCCCTGAATTTGGAGACGAAGAGGGTAAAACATTCATTGTTAGGCGAGCATTATATGGTTTGGAATCTGCTGCGTTAGCATTCAGGTCCCACCTTGCAGAGACATTGGAGAACTTGGGATTTTACTCATCATATGCTGATCCCGATGTTTGGATGGGAGCAGCTATCAAAGCAGATGGGGAAGAATACTACGAATATATTTTGTGTTATGTTGATGACATCTTGTGCATGTCTGAAAACGCTAAAGATGTTATGGAACAGATAAGCTACAAATTCAAGTTCAAGAAGGACAAGATTGAACAGCCTGAAAGCTACCTTGGAGCGGGTGTCAAAAGAAAGGTTTTAGACGGTCAGCACATGTGGACTATGTCCAGTTGTGACTATGTTACAGCTGCTGTCAAAGCAACCCTGAAAGACAATCAGAGGTGGAACTTACCAAAGAAAGCCGTCACTCCAATGAATAGCGATTATACACCAGAGCTAGGCGTTTCAAGTGAGTTAAACGCATATGACCACACATACTTTCAAGAATTGATTGGGGTCTGGTGGGCCACGGAGATCGGACGCGTTGATATTCTGCTGGGAGTTTCTCTTTTGAGTCAATACCAGGCAGGGCCAAGGGAAGGACATATGGAACAATTGTTGCGGATTTTTCCTACTGAATTGATGGATATTCTGGCACGACGACCCAAATATGTTTCGCCAAAAGAAATGGCGCATATTGTGGGGGTCATCAGATCCGCGTCTGAAATTGCGCCTTGGGGTACGTTTCTGAGTTTTAATCTCCAGAACGCGTTGGCTTCTGCTACTCGCAACGCATATTCTACTGGCAGGACTTGGTGGACACGCTCTTGGATATATCTTTCCAATATTGCAATTGCCACAATTCATCAGCTTCTGGAGACTCTACTGCTTCTGGAAAGCTGTCCTTTGTGGTCTAGACCCATTGCACTTTATTTGGAACGTGATCCCACACACAGAGTCTATTCTGATGCAAGTTATGCCGGGATTGGTGGATGGAGTTCTGATTTTGGCTTCCTCTGGCGAATCTGCCGTGATGTCTTGGCACGAGCGGGTTTTGATATGAAGCCGATTGATATTGTGTCTTTGGAGCCTTCAGACATCGCTCATGGGGGTCTACACATCAACCCTTTGGAGTTTCTTGGTGCTTTGCTAAATTTATGGATTACCATCAAGCTTGTGATGAAAGCCGGTCCCCGCGCTGGTGGATACATCATTGATCTTCTCGCAGATAATATAACAGCGCTTTCTTGGATGTCACTTGCATCGCGAACCAAAAATCCTTTGTTACAAGGCTTGGCTCGACTTGGTGCTGCTTTGCTTGTTTGTGCTGCAGAATTACTAACAAAAGTTGCTCCTAAACATTTCCCTGGTGATCAGAACGTGGTGGCAGATGCATTGAGCCGTCCGCCAACACGGGCGTCTCCCAATCAGAATGTGTTGGATTGCGTTATCGCTCAATGGTCCCAATTGGACAAGTGTCGCATCTGTCTTCTACCTTTCAAACTACTCTCTGAGATTGCATTGGTACAAGGTTCTAACGACCAATCTTTTGACTCTTGAGCTGGACATTTTGGATCTTGGTGTACGCACATGGGACTCTCAAAGCACGATTTATGAGGACTAACTCCTGAAACTTGCATTTTGGTCTTGGGTGCTTTCATCAACAAGGTTCAGAAAGGCGACAACTTGAAACAAAAAGAAAATGTGGGTTCTCAAACAATTACTAACTATCTGAACGCCGCCCGCCGTCTCCTTGAGGACATTCAAAGACAACGGATTGATATTCTTGACCCACATTGCACTGGTAAAACAAAACGCTTTCACCCCTTTCTTGGTCAGCAAATTGCTGATAGTAAAGCCTGGTCTCAGCCACGACAGAAAAAAGGAACCGTATACCATGGACATGTTTGTGGCCCTTGTTGAGAAATTTTGCAAAAGCTCAGAACCCATAACTTGTTTCCTTGGGAAAGAGTATGCAGTGTATGATTGGACTCGCCTGGGCGTCTTTGCTGGTTTTCGAATAATCGAATACGCCCAAAACAGCAAAGTGAAGAAGCGGCACAAGTTTCTCTTGGTACCAGCCAATTCTTGTGTGCCTCCGGAGTTTCATCATACTCCAATGGCATTTACATTGGATGATCTTCGATTTTATGATACCAACCATATCTGGGTTCCCCATCAATTGGTCCACACACGGCACTTAAAAAGGGAAATCCTTGAGTTGGAAATCCGTTGGCGTTATGACAAAAGTGCTCATAACTTACAAGTTGAAAACATCTTGAAAGTATGATAAGAGCAAGAAAAGAGCATCTGTATCATTGATCATGTATTACAGTGGTGGAAATATGTTCCATCCGTCATAGGTTGAATAGTCCGTTTAATTCTGGCATGACCTGTGGCCTGAGCATCAGCACAAGCGCCCTCAAGTACAACGTCAGCATTTGTCATCATGCACCACCTTCTCACTTGCCCGCGCCGCTTCTGGAACAGTTATATGTCCAAATTTCTTTTCAAATTCATCACCATTGGTAAGATCGCCTCTTGGACTTCCTTGGTATTTCATTGGGTCTTGACTCTCTCTGTGGTTTATTGTTGCTAGTCCGCTTTTCCCCTGGTCCCTTTGCCCATGTGCTGTCACTACTGCCCCATGCAAAGAGGACCGCCGAGCGCTTGATTGCCAACCTCGACCTGATTGACTTCATTGTCCTACACCATTACCACTGCGGTAGGGCCAACACTTGCTCTCTCTTCTTGACCTCTTGTTTTGTTTCCGACTGGTCCCTGGTGAATAGTCCGCTCCCCTTACTTCCAAGATCTCCATCGCCATCTTAGATCTCCAACTGATTGATCTCCACTGCTTTCGCTCGCTACTGCTTCTTGCTTCTCAATAGCCTTGAATATTTTATGGTCCCTCTTGCAACTCGCTACTATTTTCTATTAACCGAAACGCCGAGACGACCAAAACGAAGAGGCAGTGCGAGTGGGAGCATGAACACTGTTTCATATGCACCTGAAATAACCAGTAGTGGTATGTCGTCAAGACGACCAAGAAGGGGCAGTGCGAGTGGAAGCACGAACCCAATTTCATCTGCAACTGGATCCAAGACAGGATACAAACGTGAGATAGCAGCACTGGAGTTTCTCCTGGGAATACCCATGAAAGCAGAACGGGATATTGTTCACCAAGGGTGGTTACAGCAAAATGGAATGGTAGATATGAAACGAAATAATAAAAAGGCAGACGATGCTGCTGCTATGAACCCCGCCTTATCCCGTTGATAGAACGCTTTTGTTGTCTACTCAGTGTGTCAATAGGCACGAATCGAGCACAAAAAGATTGCTGATTGTTTTTCTGTAAGAGTTGGCTGAAATTCATTGCCAAACTATTGGATTGAATGCCAGGCCCAAAGGAGCCAATCACCGGTGTAGAATCGGTTTCATGGTGAGATCACAACAGAATTCAGAATGGGAGAAGAAGCCAAGAAGATGTCAGATATCCATTACGGTTTGCAGCAGCCAACACTTCGCATACATAGAACATCTCGCCCAAAATCCAAAGGGAATCCTCCAATAAGTGCCTTCTGTGCGTGTCATCTAAAGATAGTGTGAAGGCGGGTTGTTGCCATCTTGACCGGCACGGAATCCCAACTGCTCCATATCACAATTCTCAACAGAGATCCATTTTCAAATTTGGTTCTTTTTTGTTTGGAATACTTGCTGAGATATTGTAACTCCAGTTTTTGGTGCTGTCTTTTCCCCACCGCCCTGACAACAGCCATCTGTTCAACAATACACCAGAGCCTCCCTTGGATGCTTATGTTCTTGGACCCAGGACGTCAAAATGGGGCCAGAAATCATGATAATCTGGTCCAAAAAGCCGATGTGGGCCCAATTTCCTACAAATGACTTGTTTATGTATGAACTGATATGTGGCTTTGAAGTGGAAGTGATGGAATAGCACTCACACTGCTTCGGGGATGAAGCCAGGTACAAGAATGTGTCACAAGCAATCCTCCTCAGTTGCCAAGTCAGTACCCTGACACAATGGCATCAAGTTCAAAGTTGGTCCAAATATATAGGCATTGAGCCCGGTGATGATGATATTGAGCATGAGGATGATAAAGTCGTGCCGCCTTTGGTCTCTTCCTTCTTGAGTGAAAGATATCCAATTCCTTGATCGTCATGGGGTCGCAGGTAATTCATCACTCCCGTACGCTCTCCACGGGGAAGAATGGAAAAACCGATTTGGCCAAAGTAAAAGTCCTGGTCCCAGACTATTACTTTCTTGTTGTCTTGGTCGTTGTTTGACGCTGATAATGCTGCTGCTGTTGATGAGGAATGATAATAATGGTCCAACTCGGAACCCAATAAATGAATGACGCGGACTTGAATGGATGTTGATTTGATGTTCTTGTCATTATCCTTGTCAACACTGGCGTCGTTGTCCTCAACAACGGTATAGTGTTGCTGCAAAAACGGAAAGACCGCTTGATACCACAAGACCCACAGCCAACCATGTCCACGATACTGAGGATTGACGGACATGGCCTCAATGCAGGGGCCAATCCAAGGATCCCATTGATTGTCTCGATAGGACAAGTGACACTTGGCAATAGTAATGGCGGTGGTATCATTATCATTGTCGTCGGACAATGGCATTCGAAATCGATCGGGATGGTCATCAGGCGAGACAGCAGTTGGTGCCATGCCAGTGGTAACACAAACCATAATGGTGGCTTGAGATGAGTCGTCATCATCAGTATCGTGATCTGCAGTGTACAACAGGTTCGGAGATATCGAATGGCTCGTCTGCTCGTGTTTCAGTACCACTCGATGGAATGGATCTTCCTTTTCTAGCTGACAAGCAAACTCGTAGTCTTGTTTGGTAGCCACGTGAAAGACGCCCATGGTCCAAGAAGGTATGGTAATAAGGTCCTCTTCTTCTTCTTCTTCTTCTGGACCAGCAGGAGTAGTACTGACGTCATTGACATTGGAAACATTCCTCAAATCTTCTTGGGGATAGGCGACTCCTCTCAGGAACTGTGACGGCTTATTGCTGGAATCATTGTGAGTAGGATTGCTGTCGTCTATGCCTTTCTCAGCAGCAGCAACAGCATCGTCACTATTGTTCAAATTGGACGAGGAATTGTATATTCGAATGAGGTCATTGTCATCATCGTCCTCGTTTAGTATTGGACCAAAAATAGCAGATGTCACAGGAGCATCATCATTGGGATTCTTATAATTAGCATTCTTTGACTTCTCAGCATCATCATCACCACTTGTTTGGTATTTCGCAAATAGAGTTGCGCAGTGTTCCCATGGCGTAGGATTGGTGGTTCCACACTCACTAAAGTTCCAATTGTAAGCGGACCATGCGTTCTCATCTTGTTCCCAATCACTATTATTATTATTATTACTATTATGAGCAGGCCCCAATAGAAATTCGTAGGCGGTCACCAAAAAGTCAGAAGATTTGTTGTCGTTCATGAGGCTTAAACTGTATTCTGTGTGTTGTTGCCGATCTATATCGGTATATCTAATATAGTTATTGTGGATCATCGCGATATAGGTTCGATATTAGAAAAGAGTGAAATGGGATGACATGTTCATTCGAGCTAGTCGTCGTGAAAGACAAAATTTTCAATTTACTGCGCTGATACCGGTAGGAGTGGGCGAGATGTTGAATTTCTGGGATAGGTATACATAGACCATCGTTTTAACTAACACTATCGTTGATACTTCTGTTGCTGCTGCAGTTTCTTTCACCACGGGGTTCACAATCATTCCAATGCCATCAATCTCACATTCCACCACATCTGACTCCACCACATCTGACTCGGAACCATCTGTCAGCACCAGGAGGATCAAGGAACATTCTGTTCTTTGCAGACTTCGGCGAATGATACCATCTGCGTCCAATAAGTGGTTGACATGATCCAAGGCATCATCCGTTCTATCATCCATTTGTTGGAGCAGACACAATGATCCTCCTTGACTCACTCAACGTTGACCTCATCAATTGCCCTCCAGCGAAAACCAATCTTGTTTAATTGCTCGATTTGGTGTTGTGGCATGCTAGAAAGGTCTAGTTTTTTATACCTGTCTCTTTGAAATGAGATCCATGCGTAGAGGGCTGGGTACTCCACAATTGTAACTTGCATATGCCCATGTTCCTGTTGAAATTGAACAAGCTCCTTGTACATCATTTGCCACTCCACTTCATGACGATCAGATGTCCATGGAAAGCCAATTCGATCCAAGAGATACTGCTCTGATATGAATAATGGCCTGTAGGTAGGAGGAGTCCTCCCTGTGTATGTCGTGCGCTGCTTGGAAACCCATTCATATAGATCAGGGTTTCCGGTTCGATCAACCAGAAAGTGTCCATGTTGCTCCCGAAACTCGACCAGCTCATCGTACTTTTCATACCACACGCGCCTGTGTTTCCCAATTGGCAACATAGGAAATTCGATACTCTCCAACATTGACTTTTGCTCGTCTAAAAGTGCAACATATCCATACTCACATCTAAGTCTCTTGCGCTGTTGTCTCATCCAACGGTTCAGCTCCGGGTCATCTTGGTGAGTAGGAAACTGCCCATCATTCTCCTCTCGATATCTCTCTAGTTTGGCATACATCGTATTCCAGGACATTGGAGGCTGCTTTTCGAAGAAAGCAAAGTCAATCTGCTCCAATAGTTCCAATTCGTCGTCGGATAGTGGTTTTTGACCCTTGGTTCCCTCGTACCTCTTTCCTTGCGTTGCAATCCAATTGTAGAGACTAGGATTTTCCTTCTCTTGGACCCGGACATGACTGTGTTCCTTGTAGAACTCGGCTGCTTCCGTATACTTTTCATGCCACACCCATTCCTTCCAATCTAGTGACCAGCAAAAGTTGACCGCTTCCATTTCGTCGATTTGTTTGTCTGGCATTGGCTGTTTCTCGATGATCCCGTGATAACGTTTCCGTTGCAATCTCGTCCATTCGTAGAGCCCTGGATATTCATCTTCGCTGACCTGAAGGTGACCGTGCTGATTGTAGTAGCTGTTGAGTTCAGCGAGCATATTTGCCCGGTTGCCACGTTTGCTTTCCCAAGAGAAGTTGATCTTGTCCAGCATCTGGATTCGCTGGGTGGAGAGAGAGCCTTTATGACGTTTCTTGCGTTGTGCGTTTGACCATTCGTAGAGAGGGCGATCTTGGATTGTACTCGGCCGACAATGCCCATACTCCTTTTGGAACCCTTCAAGCTCCTTGTATTTGGCGTGCCATTTCAAGTCATGCCGCTCTGGTTGCCATGGGAATTCAATTTCATTCAATAATCCAATTTGCTCGTCGGAGAGAGGAGAATACCAGGAGGAATTTCCGGCACATCGCCACCGTTGCTTGTTCATCCATAAAGCTAGCTTCGCATCCGACTCGACCAATAAATGCCCATGTTTGTTACGAAAGTCAACAAGCTCTTTGTATGTCTTCATCCATGACTCATCATGTTCCGACTTCGGGTCCCACTCGAAACCGATGTTATCCAACAGCTCAATTTGAGCGTTGGAAATTTTTGAATACCCTTTGGTCCCTTTCCGTTTACTGCACTGCGTTCTGATCCATCTATAAAGCTTACTGTTCTCCTTGCTCCTCACACGCAAATGTCCATTGTCATTGCGATACTGAATTAGTTGATGGTACGTGTCATACCATAGAGCACATTGGGAATTAAATTCAAATCCAAGTTCCTCTAGTCGACGACGTTGAGGACTGGACAACTTTTTCTTGGATTCTCCGCGTTGGTCCTGACAAAACTTTGCCAGAGTTGGATATTGATTTTCGAGCTCCACTGCTGGTGCATTGTTCTGGGGAAAGTTACAGTGCCCGTATTCCTCCTTGAACGATTGGAGTATCTCAAATTGTTCATCCCAGTCATATTGTGAGGAAACCTGTTTTTCTTCGTCTATCAATGAATCTTCTGTTTCATCAGAAGCAGTAGCTGACCGTTGGTATATCGAAAGTCGGTGATTATTATGTGATCCTCGTTGTGGTATCATCATCCTCGTTGGACTACTGTAATGTGATGTCTGTTGCCGATCGTCGGACAAGATAGTATCGACTGAACCAGGTTGAAATGCTGCAGTCAGGCCAAGCTGAAGCAAAAGAGGAAGCGCTGATGCCATAATTGAAAGTATCAGGTTCTTATGCTTGTTCTTGCTGTTAAAGGAAAGTGATGATGATGATGATGATGATGCGTTCATCATCATCATTATCATGTCACTCGAACGTGGCTTTATATCAATGAATCAATCTTCGATTCAGTGAAATGATGATCCATCAATGGAGTGTCTTGCAGCTAGACTGTGCCTTCTCTCAACTTTTATCAATGACAGAGTGTCGCGATGAAAGATGCAAGTACAGATATACAGTACAGTACAATAGCTGTTCGAATATCGGTACCGGTACTGGTACGCTTATTTGCTTCTATTGCATCGATCGAATTTTATTGATGGCATGGCGTTAAGTCGAACTAGTCGTAGATAGAAGCAGTCGCAGTGCGCGTGCAGGACAGAAGGCCAAAAGAGACAAATTTCATTTTTTCATTTTTGATTTCATGTTTTTCAAAGATATACTCTACTAGACGTTTCTTTTGTTATAGTTTTGATTGCATCATGGTTGTTGCTTCTCCCTCTGCTGCTGATGATCCTCCTTCCAGTTGAACCACAGGGTTCACAATGGTTCCAATTCCATCAATTTCACATTCCACCACATCTCCCGGAACCAACCATCGCGGAGGTTTTCGAAAACAACCGACCCCTGGTGGAGTCCCAGTGCAAATGACGTCCCCCGGATACAAGGTCATGAATTTGGACAAGAAGGATATTATATCGTCCACCTTGTGCACTAGATTTTTGGTATTTGAATTTTGCAAGGTTTCTCCATTGACCCGGCATTGAATGTTTGCATTTTGTGCCATTTCCAAGGGCATCTCGTCAGTTGTCACAATGACGGGCCCAATGGGAGCGTACCCATCGCCCGCCTTTCCCAACAACCACTGTCCACCATTTTTTTCTAGTTGCCAGTCCCTTGCAGAGACATCATGGACTACCGTGAAGCCTCCAATGCATTGTCTGGCAACTTCCAAAGAGGCATTCCGCGGAACGACCTTGCCAATGACAACACCCAATTCGGCTTCGTAATCCAATTTCTGGGTGATGCTTTGACATGTCGGAATTGGATCCCCCGTTCCGACAATGCAAGAACCAAATTTGGAAAATACCATTGGTTCTGTTGGAATTGGTTTGTTGAGTTCTTTGCAAACGTCAAAGTAATTCATTCCAATCCCAATCAATTTGTTGACTTGCATTTTGTCCAATGGCGCCAATAACTTGCAGTGTCTAGCTGGGATGATTCGAAGCTTGTCACTTCTTTTTCCTGCAATCAAATCCCTCACACTTTGTTGTTGTTCCATCATTATTGTGCTGGTGGTGGTGGACAACAATGATAATAAGGCAAAGAATGCGGGAACATCTTTGGCAATGGAAGACAAGTCACAATAATCTCCGTTATCTTTTAACTGAGCTGCCAACACTGTTTCGCCCAAATATTCCACACGAGCAAGACGGACCATTTTTGCTCGGTAGAAACAAGAAGCTGCGATGATGATTTTGTTTGATGTATAGTTGCGCTGTTGATGCGATTTTGTTTGGGTTTGAATCTTATTGTTGTTGGCGGCGTGCTGAAAAACAGATGGGCAATGTCATGGTGTGACGTCATTGAAAGATTCATTCCGACGGGTCGTCTGGGAAGCCGAAAGAAGCCACAAAATTCGAAAATCCAAATACTGTACAGTAACGTCATGGGCAGATGGCCAAAAGTGGAAGAATGCCAATGCGAATGATGAATAAGATCTTTGGATGATTCAACCATGACAATAATCCATGAAACCATGAAACCATGAGTGGAAAGTATTAACTTGTACATTATTATTCTAGGATATAATCCAATGAATGGGTTGCAATTCGAAATGCTTGGAAATGGTACAGAACTGTCGGATGATGAAACTACCAGGCGAAACAATTGCATCACTGGCACTTTTTTGGTGAAAAACGTTTCGACCACTATATAGGTATAGTTGCAAACTACAGATAGTTCATAAAGTGTGTGTGTGTGTATATATCTTGATATATATTGTTATAGTGATGTTTCTCTATTATAATAGTAGTTGTATCATATTGACTAGCTAGGAGGACCTAACGTAGTAGTCAACGCGGATGCGTGTTATCAGTTGAATTTACTCCCGCATATCGACAGGGACGGGCACCATGGCATACTCCAAAGATACTTCAAGCATACCGTTGGAGCAGCACATTTTCTTGAATCCCAAATCACAGCAAACTTTGGGAGACTCGCAATCAAAGGAAGAATTGCAAGTGTCTTCCAACAAGCCCTTGGCAAAGTTCTTCATGAACGAAGGTTGTTGCTGCTGCTGCTGTCTCTGCTGACGTTCCGTTTGTTGTTGGGCTGCCAAATTCAACTCTTGTTGTTGACTCATTTGGGCAACTTGCGCCTCCACTTCCATGAATTCGGAAAGACTCATTGGATTCAATCCAAACTTTTTGCGAGAGGCATTCTTTTGATTCCATTTGGATTCCAATTCGGGTGAGAGTTCTAGTTCATCCACCGGAGAGGAATGCAATTGCATACTATGATGCAAGGGTCGGTGCAAGGAGGATGCGGAAGAGATTGGAAATGCCTGAACTTGCTGAAAGTTATCCGCAGGACAAAGAAGCGCAGTGGCTGCGAGTGTCAACAAGATGGAAGTGGAAGCGGCTTTGTGCATTGTGATTTTGTGTTTGTGTACTTGTTTTGTGCTTGTTTTGTGCTTGTTTTGTGTATTTGCTTTGGGTTTGTATCTCGTTAGATTATACTGTATTGTATTTTATGATTATCAAAAGGATACAAAGGATACAAATGACAACGATAGCGACGTTTGATGAACCACGAATGCGATTTGTGTTTCTGGTGACAGAATTTGTTGCGTGTTTTGTGAGATTTGGTGTCAAAAACTCGCTCTACCTACGACTGTACCACGTCTTTTATTTACGTCATTCATACATGAATAAAATATATGTTCGATTGGAATGTTCTGCGAATATTGGTACTTTGGTTTGCCTTGATGCCCACGAGGATATCCAAAGAATCCAAATCTTCCTTCGCCTTCGTTGAATTCTGTTGATTGGACTTGTTCGAAACCTGCAGCAGCAGGTTCTGCCACCTCCGTTAGTTTTTGGATGACATCAGCACAAATAATGTCTTGCCCACACAAAATGACCAGTGACACACGCAACTTGCGTGGTGGGCGTGTGCATGCGACCAAATATGTTACTCCATTGACATCTACGACACATGCGTGGCGGGCTTGTGCATGCGACCAAAATACAAAATAAGACCGACTCACTCACAAATCACAAAATCCGATCCGAAACATCAAACCACAAATTCGAAAATCACAAACACATATGCATCACATCGTCAGCAACAATACTGTATGTTCTTGACAAACTTCATGTGCACTACAACAACTCAGCACTATGTAGTCGTCAGATCATAAATCACACAAAGTATCATCCCAACATGATTCCGCTCATTCTGATCAAATAACACCCGCCCCACCACCAGCCAGCAGTACTAGCTAGTAGCTAGTAGCTAGTACCACTACAAAAAGAAGGACCAAGCAATCCCATCATGCGATCTAACACCACTCATTCTGATCAATATAATGTGTGTAACAAAGAAAAATGAATGAATGAATGAATCATAAATCAGTCAGTCAGTCAGTCAGTCAGCTCAAGGCAGCTTCAGGATTTCATCACGGCATGATCAAAACAATATCCTTCCGCTCATCACATTGCTGTGGATCATCCTGGAAAAGGATGTTTTCCAGACATATTATAATTATTGCGACCTCTCTTCAACATGCGATGTTGGTGTCTGTATATACAATCAGTAGACCCAGGAATGCTGGTGGGCGACAATGCGCCCGTTTTACGAAGTCAGGTGAACAAGTCCAGGGAATCTTGCAAAAGTTCGCTGCCACTCCTGCCGATATATAAGTGTTTCATCTGTACTCGATGCTCCTTGAAATACAACTGACCTACCATCGTGCTATACTCCTTCCCTCGTAGCAATTGATGAATGAGTGGTATTTCCCCTTGAGGGGTGTCAATGGTGTCCAATTTGTGATGACGACAAAAGTCATCCTCATGAAGCCTGGAGAGTAGAGGAGTCCAAGGATTGCTCTTCTTGGATGGCTCTGCGTCCACAACTTTACTATTCATAACATCTTCCTAAATATTGCGCACGCTTCAATGCCTTCTTTCATTCTTCTGCACTAATAAATATTTTAAAGGGTTTATTGCACAACGATGTCACAATCTCTGTTATTGGAACTGGATTATCGTGGTTCCAAGGATAGACAAAAGTTGGGTGGCAAAATAGCAGAGAGGTATTTTCGAACTGTAGGATTGGGTTGTTTCTGTTTTAACAGCTCCTGGACACCTAGAACTACCATAAATGTCCCTTGCATGTGTATGTGTTTTTGAAGGAAAAGCCTGGTGATGTGACATTCATTCCACGTCCCTATTGCTCAATGAAACAAAAATCGGTAAATTTGTTTTTAGCAACTTGCAACATCGTGTCCCTTGTAGATAGTTCTGTCCCTGATTATAATATCATTCATTCCATTCCAGTGTCCAACAACTTGAGCTCACCACCGAAACCCAATCTTTTCCAACTCTTCCATTTGATGATCCGTCAACTTTACGCCGGTTCCCTTGTAATTTTGTCGTTGTCGAATCATCCAGTCGTACAGAGGCAAGTTCTCAGTGTGCTTTACTTCCAAGTGTCCATGTTCCTTCCAAAACTGGACAAGCTCATTGTACCACAATTGCCAATCAAACTCAATACGATCCGATCTCCACGGAAAACCAATTCGATCCAATAGATAATCATGGGATTTTCTTACTACTGACCCAAGCGCTCCTCCAATCTTTTTACCACGCTGCGTATTAATCCATCCCTGGAGAGTACTAAATTGGGGTTTCACGGGCAACACAAAGTGCCCATGCTCCTTCCAAAACTCAACTAGCTCATCATACTTTTCATACCACCCTCTCAACTTACTTCCTTTTGGCAACATGAGAACTTTTCTATCTCTTTTAAATTATCCATATTCACTTCTAAGGCTCTTGCGCTGTTGTCTCATCCAATGATTCAGTTCCGGGTCGTCTCCGTGATCTGGCAATCGCCCATCGTTCTCCTCTCGATATCTCTCCAGTTCGGCATACCTTGCATTCCAAGCCATGCAAGAATGGTTTTCCAAGAAAGCAAAGTCAATTCGTTCCAATAATTCCAATTCCTCTTGGGATTGTGGTTTTTGACCCTTCGTTTCTTTTGTACCTCTTTTTTTGTGTTGCAATCCAATTGTAAAGACTAGGATTTTCCTTCTTTTTGACCCGAACATGACCGTGTTCCTTTTATAACTCGACGGCGTCCGTGTACTTTTCATGCCACGCCCGTTCCTTCCAATCTAGTGACCAGCAAAAGTTAATCTCTTCCAGCTTCTCAATTTGTAACTCGTTTATTGCCTGTTTCTCATACTCATCGACACCCCTAGTGTGATAATGTTTCCGTTGCAACGTCATCCAATCGTAGAGCTCTGGATTATCATCTTGGCTGACCTGAAGGTGACCGTGTTCATTGTACCATTCAACAAGCTCGATGTACCTTTTTGGCCATTCCTGACAATTGACTTTCCAAGAAAAACCAATCTTGTCCAATAATGTGATCTGATTCGTCGGGAGCCGACCTTTCTCCCATTTCATTCGTTGTTTTTGTGACCACCTGTAGAGATCAGTGTCTCTTGCGATTTAGTCGGCGGGCAGTGTCCATGCTTCTTTGGAATCGTTCAAGCGCTTTGTATTTGGCGTTCCACTTCAAGTCATGTCGCTGGGGTTTCCATGGGAATCTAATTTCATCCAACAATCTTATTTGTTCCTCCGAAAGTGGCACATTAATCCTCTGGCCATTTCCTCGCTGTCACGATCGTTGCATGGACATCCATCTATGAAGCCCTTCCGTCTGAGCTACACAGAAATCCCCATGTTTATTCCGATAGTCGACAAGTTCTTTGTAATGCTTCATCCATATCGAATCACGACGTTCGGGTGCCTCCCATTCGAAACCTATGTTATCTAATTAGGTTGATTTGTATTTCGGAGAGTTTTGCATATCGACTCTTACTTCTCTGTTTTTTTGCGCTGATTGGCTTTCCACACCTGAAGTTGGCGATTTTCCTTTTCCGAAACAAGCAAATGTCCATTGTCATTGTGATATACTGCACTAGCGCATGGTAGTTGTCATACCATCGAGCAAATTTGGTACTAAACTCAAATCCAAGCTCTTTCAAATGACGAAAACGAACCCTACAATCGAACATTTGTAGAGTGTTTCTGTGATTTTTGGTAAGCCATCTTCGTTTCTTTTTGTATTCGAGGCGCTGAGCCCGACAAAAGTTTGCTAATCTTGGGTATTCCTTCTCAAGTGTTGCAATTGTCCATATTCTTCTTTGAACGCAAGGAGTTCCTCAAATTGCCCATCCCATGGAGCGGCCGACATTTGTGGTTCTTCATCAGTGGTGGTGACAGTAGCATCGGCTTTCCTCGTGCCAACAGTAGCCGAGAAGAGACCTACTGTCGTCGGAGGGTGCTGAATCGAGGAGGAAGGACTGAGTTGAAATGCCTCCCCAAGAAATGGCTGAAGCAATAGCACGAACATCATCGCTGAAGCCATTGTAAAAAACGTCATAACATCATAATAATGTCTACCAGATAAAGGCTTCCTGCTGAGAGTTGGTTGGATATTCGACATTCGACATTCTATATATATATATATATATATATATATATATATATACCGGTATTTGGTTTTGGATTATATAATGAGAGCATGCGTCCTGCTTATTGGACTGACTCTGCCTTGACGCTCATCAATGTTCAAGATCTCGATTGTTTGTTCAACATTTGGGGTTACGCTGTTGAATGGTACCTACAGTATGCTGTTTCGTATTGAAAGATGGATGGATGGATGGATGACAATGTGCATGATGGCGCATCATCACACTCTCGTCATTCGATTGATTGATTCATTCATTCATCGTCCAATAATTTGCGCGAATCAATCATGCGCGTGACCGACATCATACGGGGCAAACACGCGCACGCGGGTGAACTGAATGAATCGAATCGAATCATCAAGTACAGTAGCTCGCGCAAGGTGCCCGCAACTACTAGGGTAAAATAATGTGGTTACTGTTATCATCCCGATGTGTGCATATAGTTTCAAAATCGACTCAAAAGTTGATCACTAAGATGCCCTCCTTCCTACGCTTGTACCGTGATTTCGTCCTGTATGATAGAACAAGGCCCGTACCTTACTCTTGCTCGTACCTCATGCGTGTTTGAGATCGAACAGCGAACTCTGGAAAGAACACAGTAAACAGGTCTATAGTAGTACCTCACAGACGAAGATGTGAATGTAAATTGATTGATTGATTCATTCATTGATTCATTTTTGTGTCTCATATTGTAGGTAGTACCGAGAACTAAATCAATATCATTCGCGCTCTGTTGTTTTAGGCATAATCCAAAATCGAGTATACATGTACTAGTACACGCTCTGATACCTACCTACTAGTATACTAATATCATTACTAGACCCAGGAATGCGCAGCAATGCCTGTTTTACGAAGTCGGGTGAACAAGTCCAGGGAATCTTGCAAAGTTCCCCATGCAGTACGCTGCCACTGTCGATATAAGTGTTTCATCCGTACATGATGCTCGAAATACAACTGATCTACCACCGTGCTATACTTCTCTTGTAGCAATTGATGAATGAGCGGTATTTCCACCTGAGGGGTGTCAATGTCCAATTTGATGACAACAAAGTCATCTTCATGAAACCTGGAGAGTAGAGAAGTCCAAGGATTGTTCTTCTTGGATGGCTCTGCGTCCACAGGAATATTGAACCAATGGTACGAATCTAATAGGAATTCAGGAATCTTCTCGAACACTTGTGCTGGTGGCAGTGGTGTGTATTCAAAGGCATAGTAATGGTCAAAGGTGACCCCAAACTGTTGATACAATTCCAATAATGTCAGGGCCGGATTGTCTACGCCACCGTGAAATTCCAACGAAGCTCCCAAATCGAAAAACACAGTCCGTGCCTTGGGGTGCTTGGTCAAGTGTCGACATATGGCGCCAAAGTCATGAACCAAGTAATCAATTTCCAATAAGTGATCAAGACTGAAAGGGTCTTCACAAAACTTTGGATGTCGCAATGGTGGTAACAATTGCTCAACGTAGCCTCCTCGGGTTAACGACAATGCATTCGTTTGAAATATGGTGTCCCCCCCATCATCACCGTCTTGCTTCCACAACAAATCGTTCATGGATCCACACAATGCTTCCTGTTCTTCCGGCGGTACTTCCCGCAAATCGTGGACGGATGTGTGAAACCCCTTCACAGCTTCCGCATACTGATCGAGGCTTTCGACCACATCGTGATATGGTTGATAAAAGTCGGTCCGATTGGGATTCAGAAACAAATCGCATTCGTCAATAAATTGCACATCGTACCGAAAGTCCTCTCGGGTGGTCGAAACCTTCATCATTGCCTCTTCCAATTGCCCCGGAGTATAGGGGGAGGATCCTTCAATGAAACTCTCAGCTGTCGTAGGAGACAATGTCGGTGCTCGTGTCGGTGGTGTTCTCGGCTGGAACAACAAGATCGAAAGCAATGATGATCCGTTGCGTTTGAAAGAATACAAGAGCACCAACAGGATTGTGAGCAACATCATCAAAAAGACATGTCTCGGTCTCTTATTGTAAATGATGGCGGTTCTTAAACGCATGAAAGCCTTGTTTGGCTTGTAAACTTTTGGCATTGTATAGTGCGAATATGCGGTGTGATCAGTGTGATATTGATATTGATATGATATGGAGATATTAGGATATGACTTCTGTCACATATACACAGTATTGTACGTATGCGGTGTGATGGGTGTGATGGGTGTGATGATGAATGATGCGAGATGCGTACCGGTACGCAATACATATGTATCGTATGCGTACAGTATTGTCTATCTGGGACGCCGATGTGACTCGAATAAAGCAACGCGAGTGGCGGGCAATGATACGGGAGACATTGATATGAGGCGAGGAGTGGACGGGTTTTGCTGACAACAGGAACGGTCGACGTACACACGCTGTTCTATTTTTCATCACAATTGGTTCGTAGGTAGGTAATAATCAACGCCTCATCATCATCATCATCATCATCATCGCGTCCATAGCCATCCACATATTTTGATCTATCACACAAACCAACTACATCCAGCGTCCAACAAACAATCGACATTGTTTCGTCATCAGCGTCAACGTATAGGCAGATCCCTATCCCTACAGTAAGTACTAATAGTAGGGCAGGTAGTAGTACATAGTAGCTACTAGTACTAGTAGTGAAAAAATCACATCCATAAAACTAACCAACGCTCCTATGATCAGGCCACCTTCATCTGATAGACATTATGATGTGATGACGTTTCTTATCATGATGGTTTCAGCTGTGATGTTTCGTGCTATGAGGATTGGCTGCTTCAGCCAGCCATTTCTCGCTGAGCTAACACTGCAGTCAGCATTGCTTTCAACAGAGCCATATGCTTCATCGCTTCACCTTCCGACTTCTGGTGGTGCTACAAAAAAAAACATGATAGGAGATGATGCCGCTGCCACGACCAGGAGCACTGATGACGAAGAACCACAAATAAAGGCAGAAGAATCACTGCAGCCTCTCATTGGGACGAGCAGCCAATTTGAAAAACTCCAGGGTTGGGGTTAGGGCTATGTATCATCTCATCTATATTCCGCCCATCAACTCTGTGATGTTGTATATATAAAAGATACATGACTTGCGCCATCGGACTTTTTCGTTACATATAAAATATTATACCGGTACGTAATATATGTAAGAAGTTAGTTACCGCGGTATTGGTTTCACCGAATCCATGAAGTCGACTCTATCGACTGCTTACACCCGTAGTATGCTTTTATGTACCAATTCTACGTCCATGCATCGGCTGGAAGCAACCAACGTGAAGTCCATTTCTGCCCACGTGAAGTCTCGTGAAGTCTTTTTGGAAAACGTGAATTTTCGGAAGTCACAAAGAAACAAAAAATAGAAATTGCCTCCACAATGCATGAATCAATATGCATGTCGTTTCTTTCTTTACTCTTTGGTCATGATAATACTACTATGAACAATCATGATGCATACATAATATCAGTATCAAAATCAAGTCAAGTCAAGTCAAGAGCAACGTTGTTATACCATGATTGATGTTGTGTACTATGTGTGTGTCCCATGCCACAAAGACGAGCAAGAATTGGTGCGCTTTTGGCTCCTGATTGATTGATTCATTGATTTTAGCAGCCAGCCAGCCATCAGCAGCACCAGCATGACGACGACGACAAGGCAGAACAAAGACTATACACACAATTTGAAATTTCGTGCATCCAGCAACTGAACCTTTGCGCCCATTCTTGATGGGTTGGTGCATGTACACATATGTACATGTACACATGCATGCATGCATGCATCATGTCCAAATTCATCTAGTCATGTACACAAACATCATGGCGGACAACCATTCACAAGGTGGTTTTGATTGGAGTTCCAAGAAGAACGACATCTTTTTGGGTATGGAATACTACTACTACTCTGCTGATTGATGGATGATCTACCACAACAGAAGACTATTTTGGTGGGTCCTACACTTCTTTGATCTACTCTTTTGTTTTCTATCGATTTGTGGTTGTTGGTGGCGTTGTTGTTGTTGTTATTGTTGTCGTTCATGAGACGATATATTTTCGTATCACGTTTGCAATAGTGAATGATTCTACTTTTCTCCATTGTCCAAAAGCATCCAAGCAACGATTGATTCATACACATTCCCCCATTTCAAAATCACACACTTTCCCCCTATTCATCCATTCGTCGGACGTGACAAAACCCACACCCAAAATTGGGCACGCGCCTGCCGAAAATATCGATCCATGCACAGCGTTAAGTTCGATTCACGGACCGAAAGTTTTGTTAAATGAAAGGAGGAAGTGAGATAAACAAAGATCAATTAACCAAAGGATATTATGCATGTCTCACTTGTTAAGAAAAGAGGGCCCAACCAAGTCGGTCGCATAATTGTTTCCTTTTCAAGATCCAAAACCTTAACAAAGATACCATTCTGAAGTCCCAACAAGCCTTAAATGGCGAAACCACAACAAATTCCAAACCATCCCAAGCAACCTTGAAAACCGCGTCCCAACAAACACAGCAACAAAACAAAGAGCTCTCAAGTGACTTGACGCTTGACAGTACAGCAGCAACAGTATCGTACCGAGACAGCACAGTAGCAGTAGCAACCTCACAATTCAGTAAACAAAGACAAAGACAAACAAAGACAAAGACACAATGCGGCGCGATGAAGGAAGTCGACGAGGCGACGCCATTCGCGCTCATTTGCAACAATATTGCGTCTTGCCGCACTTGAGCAAGGCCACCCTGTTTGTGAGTCTATTACGAATCATGAGCGCTAGTTTGGCCCTCTTTGTAGCCTTGACGGAACAGCTGTTGGCAGTCAAGGTCTTTACCTTTGCACTCGCCTCGTATCAAATTGCGTGTTTGCTATTGCAATGGGCTCCGGAAGAACGCGTGAATCCGTACGCCAGCGTGTACGAATTCACCAAGGCCAAGTACGAGCTAACCAAGGTGGTTCTGGCTACCATTACGGCAATCATCATGGCCATTTGCTTGCCCTATTTGGCGTATTACACAGAGGAACCCCATTGGCGACATGCCGGTTGGGGAGTCTTGTTGTTTGTCCTACCGGCCTTTTTGGACTATCGCATCCGCCGTTCCTTGGCCCTCTTGTTTATGGTCAAGCCGGAAAACAAGGAAGACGACGACGATGGTGCCGAAATTGACTTTCAATTGACGTCCTTGTGGGTCGGAAAGTACTTTTTGCTTCCCGTAGAATTTGGAGCAATCGCCGCGTTTGCCTTGTGTTCCTTGCAAGTCCCCCATTGGACCATTGCCGGGGCAGTCTTTGTCAACATTGCTTCTCTGTCACTTGGAATCCTCGCCAAAATGTCGCCTGGTTCCTGCTGGATTGATGGAGATGGCAAATTGTACATTCCCATCAATGCCACGGAAGCAGATTTGTCCTATGCCGGCTATTTGATTGCTTCTGATTTGATCATTGATGACGACGTTGGTTACTTTGCCGCGGGACACGTCGCTGGATACGTTCCCAAAATTTTGCATTGGATCAATTACGCCGGTTTGCCCCAAGCGGGAAAATGGGGCGAAGTCTTGGGCGATGGCGATAGCGAAACGGGATGCGAATTGTGCGTGGAAAAGTTTGCCACCAACAGCATCATGTACCAACATTTGGGACAAGCGTACATTCAACTAGGCAATCAAGTCTTTGAAATTAGAGGGGGGTGCATTGAGAATTCGGCCAACCCTATCTTACTAGAACATGCCAAGCCTATCAATGGGTGTTGGGAGGTCATCTAAATAATAGACACCTCAGGAAGGGAGGAAAGAAAGAAAGAAAGAAAGAAAGGATACTGATATATATTGATGTGATTCAACATTATATTATTTACATATATACGATTAGTGTATACATACTTACAATTTGAATTTATTGTGTCTGTAGTCAACAAACCCAAAAGCAAAGCATTCTGAAGTCGGTGCAATTTAGTAATAAGTTCGATTGGATGGACTGAATGAATCAATCATCGCATTTGATTCATTCGTCTGACTGGGTATGATAATATTCCAGTTGCAATGGGTGCCAGGATGGAACGTGCTTTTGCTATGCCCTATATCGCCAAAAACTTTGTCGCAAGAAGAAGTGGCAAGTGAGGAATGAATCTACTAGTATACATGACGATGGCGATTACTATGATGACAAGATTGCAAAGGGCCAGTATATATATAGCTGTGCCTACTTCTGCTTCCAATCCATCAACACCACCACATACCTACACTCTTGAAAATGATTACGACTCTGTAGTATCAAAGATCTTTCCTTCAGGAATTGAATGGAGTGGATTGTGGTCACCTGAAAGCCAAAACTACTTATGGCTGAATGGAGTAGCTTTGCTAATTATCGACAAGAAGGCGACGGAACTTATGATAATCCAGATCGAAGAATGCTGGTCTACACGGGAGCAATCCGATGACATTTGTGACCTTCAAGGCGAGAGGACACGAGCTGATAGGGCCTTGAGTTTTGCAACTCCTCTTGATCCAGGAGAACCCAAAGCTGACTAGTAGAGCAGATGGAGGTACAATGTCCATATGGAAGACAATATCCAGTACATTTGGTTTTCCGATACTTCTGACGCCAGCAATACTACCACCGTCTTGTTCAAATACCCACTGCTGACATGTCGATTGCCGTTTATACTCAACACGTCCTGTCCGATACAACGGCGCACGTACTCAAAAAGCAAGACACAGAAGAATGTGTATTTCCAACTAGAATGACACTATACTATCCAATGGAACTGGACGACGATGTCCTGAAAGTGGATACGACGAACATGGTGCACGAGAAAGCGTCATTTGTGTTTGGTGGAAATATTGTCTCTTTCATTGGTATTCCTTGTTGTTGTTGGGAGTCGTTGCAGCAATGGCATTCAAGTCTTGGAATAAGAAAGTGAAATGTGCTTGACTACTAAATAACTAGACAAATACTAAATGTATAAAAAGTTCTGACACCACATCCATAGAAATGTAGCTAACTAGGATGGTCATACCATGGCCTCCTGCTGATGCTGGGATTGCCTCGTTCTTGCAGTTTTGGAATGCGACCAGCACAACCTATATGAATTAGGTTTTCTTCTTCTTTCAGGTTCCGACTACTATGGCAAAAACAGCGAAAACTTCTTGATAGCTACAAAGGCAAAAACGGTGAAGTCAAGATCCACCTGATCAATGATAGCTTCCTTGACTTCTATCGTCCGAGCCTACTTGCAGTATTCCACCGGTTGGAAACGGTTGTTTTGTAGATTTGTCGAATACTCCAGACGACAGTAAAGTAAGTACAGTCGATTCAAGTTCCAAACGGCACGCCTATAACTTTGCAACAGGAAGAATCGGCAATATCATGAGTGTAACGACGGCGGCAGAGTCTGATTTTTTCTCCTTCTGCACTATGCAAGGTGCCGGGTCCGTTGAGGTCACCGAGTTGAGTGCGTCATCTACTTCGTTCACTATGATCATGGGCTTTTCCTCTACCTGCGCATGGCCATAGGTTCTAATGGACATACCGTATATACACCTTTTTTTAAAATGATGCTTTCGTTTTTGTGATGAGATATTGATCACTCGGCGGGCTATAAATGTCACATTTGTGTCCGGATGACGGTATAGTCACTGTGACCTACAGTAAGTTCTGGAATTTACCGAGGATAATGAGAAACATATCTTGCACTATCAGTCACTCAGGCGGAACCTACGGTATATTGAACAGCTTGCTTCTACACACCTACTATACTTCATCACTTGTTGACATCGTCTGAGAGACCCTCCATAGACGTGCCAAACTTTCATCGTTCCAAGAAAGCGACGCGAACTTATACTACTGCGCTCTTCACCGCCCTGCCTGAATCATTCATCTCAGTTTTCATAAAAGACACATCGTCAGCGATTCAACATATAAATCATGCCCAAAGAACGAAGTCCCGATGACGTCCATGATATTTTGAATGTAAAAGTCGGTAAACCCTACCGTGGCGAAATGGTGACCAACATTGAAATTGAAAAACCCATTGATTTGCCCAACGATCGCTGCAAGGTGAGACGACTCATCTCTCTCGAAAGTGGCATTATTGTGATTGAAGATACGGTTCATGATCGTGGAGAAATCTATGACAGTGTCGGGAACCTCAAGCCGTTTGCCGAGATTCAATTTCCTGACATGGATCCTTCTGATTTCGCCGCGCCAACCGCTGGCGTTAGCGATGAGGATGACGAAGCCAAAAAGAAAAAGCAAGAACTCTTGCGGGAAAAGGCCAAGGCAATGTTGAACAAGCGTCGGCCATCGCTTGTCAAACCAGATGACGATGAGGACTCGGACGACGATTCCAAACCGAAAAAGCCAGAGAAATTTGACATTCAAGTCAAACTACCAGATGGAACCTTGGTGCCCATGAAGGTTTCACCCGACGACACTATTCCTGACATTAAGGAAACCATTGAAGACGATCATGATATTCCTGCGGATGGTCAAAAACTAAATCTAAAAGGAAAACCCCTGGATGATCCGCAAGCTACTCTGGAGGATCTTGGCATCAAGCCTGGTGACATTTTGGAATTGAATCCACCGGAGGAAATGACCGTCCATGTCAAGACACCCGACGGCAAGAAGTTGCCCGTCAAGGTCAAGCCCAACGAAACAATTGCTGATTTGAAACAAAAGGTGGAAGACGAACATGATATTCCAGTGGGTGACCAAGATCTCGAGTTGAATGGCGAGCCTCTCGATGACCCAAAGGCCACTTTGGGACAGTGTGGCGTCAAACCAGGAGACGTGATTGACATGAAAGATCCAAGCGGTGATATGAAGGTTCGAGTTCAAACACCAGATGGCAAGATTGTGAGTCTATCTGTAGCTCCTGACGATTCCATCCAAAAGATCAAGGACCAACTGGCAGAGCAACATGATATCCCCTCTGACGGTACCGACTTGACCTTTAAAGGAAGCCCATTGGATGATCCTGATGATACATTGGACGACTATGGTGTCAAAGACGGTGATTTGCTCGTTGTCGTGGCTGCACCTCCCAGTGATATTACTGTCCAAGTCCAAGTACACACACCAGATGGAAAGAAGGGCAAGAAGATTCCAATTACGCTTAGTCCAGATGCTACGATTGACGATTTGAAGACCAAGTTGGAAGACAAGCACGGAATTCCAAAGAAAGATCAGATTTTACAATACGATGGTGACGATTTGGACGAACCCAAGAAGTCACTGAAGGATCTTGGTATTGCAGATGGCGATGTGGTCGACTTGATGCCAGCAACCATCAAAGTCAAGACACCCGACGGCAAAGTACTATCCGTCTCAGTCGATCCTTCCAAGGATACCGTCCCTGATTTGAAAAAGAGGATTGCCGACAAACACAATATTCCCGTGAAGGACCAACAATTGAGCTTCAACGGCAAGCCATTGGATGACGATTCTTCTGAACCTTTGAAGGACTTGGGCATTTCTCATGGAGACGTGGTAGATCTGTCCACACCACCACCACCATCTCCACCACCAAAGACGAAACCAAGCACAGATGGCACCACCACTGAGCGGGTTCGCACATTAGGACCCAATTCCGTGTGGGTCTATCCTACCGTCGCAAGTGCGCCAAAACAAGGGGAACCCAACAATCTGCAGGGCGTTTGGTCTAGTCCACCAGGAAAAGATGCTGGCACAGACCCGGTCGAAGTCAATATCCATCCCAAGAACAAGGAACCAAAACGAAGCGATGGCAAAAATATTCACGGACAGTATGGATACATTAACGGAGCCAAGCCTGATGCCGATGGAGTTGTCGATCCGGCCAATATTGTGTTTTATCCTCCGGAAACCAAAGAGTTTGCCCCCGACTTTGAGCAGGTTGGATGGTGGTCTTCGCCGGAATCCAATTCGGAAACTCACGTGAGCTGGAGATTCGAAGGTTCTGACATGCTTTACACTAAGAAGCAGACCATTAACTTCCTGGGACGTACTATGGTATTCGAATCGGAATGGAAAGAGTAAAAGCAATACAAGTAACAAAGTAGGAAATGATCTTATTTTTCTCTATATGAGAAATGGGAAGCACTAGTTGAATTGTCATTCGCACTGCAAAAGTTTCCACAACATATTATAGACCAGTTCGTTGAAAGTGGATTCGTGTCATACTAAAGTTGAGAATCAAAGCTATCAAACACATGCCCATGCAGTGAGAGAGGTTGGTTGTCGAGAAATGGTAAATCAATCTGCTTTTAATATATCCTCTTTTGCCAAAGGCATGTGCCCTTGCAGTTCCCTGAAAATGAATCAAATTTCCGTTCCAATTGCCAATTCCAGTCATTCTATGAGAGAATAACTTCCGTACCTACTGTATCATCTGGTAGATGCATCATTTTTTCGATCGATCGTAGGATAAAAAAGGAGCGACCTTGGATGCGTCCCTGGCACAAACACAAATGGAAACAAAAGAACAACCGCGGATGCCATTATATAAAATAAGCAGTAGTAGCTGAAAACATGAACTCTCCATACAACATAATATGAATTATATACCGTTGCATATGATTCGTTTCACGGTAAATAAACATCATCATCGCGCATGCATGTCATCAGATAGACTTTGAAAAATCTTCAACTGATTGATTGACTTAGCGAATTCACGCCAGCCATCGAAATGACCTGAAAGAGACATAGCAATTTTGTGGGTAGGATTTGTGGGTTTCTGTGGAAAGTCACTACACGTCAACGTTCATGAGACCGTTGCATCACAATAATCACAGATCTTCTCGTGTGCCTCTCTTGTCAGTTGATATATAGCCCTATTCAAGTTCAGAAGAGACTGCCTTCTAAAAAAATGAAAGGAACCTTTCAATCTGCCATCGGCTTGTCCGTTTTCTCCCTTGCTTCTGCTTTCACCACCAGCAGTGTTTCTTCCGACAGTGGTTCGACAGCTTGCGTTCAGCAAAAGTTGAATTTGCTCGAGCTGGGATCTGCCGTTGTCTACACGTGCGGTGACAACCAAAACCGGGGTGCCGGAATCGGTGCTACCAGAGTGGTCAACTTTGATGAGTACAGTCCCAATGGCGACGAGATTGTCTTGTCGGCTGGACCGGTGATTGGATACATCGCTCATGCCGATCATGTCAAGTGCGCGTTGGGTTCCACAGTCACTGTGCTCCAAGTGCGAAATGACAATGGAGAGTGGACCGACAGTGGTGAGGTTATTCCACCTGTCATATCCTTTGACGAGCAATGCCCGGACACCACCGAATTGGCCGGCCGTTGGATTGAAGCCAACAGCGCCTATACTGATTGTGCAATGGAAGATTTTCAATGCAACTGGGTGATTGTTCCAGACGAGTTCTATGGATCGGCTGGACCCTACTACACCGAAAGGGATGGTGGCGTCAGTTGCATGGTCCCAGAGACCTACGTTCCAGTCTGTCAAACTAGCAATTTGGAACGATTCAATGATTTCGTTCGCGTCAGAGGCGACGGCTTGAGTATGGGCATTGAAGGAGCCTTCCCATCTCTCTACTGGTACAACAACATCGCTACTGCCCAAGAAAATCGTTGGGTCTGCAAGATTCCGCAAGGAGCCGTGGTCGAGATTTCTCAAGGAACTCCGCTCAGTGCCTCCAGCACCATTCGTCAAGCTCCACGTTCCGAAGCGGCGACCCTTTATGCGTGCGAGGGAGCCGTGGACGAGTGCACTTTGGAGTTTGCAGCTCCTCCAGTGTCCAACGATACCACCGTGGATCCATTGGAGACAAAGCCTGTTATTGGATCGACACAATTTGATGGTGTGGAGTCTACCAATATTGGCGATGCCAATTCGATTTGTCAACAAATGGAGGTATTGAGCATGGAAGACGGAAACACTGATCCTGACGATTCCTTTGTCATTTTGCAAGGTCTTGTGGGTAAGGCCGCTCATGCCTTCTGCTCGAACGGAACAGATGTAGCATTGCCCGAAATGCCCGGCAATCCCGAATGGCTCCCCGCTGCACTCACCGAGTCTGAGGAATGGGTGCCCATGTCCGGTTCACGTGAATGCGAAGTGCCTTACTTGGAACTGCCACCCAATTTTCACCCGGCTCTTACCTGTGCGGAAGGCTTCAACTTGGTGGCATCCATCGCCTCTGGATTCAACCCGAGTGTCTACCATTCCTCTGGTCCTCTTTACATGTATGGCGATAATGCGACTGACCTTTCAGATACATTCAACAGTCTAGACTCCTTGTCAAATGCTAATTGCCGCCAACGCAGATTTCCCAGTGGTGCTACAGGAATTGGATCGTGGGCTCAGCTCAAGCTTATTGCTACTGCTGGCGTTTTGTTGATGACGCTTTTGGCTTGGTAAATTGGATAACAATAATTGAAAACGGTGATTGAAGACAACGAACTACTCTCTTTCGATCTGGCGATTTGCAAACTGTGCTGCAATGAGAGAAGTCTTCGAGCAAACCATTACTTGTAGTAGAATATTAAGAACAGTAGGTTTTATAAAATATTGTATCAGGCATAGTTGTATAGTATTGTGTATATCCAAATCCGTGATTGGGCGAAAAAAAGATCAGTCGCTTGTTTTCCGTCTGATGAAAATCACGAAGGTGAACATGTTTTTGGTGTTTCGGGTGCGGTTTAGATGGCGGATTGACAAAATAAGACACTGATTTGAGCCGAATACAGTGACATCTCAATAATGTAGGAGGTATCACTAGCGACATCAATTCAATAGTAAAGAAATCAATCTTTGTAATGTACCGAGTAATACTGTGGATTAGAGTATTGTGTTTATATATATTTTCAAAATGTGTATACTTTCAGGTTTGCAACAGCTTTACCTGCGTCGAAAAAACCCTAAATCTGACAAGGCCGGCAGACGGGACCTACTGGATTCGAAGATAGGTCTGGATTGGATTGTTCAGGGCAGCTAGAGCCGCCAAACATAGTCCCGTCCTGGTTTTCAAAATCAATATTGGCATCAAGGAGCGGGCCCCATGCACAAAGATCCTGATTGAAGGAGCCTGCGAAACGGAACATTTGTTCCATAGAAAGGACAGACGACACGTCCCACGCTGAGATGTCTTGATTGAAAGCACCTGCATTGAAGAACATCCAAAGGGTTGATGTTGCAGACGAAACATCCCATGTTGTTACATCTCCATTGAAGGATGCTGCTCCGCTGAACATGAATTCAAAAGAGTTGACTGAAGACACATCCCACAATGGTAGATCTTGATTGAAAGATATTGCGTCAAGGAACATCATGTACATGTTGGTCACAGATGAAACATCCCACCCTGATATGTCTTGATTGAAGGCAAATGCGAGCCGGAACATCTCCCTCATTTGAGTTACAGATGAAACATCCCATACTGATATGTCTCCATTGAAAGCTGATGCTTCGTTGAACATTCCATACATAGAAGTCACAGACGACACATCCCATGATGATAAGTCTTGATTGAAGGATGATGCCTTCTGGAACACGGCAGTCAAGTCAGTAACAAGTGGAAATCTCCAAGGTGCCAAGGGCTGATTGAAGCTTAATGCCCCGTCGAACATGTTTCTCATATCAATGACAGATGACAAATCCCAAGATGATATGTCTCCATTGAAGGCAATTGCATTGCCAAACATGTAATTCATGTCAGTTACAGCCGAAACTTGCCACGATGCCAAATCCTGGTTGAAGGCATCTGTATTTCCGAACATGCCCTGCATAGTTGTAACGGAAGACACATCCCAGGAGCCAATGTCTTGATTGAAAATTCTTGCATCGTGAAACATCCAAACCATACCTTTGGCAGAAGAAACAGTCCACGATGATAAGTCCGAGTTGAACGATCTGCATTGATGAAACATGAATTCAAACGACTCCACCGAAGAAACATCCCATGATGATAGGTCTTGATTGAATGCTGGTACTCCGAGGAACATCATATACATACTGGTGACGGCTGAAACATCCCAAGATGATATGTCTTGATTGAAGGATGACGCAAGGCGGAACATCTGGGCCATTGATGTTACAGACGACACGTCCCATGTTGAAATGTCTCCATTGAAAGATGTTGCTTCGTTGAACATTTCCCACATGGTAGTTACAGAGGACGTGTCCCATGATGACAAGTCTTGATTGAAGGATGATGCATAATGGAACACTCCATGCATGTTTGTGACCGACGAAACGTCCCAAGATGACAAGTCTTGGTTGAACGAAGATGCATTGTGAAACATGCCTTCTATGGTCGTGATGGAAGACACGTCCCAATTCGAAATATCTTCATTGAAGTCAATGCGATGGATGAATAGATCTTGCATGCTAGTCACTCCGGAACCAAAACACCAGTCGCTGATCTCTCCGTATCGAGCCACGACCAAATCCTTGACAGACGACGACGCAAACCAGTTGCGGACTGCATCCGTTAGATCAGAATCGGCTTGAAAGCACTTGGACTTGGTAGGTGATGAAGATGGTTCCACCGAAGGTTGACTGGAAGGCGGCAGAGACGGCTCATCTGTTGGTGCCTGAGAGGGCTTGGGGGTTGGAGCGAGTGTCGGGGCTCCAGTCGGAAATTTTGTTGGAGGAGGCGTGGGTCCTACGACTGGAGCTCCCGTCGGAGCGAGTGTGGTCGGTGCAATGGTAGGAGCAATTGTAAGAGCAATGGTAGGAACAGTTACAGGCGCAGTTGTAGGGGCTTGTGTTGGCTTCTTTGTAGGCGCTTCGGTAGTTGGTCCCACCACTGGAGCAAACGAAGGACTGAAAGAGGGAGTAGCTGTTGGCACTCCCGCAGCCACTGTAGGCGCTGGTGTTAGATTTTTAGTTGGAAGATCAGTTGGCGCTACTGTTGGCTGCTGTGTAGTCCCGGAAGAATATCCATTGACGATGGAAATGGACTCAAAAATAGTCTGCAAATTCAGCCGTTCGACCGGTTCGTCTCCAAGGACGGCCGCCAAATGACCCAGCAACGCGAATCCCTTGACGTCCTCACGAAGCCACAAGTCCAATGTGACGACGACACGAGAGCACAATGCAGCAGCACTGTCTTGACAGCTACTCCCCGACGGAGTAATGGTCTGCAAGACCAATCCATTTGCCACCACGTAGTCTGCCACTTGAAGTTTGCGACGTAGGTTTCGGCGAGTTGCCACAGTACAGCCAGCAACTTCAGGCATCCAAATGGCTTGCAGGGCATCCTTCAACGCAGGCAAATAGGTTGTATCGTCCGCAAATAGATCCGACTTTAGGGTGGCATCGAGTTCCAAGACAAAACTGCTTGCTTCGATCAAATCTTGGTCGTCAAGCTTGTTGCCAGTGGCAATGGCAGCACAGTCTTCTGAAGAGGGCTCCTCGTAGAGCTGAAATTTGGTAGGCGGAGCAGTAGGAGCAGATGTTGGATCTAGCTGCTGGATAGCTGCTGCTGTCGGAGGCACTGTGGGAGTGGTCTCTGCCTCAGCAGCAGACTCCTCCACCACATCTGTACCACGAGTCAAGAGATAGGCAGCAACTCCTCCACCAATTAGAACCAAAGCGATGATGAAATAGATGCACTTTTTGCGCCCAGAAGATTTCTTCTCTTCTGACGGGGGAGGGGATTCTTCCGGTGTCTCGTTTTGGTTTGTTGTAATCGTAGTCAAGGTCCTTTTAAGGTTTTCAATTTCACTTTGCTGCTTCTTCAATTGTTCGTTTTCAACCTCTTCCACAGCAATCGCCTTGATCTCGAATTCGCCATCCACATTTGGAGCTTTATGTTCTTCATTGGAAGCTTGACTGTTCGACTCAAGCGTGAACTCTCGGACATTTGAAGATTTTGCTTGCCGGGGTCCCCGAACCTCACTGGAAGCACCAGGTCGTACAGCATCCGCAGATCCTCGAGCTCGTCGGGCCTGGTCCTTGGTTTTTTGTTCTCTAGCTTCTCTAGAAGAAGCAGGCTTGGTGACTTCTCCAGTCTGTCTTCGAGCTCGGTCTTTGGCTTCCTTGTCGGTGGATTCTCGGTCTTTGCGTCGAACCGCTCGGCTGTCTCCAGTGGTCTCCACAAAGGCACCAGGGGCTACAGTTCCTCGAGTGGGGCTCCTTCTAGCTCTTGACTTGGCCTTTTGATCCTCTGTAAACGCAGATTCCTTATCGTCTGTGGACTTTTTTCGGGAAGGGCGATGAAAGGAACGTTTTCCACCTAATTCCTCATCATCGTGAGAGTCTCTGGACTTTCTTCGAGAAGGCTTTGCTCCTCTTGAAGATCCACCAAGCTCATCGTCGTGAGAGTCTCTTGATTTTCTTCGGGAAGGACGGTCAGATGATCGTCCACCTGGCTCATCATCATCGTGAGAGTCTTTGGACTTGCGTCGAGAAGGACGGTCCGAAGATCGTTTTCCTGAGGAGCCACCACCACCACCACCAAGGCCGTCATCATCTTTGGATCGTCTTCGTTCAGGTTTCGATCGCGAAGATTTACGTTCCGAGCTATCCAGGATATCATCATGCGAGTCTCGAGAAGATGATCGATGCTTGCTGGATCGTCTCTTTCGTTCTCCGCCGTTAGTATCAGAAGATTTTCTTTCTCTGCTGGGACGATGCTTGTTATCAGCACCAGCTTCTTGGTTCTCGCCTTCCTCACCCATGATGAATTGATTCTTCTTTAAAAATGTTTGTGAAATGGGCACTACTGCAATTTGTATGTCTATTGCGAGTGATCAAAATGAGACCTGCACAATAAAACAGAAACTATAAATTACGATCCGTTTGTGTGTATAATAATAGCATCAAACAAGATCTGAGAGAGGGTCATTTTCTTCGAATGTGGCCCAGCCGGTTTCTTGTGGATATAGCCGCTCGTTCAATATGTGGAAATAGCGTGGACCATGTATGATGGATGCGGAAGGTGTAGTTTATTTAACGGAATCCGGTTCAGAAAAACTTTCTTCTACGAGGAGATATTCCGTGAGGGATTTCTGATGTATACTTCTCTACCGGTACTTCAACACATATTCAATATATTTTCGCGGTCAAAAATACTGTACTGTTCAGTAGTTTACAGGCACTCTCTAGCCATCGTCTTGCGGTCAACCCACCCCATCTGTCGGTCGCACGAAGGGTCTCCCGTTCACGTGCGATAGACAGACGTAACGGACGACCCATAGACGATGGCTAGAGAAAATACACGTGACGTGTTTTGCCCCGTACCAGTTCCAGACGGGAGACGGGAATCGAATGGTCAACGCATGTCCGGAAATGAAAAAACATCAAAATTGATCGAAACCGCAATAATAAATAAACGCGATGAGATTACATGACGATATACGATGCGATGAGATGATACTGTAAATGCCGGCCATATATTTCATGAATACAATATTTATGCATCATATACAGTATCTAATTGCTTCATTGTGAAAAGGCGCGAGGCTTTACAATAGTTCATGACTGCATGTATTCGACCGCTTTTGCTGGCTCGTCTTGATACAAGCATCATGTGATGCCCGTAATAAAAGTAACTACTGCTGGTGTGGCATTTGGTTCAATCCTGGTGCTCTTGGCGGCTCAATCAGGGTTTGTTTCGTCGTTTCAGCAGAATGATCCAGCTTGTCGACTTTAAAAATCAGAACAATAAGCATGGACATCTATTGGTGGACACAGGTGGGCCTCTTGATTCATGGATGCATCATCAACGACGGTCACGAAAAGGGGTAGTAGGAAACTTTCGTGTTATATCTCTGACGAACAAATGAGATTGTTGGATGAAATCAATTTTACTTGGATTCTAGACCGTCGATATGCTTCGTGGGGCTTGACAGGTACAAACGAACTCGTAGGGTTTCAAACGAAACATGGACACACACTGTGCGAGCCGAGCCAATCGAGTCATTCCAGGCAGTACAAGTGGTCCCAGAACCAACACGAAGAACGTGAGAAAGGTATACTCACGATGGAACAAATCACATGATTGGACAAGATTGGCTTTCCTCCTTGGAAACGCAAGATCAGGTCAGCCAAGGTGATGATCCAGGTCTAGATACGCAATTGGATGAGATATGTTGCTATTATATCACGGGATCGTCACGAAAACCGCATAACATGACAGGCAAACAAATCGAAAGGATGCGGATGGAAGAGTAGGTCAACTTTTGTTGGTCGCTGGATTGGATTGGAAGGAACGGGTGTGGCATGAAAAAGTACATGGAGGTCGTCGAGTTCCATAAATAAGCACCACGGTCATGTTCCTGTGAAGAAGAAGGACAATGCACTCGTTTACAATTGTTTGGATATAAAGACACAAGGAGAAAAGGTAGTACAAGGAAACGCAAGGCTACAAACCATTGCCCAATGAGGAGATGGAACGATTGGAAAACACATTGACTTTGCTTTCTCTGATGACCAGCCTCGGGTATCTTGGAATGCAATATCGGGACGATAATGAAGGGAGATTGCCTGATCATAATGAAAACGACCCTAAACTGAGCCGTTGGACGAGACAGCAACGAAACAGCCTAGAGAAGTGCATATGGATATGTTTCAACTTTCGGATGAGCAAAAGTCAAGGTTGGAGAATATAGGCTGCCAAATGTTGCCAACAGGGAGTGATTTGAGATTGTGGTATGAAAGATACGCTGAGCTTGTTGGATTTTGTAAGCAACCGGGACATCTCTTCGTTGGCAACGCTGGTTACCCTGGTCTACTTTCCTGGACTAAAGAGCAACGATACACAAGGGGCAGGGAGAAATTGGCCCGCCGCTTTTCAGATCGCAGACTTATTTTTTGGAGCGGATTGACTTTCCTTGGGTATCGATTCGTGAGAAAGTAGAGTGGCAGATCCAGTACGATGAGCTTGTCGAGTTTTAGAAGCCGGTGGGTCGGTTTCCAGGATGTCCCTCAGAGCACCCAAAGCTATACAACTGGATGTTTTTGCAGCGGCGAAGGTACAAAGGTTAACGATTTTCCGATCACCAAATCCACCAATTGGAGAAGATTGGTTTTCAAGAAGGAATAGCATAGATTTCATTCTTCTTCAATCAACGGACAATCGGGCCAAAATGGCCCTATTGTGCAAAAGTGTAAAACGATGTTGTGAAATCACTCGCAGCCGGTATTCCATATATTTTATACCTTTACTGTACCGGTACCTACGGGGTACCCGCACCTACCTTGAACATCATCACTCTATGGGACATGTTCACCTCTCACGGTTCAACATTGGCGCGAGATTTGCCATCCGGCTCGATTTTGGAGTTGCTTACATGTGTGTTACTTCGAATCTTGGCATCGCCAGCCAACACGGAACGGAATCGTTTGGTCCGGTACACAATCAACGTATCGTTTACAGCGACGATATCATTTGCCTGCCCGCCACGCCACGAGAAGAAACCGAAGACACATCATCTTACATCATTCTTTTTCGTTTGCAATTTTGACGATTGGAAGACGAAAACATTAGCATTGTTGTTATTGTAGTATTGAATTGATTGGTGAACCATATAGTTTTCACCGTAACAATTACTCAATCACACACACGTACACATTCAAGGCACACTTTTATTAACTGCTTTCACACATAAAAAGCACACAAGTTGATTCTTAAAATTTGGTAGTTTTTTGGTTACCAAATAATTTTAAGACATTGGAAAACAAACCATCGAAACAAGATTCAGATTTCAGTGCCGACTCAGACTCGCGCCTCATCATCGGACTCGTGTCAGTGCTCTATTCAGTCTTACAATGGCATCTGTGATCACCAATTACATCGACGAGCTGTCGTCGACGCAGCTGTACACCGCGGTTGTGGGCGCAACTGTCACCTTATGCATTGTCTTGTTAGGCCCGGCGGCTGGCGGGAATGAAAATTTGCCGAGCAGCATGCTGGGAATGAGCACCGCCGCGGTCGCTGCCAGTCAAAAGGATGCTCTGAAACAACAGCCGAAATGGTACTTGTTCAAATACATCAACGTGGGTGTATTCTGTATGTTTGTTTCCAGCGTGGCCGTCTTTCTATGGGATGCGTCCACCTACATCAACAATGGTGATCGCATGACGCAATTCCTAGTGGGTTGGTCTCTCTTTTTGTGCTACTTTTTTGGTTTCTTTGGGGTCTTTTTCATACATCAGGATCTGCTGATGAATCCTCATTCGGATGCTGCTGATTCTGATTCTGATAAGAAGGAAAACAACAACAACAACAACAAGACTACAGATGTTGCCGTACCAAAGAAAGTGTAAGTCAAAAACTCGCGCAGCTTTCATTTTGTTTGCGGATGTCTGGTCTCTGATCTAAACCGATTCATCCTTGCACCCATCACACCATTCTGAATTCTACAGCAAATCTGTTTCACCGCACAAGCCCAAAGTGGTCCATGAACCAGCTGCCTGTGCACCTGTATGTAGTGATCCAACATCTTTGAAGTCGCCAGCATCAAAGACTTCTGCCATTTCAAAAGATACCGACATTACGGGAATGTCGAATGACGAAATTGCTCAACTTGTCATGAAGCAACAAGTCAAGGATCACGAATTGGAAAAGAGACTGGACCCTTTCCGGGCGGTCACGGTTCGACGATTGATTGCCCAACTCAAACTCCAATCGGTCCATTCATCATCTGATACCTTTCTGGAAAACTTGCCCGAAGGTCCTTCCCTCGATTATTCCAAAGTCCATGGAACCAACTGTGAAATGGTGGTGGGATATGTCCCATTGCCCGTCGGTATGGTCGGTCCGCTCACTTTGAATGGCGAATCTGTTTACTTTCCCATGGCCACGACGGAGGGTTGTCTCGTCGCCTCGACGCAACGTGGCGCCAAGGCCATTTCGCAGGGTACACTTGGTGCTCAAGCTATGATTGTCAAGGATGGGATTACCCGAGCCCCCTGTGTTCGCATGGCCACGGCAATGGAAGCGGCCCAACTCAAATTGTGGTGCCAAGAACCTGCCAATTTGGAGACTCTCAAGCAAGCCTTTGAATCGACCACCTCGTTTGGCAAACTATTGGAGTGCCATGCCACTGTGGCTGGAAAGAATGTTTATTTGAGATTGGTTTGCTTCTCGGGTGATGCCATGGGGATGAACATGGTCAGTAAGGGTTCTCTCAAGGTGATTGAAACCCTCCAAGACATCTTTCCCAATTTGGAATTGGTGGCCTTGTCGGGCAACATGTGCACGGACAAAAAGGCAGCTGCAACCAATTGGTTGCACGGTCGTGGTAAGAGTGTAGTGGTCGAAGCAGTCATTCCCAAGGATGTCGTCACGAAGACTTTGAAGACTACTGTTCCAGCCTTGGTCTCGACGAACCAAAACAAGAACTTGATTGGTTCTGCCATGGCGGGTGCCATGGGAGGATTCAATGCTCATGCCAGTAATATTGTGACTGCCATTTTCCTGGCTACCGGACAAGACCCTGCCCAGAACGTGGAATCGGCCAATTGTATTACTCTAATGGAACAAGTTGAAGAAACTGGTGATTTGTGGATTTCGTGTACCATGCCCAGCATTGAAGTCGGAACCGTTGGTGGCGGAACGACCCTTCCAGCGCAAGCAGCCTGTTTGGAAATGATCGGTTGCAAGGGTGGATCCCGAGAGGCACCGGGCAAGAATGCCCAACGACTAGCACTCGTGGTGGCGGCTGCCACCATGGCGGGGGAATTATCGCTCATGTCGGCCTTGGCGGCCAACACTTTGGTGCAAGCGCATATGAAGCACAACCGAAAAAAGGCAGTTTAGAAATTGATTGGTACTGGTATCATACGAAAATGTACGGTACGGTGATATTGGAAAGTGATGTTTGTGGATTTTATGGTGCATAATAATATATTAGAGAGTGATACAGTTTTTTAAAAATTGAAAATCAAAATGAGGCCGCTATTACATTTAATATACAATGCGATTCGTTGGTAGTGATGGGTGATCTATGGCACTATCTAACACCATTCCGCCACCAAACTGTCCGATTCACTGAGATCTATGACGGCTAGTGGCAAGTAGGGAATGCAACCCGTAAGACCAGTGCCTCCTAATAGTAGTATGCGACAACAAAAACGGGGGAACAAAGATTAGACGACGATCCAAGTGTAATACTGCAGCATATGGCTTGATCTCTCAAAAAAGGAAAGGACTTACGAACTCCAAACGACTCCAACTTTGTCATGGCACCCAATTCCACTGGTATGGTACCAGTCACCTGAGTGAAACCAATCCGAAAGTCTTCGAGTGCGGTAAGTTTCCCAAGTTCTGACGGCAACGGGCCTCGGATTTGTTCGTTAAAGTCTTGTGATTTGAAAAAAAAACGAGTGAAAAAAGGACTGTTAGAGACGGCCGGCCGTGCATTATTATATGCTGTTCGTTTGACCATTCAAACATTCTCTCTATACTTACTGAGCCACAACGACTGTAACGATGTCATTTCGCCCAATTCGGTTGGCAATGTTCCTGTCATTACATTACTCCTTACGATCAGTTGCTTCAACGTCGACAATTTTCCAACTTGGGTTGGTATTGAGCTTTCCAAAACATTCAGGTCAAGGTCCAAGGCAACGAGTTCTGTAAACGACCCAACTTCCGGCGGCAAGCTTCCTCTCAAATTGTTATTGTCCAAATCCAGTCGAATCACATATTGTCGATTCGCATCACAGGATACTCCCCACCAGTCGCATACTGTCAAGGAGGACAACCATTTGGAATCTTGCAACCAATCATCACCAAAAGTATCATAATGTAAGACAGCAAGACTGTATCGTTCCATCCACATTCGCTCGCTTGTAGTAGTAGTAGTACTAGTAGTAGTACGTGTAGGTGGCACCCAAACGTCGACTTGCGATATCCATTCCATGGCATCCTTGTGCCATGATTGTGGCGATAGGCCAGCAACATTGGCAATAAGTGCCCGTTCAATGGATGCCACTCTATTTTCAGAAGGAGCAAAAGACGGAGCAACTGTGGGTGATGCCGTGGTCGGCACTGGTTTTGTTGTGGTTGCTGTTGCTGATAGAGCATTCTTTGGTTCCTCCTTGTCAGCGGTTGCCGTCAGCAAGACACCCGCCACAATGGCAGCCACCAACACCACGATGAGAATAAATCCGATTCCAATCATCTTTTTATTGGATGATGATTTCTCGACCGTTGTTGCCACTGCTACCTCCGAGTTGTTGCCATTATTATGATTATGATTATGATTGTTGTTGTTGTTGTTGTTGTTGTTGTTGTTGTTGCTGTTGCTGTTGCTGTTGTTGCTAGTCTGTTGCTGCTGTTCCAACAGTCGTTGTTGGACAATGGCCTCGACATCTGGTGCCACTTCCGCTTCAATCAACTGTTCTTCTTCGTTTTGTTGTTCAGCATTACTAAGGTCATCACCATCATCATCATCATCATTACTGCGAATGGCACCAATTTCAATATCATTTTCAGAGGACGGGGAGGAGGATAATTCTTCCTCCGATCTCCTACTGTTTTTCTTGTGATTGCCTCTGCGTCTCCGACGTTCTCGACTGGGTGCAGACGGTGAAGGTGGAGTTGGTGAAGACGATGCATTGGATAAGTTTGATTTCTTTGAGCCGGAGGAAGAAGAAGTAGGGTTCATGGTACTAGAATCCTCTGAGGCTGATGTAGCCGATGCCAATCGAAGTTTGTATGATGGTGATGATGGATTTCGACTGCTACTTCGAGAAACAGTTGGTGATGCTGATGTTGATGATGCGGATGCGGATGCAGGAGTTCCAGATGCCATTCTCAGCCGTTTGCTTTGTTCCTTTTCCATTCTTCTTTGTGCTTCAGATGAAAGTCCTTGTGCTGATACTTGACTGTTGCTCCGCCGAGAAGGAATAATGTCCACAACGACATCCGTTGCTAGCCTCAGCTTGCTTTGTTCCTGTTCTGATGGAGGTTCGAGACTGTTGGTGGCACCTGGAAGCGATGACTCGCCTTGAGCTTTAGTGGTATTCTTGTCAGTGCTTTCTTCATCCTTGATCATCTTGTTGTTGGACGTCATATTCTTACAATAGATTTTAAGTGATTTATACTGATGAGCGGAGATCTATGATGATGTTGATGATTATGAATGCTGCGTGCTAATACTGCGATCTGGAACCTGTACAGTATATAGTTAATAGTTACTGTGGTTCTGTCGTCTGCCTGCCTCGAGCTACGCGGGTATATAATAATAAATTACAGTGTTCTCTCGCGAAACAAAAATGACGACAAAACATATATGTGTGCGAAATCTTGCGACATCCGTTGAGAATTTTCTCCAAGATATAGACTCACCAAAAAAGATCGCACAGAAACTGAACCTAATATTTCTAAACATACTCATGGAGTGCCAAGATTAAATTTGGCGTTTATTAAGTAAAAACCATTTTGTGTTCATGTCTTCTACAGCGTGTATATCCGAGTCGCGTTCCACAAATGCTGTGCGTGGCGGATATTCGCAGCCGTGCATGCGTGCATTTTTGCAGATCATCATGGCACTCTCGCTCCTCATTTCCTTTTCTAAAAAGTATAGGATACAGGATACAGTACTTCTCAGGATCTACAAGTGGACAAATATAGTAGAGTACCATTACCATCAACACTATGGTTCACAAGTCACGCTCTTCCCGTTTGTCTTCAGGACACCACTCACCGCGTAAATCGGTATTGTCCTCTTCTCGAAACAGCATCATTCCTCATCTGAAGGAGATTGGAGAAGATCCCGAAAACTCCAAATCCGCCACCCTTCCAACCGTTGATGTGAGTGAAAGAAGTGACACTGCTGAGAGATCCCGCACTAGGAGTACTACGAGAAGATCATCCAGTCGTTCTCATCGCTCTCGGAGATCCATCAACAAGGTCGAAGAAAATGAAGAAGATCTTCTTTCAGAATCCATTATTGTGGACCCTTCCGAATCCTCCACCATTGAGGCCAGCGAACGCAGCGAACGAAGTACTAGAGATGGTTTCCAGTATCCAAGTGAGTTGTACCGGTCGCCTAATAAGCGACACTCGAAACGACGAACTAGTCAAGCTTCTACTCGTACTTTGTCCAAGAGCCCTAGTCGAAGCAAAGGAAGCAGCAGCAGCCGAGCATCCTTGTCTTCTTCCAAAAGTCCAAGGCGGGCATCGTCTTTTTCCAAGAGTCCAAAATCAACTAGCAACAGACGATCTCACAGAGCATCATCGTCGTCCATGCCTGCATCCATCAATATTGACATTGACAAAGATAATGGTCGTGATCATGATACTTTCACAAGCAACAAGAACAACGATGGAAGCAATACTCATTGTTCGACTCGAGAAGTAATGGCCCTCCAGCACGAACTATCTGTTGTGGCCACCAAGGTGTCGTCTTCGTCGCCGCCAAAAAAGTATAAGATTGCCGAGTTGAACAATTCAGTACCAACACCACACACTACGAAAAGAAGTAGTAGTAGTAGTAGTAGTCGTATCATGATCAAAGAGGAAGCAATTGATGAAGCGGAGGATGAGAGTGTGGAGGAACATAAGAAACAAAAAAGAAGAGCTGGAAGTGTCTTTGGGTACAAGTGTTGTTGTGCCGTGGTAGCATTGTTGGCTCTCCTTATTGGAGGCAGTGTCCTTGGAGTGATTTTCATTTCCGACAAGAACAAGAATACTACCGAGACGAGCAAGAACCAAGGCATTGAGCAATTGTTGTCCACGGAACCATCCTTCCATCCTACTACCGCAAAGCCAACTGCCAGTCCTACCAATTGCCCTACCGTTCTCTTTCCTTCTGCACCCGAACCAAAACAATGCAAAGCCATTGCAAGGAATCAAACTGTACCAAACCAAGATGAAATGGACACAAAGGAGCTCGAAATCTTCTTTGATGTCACTTTGGATGATAACGATGATGAAGCCGACATGGAGGCTCTCTTGCCGCAACTCATGGCTCAGATTCAATCACGTCTACTGCCTTCCTTTGCAGGATGTCCGGATCAATCTCAAGAACGGATTCGGCGACTACGATTGACGCAAGAAGATCCTTGCGGATCTATGAATCCGTATGTCATTATGAATGCCATTGCCAAGGGAGACTACAAAGCGGAACTCTCTTGCCAAGACAGCGTTGTGCAGCAGCAGCAGCAGCAACAAGGAGAAGAAGACAATTGTAATTTCGTGGCTGTGAATCTCAAGGTATTTCTCTATGGACAAGCGAAAATGTTGGATCTCATTGGAAGCTTTTCGTCCAATGTGGGAAACAATGGCCCATTGGTTGATCGATTGGGCCTACATAACAGTCCATTCAAGATTATCAAGCTTGTTGGAATGCAAACCTTGGACATTACCGAGAGTCCCAGCGCGCCTCCTTCCTCCATTCCAAGTTTGTCGCCATCGGATACTCCAAGTTCTCATCCTTCCACATCGACACCATCCCTGTCTCCATCTAGGAGTCCAACTTCCAATCCAACGGTGGAAGCTTCCAAGACTCCAACCTTTGCTCCAAGTACAACACCAACCCTAACCCCAACCAAAGGGCCCACGCCTGGCCCCAGCAAAGCTTTGACACTTTCGCCCACCACCAAGGCTCTCACCACCAACACGCCCACGACAGCACCAAGCAAGACTCCCACCATTCGCCCTACATTAGTAGCTTCCATTTCACCTACCGAACTCTCATCAAGTCCATCCCTCTCACCAACAACAGCTGCTCCAACCACCAGAGCAGGTCTTCTGGCTGTTATTGTCCCAAGCACAGGAACACCTTGTGAGATTACAGCCTTTGATTGGCTTTCCAATGTCGATACTTGGACGCCTGCTGTTGGAACAGCACCCAAAGATTTGGATTCCATTTGGACGGAACGATACAGTCTTGCAGTATTCTACTGCGTCATCAACGGACCAGTATGGGAACGTCAGGACAATTGGCTGTCGTCTGTTTCGGTTTGCTCTTGGGGTGGAGTGACATGCAATGGCATGAACCGTGTGATCAGCTTAGTTCGAACAAGGATACAGGTTCGAGGTATGTTTCTATTCTTCTTGTTGCTATTTGATATTTGTATTACTTGATGACTCTCAAACTCCTTGTTCTTGTTCTTGTTCTTGTTCTTATCATTATTATTATTATTCTGCAGACGCTCCAGGACGATTCAGAGTGGGAGGGTTCCTGCCAACTGATCTGGGGGCTCTATCAGAGCTGGCCAACCTTTCACTGCGTATGTCTAGGTTCAATCCGTCGTCCTTTTGAACTCCATCACTACTATCACTCACACCATACCTATATTGCCACTTATACACACCGCATATTCTCTGATGCTGGAACAGAGAATAACGCACTCACTGGAACTCTTCCTACCGAGCTTGCAAATCTCGGACAACTAACCAATCTAGATTTTGATTCCAATAAAATCGCCGGGATGGTACCTTCTCAACTAGGTACAAACTTGCAGCAGCTGAAACGGTTGTATCTTAGTAAGTTTTTGGATAGCAATAATACGCGCTACGACAATATAGGCGGTGGTGCGGTCATTCATTTTTGAAAGATATAGCCTAGGAGGCAAAACCGATATCATACTAACGATACTCACTTGCATTATTGTACAGAAAACAACAAACTGACTGGCGCAGTGCCCACCGAAATTGGAAGTCTTACTCTACTCACAGAGCTTCGACTGAGTAAGTTGTTTGAATGCCATTTCTGTTGATGTCATCATCATGATCGTCATGAAATAGTACCATCTCGCTCATCGGATTGCTGCTTTCTTGTCGCATTGCAATTGGTAGACTTCAATCAATTTCGAAGTACCATACCTACGGAATTTGGAAAGCTCTCCTTGCTCAAGCAATTTACCATTGGAATCAACAACTGGTCAGGGAGCCTTCCATCGGAAATGTCTAGTATTTCGCTGACCTGGTTTGGTTGTCGTAAGTGGCTGCTGCTTGATAGTGTACGAACGAAAGTTCCAACTATACACATCTCTTGCAAAAGCCTAACATTATCCTTGTTCAATTTGTTTGTGTTTGTATGGATGACAACAGGGAGTACACCGCTTACTGGTTGCATTCCCATGCAAGCAAGCACAATGTCCACCGGGGATACACGTTTTACTGGTTTCTGCTAGCCAGCCAGGGACACAATATATATATTAACTTCTTTGAATATTATATTTTAAAATGTAGTAGTGAAAAGAAGATGTTTTGAGGAAGATTCTTGCCTCTTCTATAGATAGATTTGGAATACAGGAGGCATGGATGGATGATAATGGTATAGAACGCATTGAAGGAGAAAAATTGAATGAATGAATATAATAGGTACGTATATAATATACCGGTCGGTAGGATCCAAGTACTACACGAGTCTGATTGCCGCCCGTTTCAGTCCGACATTCGCCCGCGGTCGCGTCCACAGAAATTCAAAATCACAAAACACCCAAAAAAAAGTAAATCATATCATATTATTATATATACCCGCATCGTTTGTATATATCCAGTAGGATGGACGACGCAAAAGAAGAAGAAGAAGAAGAAGAGGATACTAATGCTACTGTCACTGCCATAAACATTGTAGAGAACAATGATAACGATCCTTGGGCAAATGATGGATCGATTCTCCCAGATAGTAATGCATGTCAATATTATCAATTGATTTCATCGCAGGCTCCTACTGAAACAATGAATGATGATGACGATGATAATGACGACGGTGAGCATCAGCACCAGCAACAGCAGCAACAGCAACAGCAGCAACAACAAGATGGATCAAATGGTATGCTTTCACTGGACATTGCGGATACTCTATTGAGGGGTCTAGAAGAAGACTACAAGGCAACACATGCGCGTACCTTTGCAACCGATTCTTCACCTGCGGTGAATAATGAGGTGAAAGAGGTGAATGTGAAGGACGAATCAGCTACTATGGATGATATCGGTGAAGCGTCTGTAAGAATAGAAAATGAGGAGAAGGAGAATGGTGAATCATTGTTAGCAGAGGATGATGGAGGCGTCTACAATGAGACGTCAGTGGAAACGAATAATGGAGATGATGATGTGGTATCCTTCCCCGTGCATTGGAATGACAATGATGATGATGCAAAGGTGGATATTGCTGTAGTGCGCAAAACGGTAGAAGGCATTTCCAATGATAATACTAGTAAATTCATGGAGAAATATTCGGCGTGGCACAAACGACAACAAGTTGACGATTCGCATGCCGTGATTCCATCTGCACCCTTTCGAGCATTTCAGAGAGATACGGACAAGGCCAAACGGGCCACGGCATCCTTGTCACGATCTGCCACGATTGCAGAAGCCCTGTTGCGGTGTCAACAACAGAATTTGTTACTATTGAAACAACGAGATACTCTGATTGTGGATGTCGTCGGAGTCGATCACGTCGAGTGTGCTTCGATTGGACGAATCCAAGAGACCTTCAAACCAATCGTCCGATGGTTGGGAGCCTGGGGGTATTTATCACCATCATCATCCGCAGCAACAGCAACAGCAACAACAACAATAAACGCTATTGAACTACGATTGATTGGACGAGATCTCAGCAAATCGGTCAGTGCGGAACCGATTGATTTGCTGACGACAGCGCTCGTCACACCCAATAATACTAATGCGATCCACAAAGCTACGGCCAGATGCTTTTCCGAGATTTGCTATCATGATTGGCGGGCTTCCTTGAACGAAAGCAATAACAAAAATCCGGATCTCATCATTGCCTTCAACGCTGGAGTTTGGGGTTACGTGGAATGGGCGCCCACCTTGCATGCTTTGGGACAAGGCAGCATTGCTACACCGACAGTGATCACTTCCTACACTTTGGAAGAAGCCCAAGAAGATTTTGAAACGATCGAAGAAGCAGTTGCGGGGACTGCCGCCAAGCTAATATGGGGTCCCGAGTCGAATCCATTTGGAAGCAAGGTTGTCCGAGACACCAAATCCAGTTCAAGGGAGTATCGGGAAAATAGTGCCTGGCAAATGTGGCTTTTGGGTGGTGATGGTAGTGAGAAATCATGAGCTAGCATATTAAAATCTAAGCACACTTGATTTCTGCATTATATTATAAGACATGAAGTGTGGAACCGCGTTATATCTCATTGTGTTTCATGGAATAATAGATACCGGTATGTATCGTACATAGTTAGTTGGATATATATGTTAGTTGGATATATATTCATATTATGGACTGGTACGGTACACGTACAGACTGACAGACTTTGAATTCTGACTCATATATTGCGAAGTCATCATATCGCATCCACATCATCGTCTTCTTCTATAACTGTACGGTACTCCGAACGCTTTTTGGATGACGATACCTTCAAGTTCCGTAATCTCACAGTCTTCGTTACAATTCGAAGTATAGCTTGGCAAGAAAAAGACGAGAGACTTGGACTGCATTATTCAATCAGATTGATTGATTCCACTTTTATCTAGCTGATTGATTGAATTCGTTGATCCATTGATTGATTGATTCATCATTGTAATAAAAACAGTATATAATGATCCTTTCCAGTGCGGCCATTGTGGCAGTCATTGGTCTCAGCAGCAGCAACACCATCATCCCTAGTGCAAACGCCTTTGTATTATTGCCAAGACAACAACAGCAGCAACAACAACAGCAACCACCATCTCGCCTTGTGAGAACTACTACTACATTTCTTGCGGCACCTGACGACACTATTACTTCTGTCGTTGAGACCAATAGTAACAATAAGTCGAACAATACGAAGAAGTCTGATTTCTCGGATCCACTTCGTCCTGTCGTGAATGGTGAAACCTTGTTGATTCCCTTTTCGGAGAACGAAGTGGATCTTGGAAATGGTGAAACCAACAACGGACCCTTTAGTTGGATCGCACCGTATATGAAACTTGGCGGATACGAGCCTGGTGCCAAACTCGTGGGAGGAATCGCCACCAAGATCAATCCGGATGCTGACGACTATGAATTCAAGGATGAAATTTATTCCAAGGAAGTCCAAGAAGAACGAATCGCGGCGGCGACGGAAGAAGTTGTCAATATTTCACCTGAAGAGCGCCAACGAAGAAGAGACATTGCGTATGCTTGCTACATTGCAACGGCATTCTATGCCTTTGTTTCGTCGAACATTCTAATTGATGATTTCACGCCTTCCATTGCCGATCACCTTTGGAGGTTGGCCATTTTTGTGCCACTCTCGACTGGATATGGATTGCAACTCAGCGCCGATCGAGGACTGTGAAATGTGGCCCAGCGAGGTCTTTGGGATGTGACTGGTCAACTCGAACCAGTTCCAGATCCAACCCTCGCACGGGCCCTAATTGAAAAGGTCAACCAATTGAACAATGATAGTGGGACTGTCCCTATCATCCTGAGTCTGCTCTGGAGTGCTATTCCTATTGAGACTGCCTCTTCGATTGGTTGGGTTGCTTTGATCCTAGCTGGCCTATATTTGGCCAAGGATAAGGTTCCAGAATCTGTCTAAAACTACAATGGATGGTTATACTAGGATGAATGAAACCTGCTGTCTATGGGATGAAATCAAAACATGGCTTGCACCGAAAAAATTGAAAACGAGTTGAATGACGGAACGATGGAACATTCTATTGCACCTTTTTTTTTTAAATGAAACAAAAAGACACAATTGATGTACCTCATTCTTGAAAATACTCTTTCTGCAATACGGTCTACACGATTATTCCATCCAAGCGGTAAGGTAGGTTGCAATATGACAAAATGAATACTATTGTTTATATCTTAATTCATTCAATTTTATCAAAGCAGAAAGCTATACCTACTACTAGTAATATCATCCGAGAATATGTTCATGCCTGATGCCACTTTCGACCACTACCAATTCGTTCCTCATATCCAACTGCAGTAACAGCACCATCTGTAAGCTTGTTTCGAAATTCAGTCCATTTGAGTTCCGCCGAATACGCCATTTGCAAGATGGAAATGAAAATGACAAAGAGATTTCGTCTCCAACTGGGTCGTTCAAACAAGGACAACCCCAACGACAGAGAATCCAGCATTTGTACCTCTTCCTCCTTCAATCGAAACTTGGCACTGTCCAGGGCATCCTTGGTTTGTGCTAGGTCGCGGCATCCCACCAAGGGTACCGCCCCATGTCCACGGACCCAATTGATGGCCACCTGGGCCATGGTCGCATTGTACTTTTCACTCAAGGTTTGCAATTCCAAACGCAGTGGCATCAAATCGGGATACTGGACCCCCGTCATTTTGACGGCTCGAATCTTGGAGAATTTGTCCAAAGTCAATCCATCCGTTAGGAGTCCCTGTCCGATGGGCGAATAGGCCACGACCTGGATTCCCAATTCTCGGCAGACCCGGACCGTCTCTCGATGTTTCGGAGATTGCCAAACTAACAAATTCAGCATGATTTGATTGCAGGCAATTCGTTTGTTGTTGCGGCATGCAACCTTGTGGGCCCTCCAACACAACTCGGCGGGACAATTGGAAATACCAATGTGGCCAATCAATCCATCGTCGACCGCATCGCAAGCCCATTGAATGTGATATTCCAATGGTAATGGATGGATGGGTGTATGGATAAAGTACAAGTCAATCTTACGTACACCCAGTCGTTGCATCGAGCCTTTCAAAGATCGATAAAAGGCTCCCTTGGTCCATCGCCACAAGGTGGGCAAGTATTTGGTGGCCACAATCACGACATGATCGTGTTCGTTTTTGTTTTGTTCCATGGAACTAGTATTGTTCTTATTATTGTTCGGATGTTGGTCTTCTTGGTCTTGATACCATTGGCGGACCTGTTGAACCCGAAGTTCACTAGTGCCGCCGCCATAGCCTATGATGGATGGTACAGTAGAATTGTACCGGTAGGATGATGATTGGTGAACAAATGATCACGATTTTTGTGAGTGACTGATCGAAATAAATATATCCATCATCACAAAAGAACATATTACCAAGCTTCTTCTTTTTCTCTTCTTACCTTCTGCCGTATCAAAAAAGACCACCTTGTTGTCTTGACGACAAGTCTTCCACAGTTCTTGTACCGTGTCGTCACTCAAATTTCCCTTGGGATTGACCACTCGTTCATCAATCTTTGTGGTTCCCCATTGCATCAATCCAACGCCAATCTCTCCCAAGTCTAATACGGGGGTTTTGTTGTCATTATTGCTGCTGCTGCTGCTGCTGCTGCTGCTGCTGCTGCTGCTGCTGCTGCTTTCATTGTACGTATTGCTTGTCATTGTGTGAACGTATGGTCAACAATATATAGATTACTGCGTCTTGTGATTTTCAATTTCCTGTATTTTATATTGTGTTGCTTCGAAAAGTTGATGGTGGGTGTTCGGGTTCTGATAGTTTAGTCGGACAAGTCAATCGCCATTGAAAAATACTTGATTGAAGAAAAAAACTGCATGAAACAACGATAAAAATATAAAAAAGATACATCGGTACATATATTATATACCGTATAGTCGTGCACCATTGAAAAATCCTTGAAGAAAAATAGTGCGAACTGTGTGAAAAAATGATCAGAGATACGGTAGCGACGAACGAATGAAGAAACAATCATCATCATCACGCCTCAGCACCGTCCTTGTCCAATCGATCAACAGTAGGGATCGCATTGCATGCGGAGATTGCGGGGTTCTCTCTACAATAGATGTCCCGAGCTTTTTTTGCCAAACGCAGTCAGTAAATGTAAAAGTTTCCTCCGGTGTGAAATTTCCGGAAGAAAACGGGAAGAAGAAAGATACCGCGGTTTTGCGATTCAATCAATCGATCAATCAATCAATCAAATATACATAAAACTCCAATGTTTGATTGGTCAATTGGTTGAAGCAAAAGGTGTCAAGTGCAATATTGTGTAGTATCATTGTTGAAGTATAGCAAAGTGGTATTGGTAGTAGTAGGGTAGTTGTTGTATATGATATATATTCTATATAGTAGTGTGTGCAATAATAAAAATAATAATAATAATGCTGGCAATGATAACAGCACAAAAGTTTAGGCCATGGGGGCCACTTCGTGATAGCGAACAGCAGAATGTTGTTGTTCCGTCAAGGTCATCATGCCAACAGGGTTTGGCATGATCTCTTGTTGTTGTTGTTGTCGTTGTTGGTCGTTTTTGGGATAACTATCGACGACTGCCTTGTATCTCAAGGCAATGTAGTCGGGATCGATCATGCCGTAGATTCGTTGATCGTATTGTTCGCTCAACACAGCGTGAATGGCTTGATGAATGTGGGCCATGGCGCGTCTGGTCTCGCAGGTTTTCTCCAAACCCTCCATGGCATCATCCTGGGGCAAAAGATCAAGCCAAGCATCCAAACGAGCCACGCAAGCGTTGCGATTGGCAATCATTTGTTTGCGTTCTAGGCGAGAGTACCATCCGTTTTCGAGTTCTTCCAAAGTGTATTCGGAAACGTGAATGATTTCGTGGACCGTGTTGGTTCGGGCAAAGTGAACTGCCCTTTTCTTAGGCTGCTGCGCAGCAGGCATTGGCAGAGACCACACGCTGGAGTTTTCACTCCACAGACGGACGCAGGGCTTGACTTCCATGCTGGAGTGCGTCAAGAAGCGACTAGTCTCATCATCGTTGTCAAGGTGCAATGCCGGTTTCGAAGCATTGTCGTTGAGGGAACAATACATCATCGATGGTCCCTCATAAGAGAGTTGAGAAGACGAGAAGGAAGATAGGGGAGGCATGGTTGTGTACGTGTGTCCTGTATGTACCGGTATGGGTTTTTAACAAAGGAATAAGATTGTTTTTCTGTTGGATTTTGTGACAGGATGGAAGCAGTATTCCCACACAGCCAGAACTTTTTCTTTCTGTTCTGTCGTGGATTGACGTAAAATGCCACGCAATGCAGTATTGACGCACAGTGGGGTGATTTGTTTAGCCGAAGTGGGAAAAAAGCAAAACTGGGTTTGGCCTAGATTTTGTACGGTTGGATCGTACCGGTTTCCCAAAATCAAGCTCTGGGCACGATCTAATCGTGATGTGGTGTATCCCATAACGGCGAATAAATTTGCGCCTTTTCAAAAAAGTCATTTTGTGGGTCATTAGTGTTCACGTTGTTCTTTATGCCTCGAGATAATTATGAAAACGAAAAAGATAATCTAAAATGACTTTAAGTCAAGGTCACATTTCGGTTCTTCTATGCCTCCCTTTTTGTCCTTCGTATTCTTCCGTATCGGCATCGGAGTTTCAAGTTTCAGTTCTTGTTGCAACAAATCACGACTGACTAAAAGAATTGGCAGATGTTGAGAGTTGAGAGTGATTGAAGTATGTTAAAAAGTCCTATTGATCGAGTGATAAGCTAACTCCAAGTAGTCTATTTGACTACTTTGGTTCAGTCAGTAGCAGGTTGACCAGTTCGACAGAATGATTGATTGGATTGTTCCATCGAACAACGTCGTTTTTCTACTTTTGGGAAGAAAATCGAAGAAATATTAGATACGTTCGGTACCGGTACGTGCAATTACGGTATCTTTCACCCTTGACACGAAAGAATTCTTCTGATCTCAGATCATCACAACACTATCAAGTCTTGGATTGCATTACCACAAAGTACTGTAGTCTCACAATTCACACCCCTCTTGTGGATCTTTCAAAAACACATCTCTACCGTATCAGCCAATACTTTTATAATGTCCTCTCCTTCGTCTACTTACCAAGAAGAACAACCTTTGGAACAAGAACAAGAACAACAGCATCCTTGGGCCCAAGAAGACGATCTTCTCGCTCGTCAATGTGAAGACTACGATCCTTGGAATCAATTCTGGGGTGTCTCGGAAAAGAAGACTCGCAAGTTCAGTGACATGGGACTGTTTGTGGTCATGTTCCTTTGCATGTCCTCTGCCATGTTGAGAATCAAGTCGAGATAGGCATAATTACATTCACTAACTGATTGATCGATTGCAAAATCGCTGCCGTACATCAACAATCGAACACGAGATTGAGCAGGAGCCACAACGACTCCTTTGCAAAATAACGAAGTATAAATACAGATAAACATTAGGACTAGGACCTACTACATGAAAAGAAAATGTATATAATGAATATGGCCTTCTTTGTAAGACCACTATCATCAGATACCATGAATTAATTTATTATCATCCCAATTACTGTAGGAAAAGATGGAACATGGTGCAATACATCTCTCTAGTGGTTATTGGCTTGTATAACTCTCTAATATCGGTTCCTAATATATATGTTCAGTCGTCTTGTGTTAAAATATTAACACAAGACGACTGCTGATTAAGTCTACAATGTTCTATTCTTTCCTCCATGGCAGGGATCTACTAATACGCTTCCCAAGATAAAAATGCCATGGTTGATCTTTTTGCTTGCTGGTTTGCCAAATAGCAACAACAACAACAACAACAACAACAACAACAACACTGATATAGTAGCGGCCTAAACTTTGTTGCTGTCTTTGGAACTGCTCATGTGAATGGTCCGAAAGAAAGTATCCAACATGTCTTCCTTGGATCGTTGTCGTCGATGTTTCTTGTGCTTGGGACTTACTGACGGACCCGCCATGGTTTGGATCCAATTCAGGGCAAGTGCTTCTTCAGCGGTTGATCGCAAAGTAGGATCCTTCTGCAGTAAAGCTTGACAAAAATCCTTGGCGGACGACTCGTCTACCAGTTCGGCCCAAATCTCGGCTGGTTCATAGACGCACTGTAGATCGGGATCTTGGAGCAGTGTAATCGTATCCGCCTCGTTGTCGCCACAATGGGGGAGCTTCCCTCTTGACAAAACCAAGTAGGCAATGACCCCAACACTCCATACGTCACATTTGCTATTGTATCGGTCTTGCAATAACACTTCTGGTGCCACATAGTACGGTGTTCCCACTTTGGTGGTTAGTATTTGTTCCAGTGTGTCATACGTGGGGGAATCAGCCGGACCTTCCTTGAGTGGTAGCTTGCGGGCCAATCCAAAATCAATAATCTTGATGTCGGTGTTGGTAGTCTTGGAGGCAAATACAAAATTGGAAGCCTTGAGGTCCCGATGGACGACTCCATGTTCGTGCATATAGGCGACGGCCGACAATATATTTTGCAGCAGCTGGGCAGATTCTGGTTCCGTAGCATTCCAATCTCCCGATCCGATTCGTTCATAAAGTTCATCCGCTCGACACAATTCGGATACAATGTGCACAAAGTGTGGTTCTTCAAAGACATTCTGCAATTCAATGATATGCCTATGATGCAAACCCTGCATGGACTCTATTTCTCGTTGGAGCATATGAATGGGCGTCTTGTCATTTTTGCGGATCGTTTTGCAAGCGTATTCTCGACGAGTATGTTTCTTTCGGACCTTGCGGACAATCCCAAAGGATCCTCTTCCCAATTCCATTTGTATTGTGTAGCTGTGAGTGGCGCGTCGTGGAAAGGATTGGATTATATTGGATGGATTCGAGTGAGCGACGAAGATGAATGAATTCTCCCATAACACTCTTCTTTCTGTCTTACCTTGATTGGATGTTGCAGTATTTAGCATTCGCAATGTATCTCTCATTAGCGTCGGCATCATCCTTATCCCCCACTGGTCCCCGCGGTGCACGTTCCTGTGGTTTGCTCCAATCGAACCGGAAAAAGTGTTCCATGGCACTGCGCGAACTCATCATCATGCTTTGATTCTGTTTTTGAATCCAATGTAAGCCGAGTGCTTCTTTAGCCGTTGGTCTCACAGCTGGATCCCTTTGCATCAATGCTTGACAGAAATCCTTTGCCGACTTATCGAGTTCGTCCCAAATCTCGGCTGGTTCATAAGTGCAATGCAATTTTTGATCTTTGACCATGGCAAGAGTTTGTTTTTCGTCTTGTCCGCAGTATGGAAGCTTGCCGCGACTTAGCACCAAAAAGGCAATGACGCCAATGCTCCAAATATCACATTTGGAATCATAACTATCCTGCAATAAGACCTCAGGCGCCACATAATAGGCAGTACCAACCTTGGTGGTCAGTCGGTGGTCCACAATGGTCCCGTTTGCACTTTCTGTGAGAGGCAATTTCCGGGCTAATCCAAAATCAATAATCTTGACGTTGGTGTTTGTGCTTTTGGTTGCAAATAAAAAATTGGATGCCTTTAAGTCTCGGTGCACCACTCCATTTTCATGCAAGTAGGCTATAGCAGACAGTATGTTTAGTAGCAGCTTTGCAGATTCCTTTTCCGTCGCATTCCAGTCGCCCGATCCTATCCGTTCGTACAATTCTCCTCCCATGCAAAGCTCGGAAACAATGTGAATGTAACTGGATTCCTCAAATACGTCAAAGAGTTCCAAGATGTGAGGATGATGCAAGTTTCTCATACATTGAATTTCTCTTTGCAGCATATGGACTGGCGTCTTGTCGTTCTTCTTCAATGTTTTACAAGCATATTCTCTGCGGGTATGTTTCTTTCGGACTTTATGTACAACTCCAAAGGATCCTCGTCCAACTTCGCCCTGAATTATGTAACTGTGAAGATTGATTGATATTGATATTGATATTGATATTGAATTTGATGATCGATGATTCAGAAGTGATGAGTCAACGGCAGGGGACAGATAATTGATTGGATAGACTGGGCACATACCTTGTCTGAACGGTGCATTGCTTGGCAGCTTCAATAATTGGTTGTTCCACACGTTCTGTCATTCTTCCCCAAAAAATACAGGTTTTGACCCTTTTCAAACAGTTTCAATTCCTGATGCTGCAGTAAAAGCTTATGCTTGATGAAGGGGCATCGAACGACAATTCTTCAGCACTGCGTTGTTCTTGTTGTTTGAGAAGCCAACGTCGGGATTGCAGGTACCAGTATCAAGGGACCCGAATAATATTATTGACTGCTGAAGAAATAAAAGAAGGTGACCAACCAAAACTCCAGCTTGAAGTTGTCACGTTTGCGAACGCCGCTCGCGGACTGCATCCATCCATTGTTTGTGGTTTACGTACCGGTAGCTACAGTACCGTATGTACCGGTACACGTACACGTGTACCGTACAGTCCCGGCCGGTGGTTTGGGTTCTGTAGTCGTCTGGCCTTTGTCAACAAGTCTAATAATATTTTATGGCTCGTCCGTTTCTTCTGTCTGTCGCACGTAAACGAGCAAGGACCGGGTGGGTTGACCGCAAGACGATGGCTATAGGTGGTTGATTCATACGGTACAAGTACCGCGGTACTGGTACCTACCAGGTACCCCATGCCAGTGGCGGAGACTCATTCGATTTTTGATGAGATGAGCGGATATTCAAAATGCTCTCTGTACTCGACCGTTTCTGAGAACTGAAATGTTGACGCATTGATTGATTCCATGCAGAAAGCCAACCGTTCCACGTACGGTTGCTTGGCAATAGTGAACAAGTATCCACTAGCTTTGTATCAGAGCCCCTCCGTTCGCTATACTGTAGTTGTCGCAATAACATTTTCCCAGAAGTGACGATAATGATGATACAAAAGTTCTCACGAAAGCAAGAACGACAAGATATATCACCCTTTCCTCTACAGTATCAATTCTTTTAATAAAATGATGTCACATCAACAACCAAGCAATTGGAGCAATTGGAGGTAAATGCAATTGCTGTACTCCAAACATTGTAGGCATGTGTTCAGGGACACAGACCATTTTTATTATTTTACGCCGAAGTGCTTGCGTTTACCGTATAAAGTGCATGGTTCTTTTGAAGTCGCTCAACTGTGATTTGTTAGCCACACGTTGCTGTTTTTTGAGCCGCTCAAACTTGAAAACCGCTGACCGGTTATTTTCAAAGATGTAGCGAGTGGCGGTTCTGTTATTTGCGAATGAGCGAGGGGGAGCAAACGTGATCTCTTCATTGTGAACGACGTGTGGAGTAGCATATATTTATGTATCAGAGGATCAGGAACGAAGACCAGAAGTCAAATATGTTGAAATAGATACAGCTGATCGATAACTGTGAATCACAATTTGTCTAATAAAATGAAACACAGGGGTCGTGTTCGTCAGGCGGGTCGTGCTGACCCGAATGTTTGGTGTTCGTGGTTTCTGTTTGATCCTTTTGCTACGAACCTATTTGTCTTTCGCGAAAGGTAAAAAATCTGAATGACGTGTATGGAGCCAACAAAATGGGAATTCTCGAACTTAATAGTAATGGCCGCTCCTCAACAAGGGTCCCGTTGGTGCGCGCCAATTAGAATAAAGTGAGCAGGACCGGCTCCAAAGACCCATTCGCTACATGATTCGGCTAGACGTTGTACCAAAAAGAGTAAGAACCCATTGGAATGATTTTTCGTATAACAGGTCGTTTAGATAAGTGTTTGCTCAATTCTTCCGTTTGGGAGGCTCCTGCCACAAACGCACTTTTGAGCCGGAACACAACCCAACCATACAAAAAAAAACATAAAAAAAGGCAAATGGAACCAAAAAGACTGCAGCTGCCATTATAAAATAGCTAGATCCAATTTGCTCTTCGTCGCCATGAACGATCGAAGCAGCCATGATCCACCAGGATTGCTGCAGTCGAATAGTACGCCGACTGATGAAGTGAGGCAAATTTCGAGAAGTGTGGCAGATGCCCTTCACAAAATGCCGTCAGCGATGGAAGACGAGCGCTTACCGAGTAACTTCCCTCCTCAGCATGCATCCACACCATCGAGAAGATTTACTTCGAAAACCACCGATGATCGGGATAAGGTTTCTCCCAGCATCAGTGCACCGACCGATCCTGTGGCAAATGATGTCCTCTTCGGAAAAGGCCGAAAGAAACATCCAGGCAACAAAATGCTACGAGAAGTCATGGATAACCTGGAACAACAATACGAAGAAGCCAGCAAGCAACGGAAAATGGAGCTGACCTGCGTCATTGTGCAATCTATGAAATGGTCAGGGTCGAGATTTCTAGTTCAAGAGGACGATGGCCAATGGTATCAAGTGCCCTACATTCATGCCCATCGCAAGGTTGCCAAAGACTTTCGGAATCGACGACGTGGTTCTAAAGCGCAGCAGAACCAAAACAACAGCGATACGAGCTTGGAAGTTACTTCGCTACGACTATGAGCAACCATGCATCCATCTGTTCACACGAACACATTACCCGCAAGCACTCGCTACATCTACCTTTTCTCAAGGACTCACATGTCTCCAGCTTGTAAGTTCATTGAGAACAATGCCGATGATCACACAATTTTGAACTACTGTAGACTATTTTGAATTAGCAGACTACAGCATTTTTAGCTCTACCGAACTGTTTGGTATTGTCGATTGGTATCGTGACAACAAACACAAAACCAAGTTCAGGTCCCACTTTTTGGTTGGCTCATTTTATAATTTTTCAGCTTTCACTGGCGCAGAATTTGAATGCGGGAGTAACAAGCCTGTGCGGCTTATTGGCAGTACCGTGAACGCTTTTTTTAAGTGTTTTTCCCGTTTAAAGGACACATTTTTCGAGCTTGCGCGACTTTAAAAGGGAACGATTGTGATCAGAAGATTTATAGAAACCCGAAGTTTTAAGATCAGAAAGGGAAGACAAGCAGCGAACCAAAGTCGCGGGCGATGGACTATATTAGTGTCTCGTACACGTTCGCTCAAAACCATGAGAACATGCGGTAAAATATATATACCGGTAAATGATGAGTGACTTGGTTTTTTACTGTGGGTGGGTGGGTTGGTGGGTAAAATACGAGAAACAGAAAAGATAAGAAGGGGAATGAACCAAACAAACCAAAGAGGGCTTTCTTTAAAAAAATTCAGAGCAGAAAGGAGAGACGTCAACTTGGTCCACCGCGTGCGATATTGTCTCTTGCCACAAGGGGCTCAATACTACGGGAAGAACGAATGAAGAATGAAACCCTCCCCAACCAAACCTCTGCCCATAATGACACGAGAACCACAGCCAATATGTACACACATGGCCATCTGCTCTAAATTCATTAGAGCAGAAAAGAAAAACTTGGTCCTGATCGCGTGAGATTATGTGCGAGTGTTTCTCTTTGCCATTTGGGCTCGGTAGGTTGTGTACCTCTAGGAAAGCGCACACATGAATTGAGGCTCAGACATGGACGACTTCGAGGTTCACTACTGATATTTCTTGCTACACGTACCGATACGTCCACAACAACTAGAGAGATTTCATGAGACGAATGGCGAATCTTCATCAAAGGGCCAATTCTGCCACCACGTGGCTCAACCGTCTCTTCTACCATGGTACGGGCTCAATAAAGCGCAAACATGATTTGAGGCTCAGCAATTGACGACTATAATAGCGGTTTTTTCATCAGAAGAACGAGCGAAACTTCCAAACAAGTCAATGGCCGATATGAAACTCGCCATCATGTTATTGGACGAAAATAATCATGACCAGCCAGAAACTCCGCTACACCAAATAACGTACCGGTACACTATCGCACATTGAACATCTTATGTACCAGGTACCCATCCCAGTATTTCAAAGTACACTGCAACTCTCGATTCAATCGACCAATCAATGAACGAGAGTAGAAGGGAACAATGAACATTGCTAAAGTACCATTCTTCCCAAATCATCGAACACCTATCGCAATCTCTCACAATTCAACGCCGCCATCTCTGCACAAACAACATCTAGCTCTACCAGAGTTCAAGATACCCACCATCCTCAATAATCATCATGCGCACCTCCTCGAGCATTCTAAAAAACAATAACCGCCACCATTACGCGATTGTAGTATCCGCTCTGCAGAATTACATTACACCTGATTCACACTAGGTGGAGTGAATGAATTGAGCAGCATCACGAGGAGGCATTATTCATTCGCCATTCCCAATCATGCACCAAGAGGATTGCGCGCCCACAAAACAACTGCGAACACTATACACAAGATCACACCACTCCCAATCATTATCCTACATGTACAGTATTTTCTCCGAATCAATCATCCACCCATTCGTTTTACCCACACAACACGGCCGCCACGCTACGCACAAGCTGAAATAAATGACTCGAAGAATTAGAGTACGCACGACAACATCATTGATTCAATGAAGAACCAACCAACCAACCAATCAATCAATGGTTTGCATGAAACGGCATGGCAGAGGCTTATGATGCATTCCAAGCACAAATCGGGAAAATGTGGCATTTGATAGCGTAGCAGGGTTGTTGTTGGAACCAGAGCAACAATCGCAACAATAGCCCCCTTTGCTATTAACAGATAGAAACCTTTAGCATTTTTATTTATTTAAAATGGTGTACCGGTAGGGTAGACTCAACAATCATAATAACAATAACAATAGATTGACGATGTGCTGCATGCGAGTAATGGTGGCAATGGTGAAAAGAAGGCAAAAGCTTCATTTTGCTTTGAAGGTCAAAACGAGAACGTGGCTTGTGGACTTTGCATTACAACAAAAAATCATCTCTATTGCAGTTTTCCTACCACTAACAAGTTTCTAGACATTCTTCTATCTCGCGCTTTTTTTGGCTGAAAGCTTGGTTCCGCGTAATAAGTCAGCGCGTGATTGGCTTTTTTTTGATTGGCGGTTTGTGTTTACTAGGGGAGGTGTGTCGGAAGTTGCAGGCACTGTAGGCGTAGAAGAAGGAGACTCAGATGGAACACTTGCGGGGGTGACAGGAGCCGGAGGGGACTTCATTTTGTTTGGATCACTGCCCCAGGGACCCCTGGGTTTATTCCCACCACCGCCGCCGCCACCGCCGCCACCACCGCCACCACTATCTGGAGTGATTGATGGGGAGGTGCTTGGGTCTCCGCTTGGGGCGACACTTGGGGCGTTGGACAAGCCTGAAATGAAGGAATCCCTCCTTGTATTACCCCCTGGGCCGAAACAGCACTCCTCAACCAAGCCGTTGCAGGAGTTGTCTGGAATATTGTCTCCGTTTTGCAAGCATCTGCAACAGTCATCGCAGGTGCAACTATTGAATCCAATAGTAACCGTATCACCTCTTATACCAACATCTTGACACGAGCGGTCACCAGTACAACTGTTGTCTCCAATTGTAACAGCGCCGCTCCTACTGCCAGCATTCAAGCATGCTAATGATTTAGTACAGCTGCCGCTTCCAATGACCGCGTTGCCGAAATTACTGCCAATAGCAGAGCATCCATTGCTTGCAGTACAACTGCCTGCACCGATGGTTGCTTGTCCATCATTGTTGCCAGCGTCAGTACACGAATCGATACCAATACAACTGCCTCCACCGATGGTTGCTTGTCCATTAACATTGCCAGCCCGATTACACGATTCACTACCAATACAACTGCCTCCACCAATGGATATTTGTCCATCGTTGCCAGCATCACGACATGCGTCATCATTTTTGCAAGACCCTTTGGCAACGGATGCAGTACCAGCACCCGCGCCTCCACCAATATCAAAACAAACGTTAGAAGCTGTACTGGGACCACAACACTGATTAGTATCAGAATCTAGTAGAGTGTCGCAGTTAGCTTCATAGGTTATTACACCTGCAAGAATGGAGTGAAATTGATGAGACGCAATCAAGGCAAGAAGTGTCAAAGTACGAGACTGCAAAAAGGCCAAACAAGCAAGGAAAGTAGTCCAAGTGTTAGAAGCATTCATGATAGTGCAGTGTTGGTTTTTGTTGGAAGATCGCTTCAATGCTTACAAAGACAGAATAAGGTTTTATATTCGCGTTGGTGCTCATCAGTTGTGGTGTGATTTGCAACAATTTTGAATTCCAATAAAAACGGAGACAGGATGTTATGACGCTGAAAGATTGAGAATCTATTTTAATACAGTAGGGTCTTTTTGTTTCTCTTTTTTCGTACTTTAGCGCAGTAGCTACTGGTACTACTTGAAAAAACCACGTAAAAGGTTTCATGCACGCGTTTTCTTCTGTAGTACTTTGTTAGAGGATGCAACCACAACGGAAAAAATGACTGCACTCCATTTTTTAATATGCGACGCCGTTGCAACTTTCCCTTTTTTAAATTATCAAAACACGACACATTAGCTACACAGCCGCAACAGTACACACAAGATGAAATAACGTATCCCTAGATATATAGAACTCGAAGAATTACAGTACCGTACATGACAACATTGATTCAAATCTACGAATCCACGAATGAATGAATCGGCCAATCAATGGTTTTTGCATGAAACGGCATGGCACAGCCTTGCGATGCATTACAGTCGCAATTCGGGAAAGGCTTGCATGTACGCCGACCTCATTTCATGCGCCAACTGTGGATGGTTGGTCTGGAACTCGGCCGGTGATTCGGCATAACAGACGATGACCGTGTTGACGGCTCCTCCCACCACATTCATCAAAATGCTGCAAAAGACAAAGCCAACCACCAATCCAATAAAGAATCCAGCCGAAGCGGAGGACTCCCCGAGATCAAAGGCCACCAGTAGGTTACTATCCAAAAAGGCACAGACCAATCCAATGATTCCAGTAAAGACACCCACTCCCAAACTGACCATGAACAAGACACGATCACAAAGATCATCCGCAATAATGACATCCCATCCCTTGCTCCTAAAGAGTTCCAAAACGTTCTTTCCGGCTTCAATGTACCCAAAGCCATACAATCCCACATAGACATAGGCCCACTTGTTAATGTACTCCAAGATATCTTGAATGCATGCTAGGATGCAATCAATGACACAGACCAACAATTGGGCATCTTCATTCTGGCGGGCTTGATGAGCAATGGCCCGCAAGGCTTGGACGACCGCCACAATAAAGGATCCCAAACAAATGGATCCAAAACTATAAGTGGTCGCTCTTCCAAAGGATTCTTTAATGGCCGAGGACCAATAACTGCTGGCTTCGTCGGGGACAAACCACCAGGTTCCAATGGTTCCCGCCACTGTGGTTTGGACGGTATTGCTCAAGACTTGTTGGACCCAGTAGAAACTGACGAGCAAGACAAAGACCACTGCGGTATTGTTGCTGGATAGCGAATCGCCAACGCCAATGAACCAAAGAATGGACCAACTGTAATAAGCATAGTAATAAAAATAATAACAATGGAATGGCGTGTGTTAGCAATAATGAAGAACTTCCCAGCATTTGCATAATAAATACAACACCGTATCGTCCACACTCACCCAAAAGCTAGCAAGATCATACCATACGCAATAAAAGTAACACCCATGTTCGCCTTGACAGCCGTCAAAGCCGTATTGAGATTGGCGGCTGCAAATGGAATGCGTGGCCAAACCGACTTGGCATAACAGATTCCAATCGCAAAAAAGAGAATCCCCAAAATTCCAGCAAACAATTGTCCACTCATCAATCCCAAAATGGCCATGACACCACTCAGGGCTACAGTGATTACAAGAGATCCCTTAACCAGCTCTTCTGGATACCGCATCATGAATTGCAAAGTGGCCGACCCCAGGGCAATCGTGGACACGGCGGTGATCCCCACCAAGTAATAAATTCCCGAATAATCCGGTTCCGCCACTCCACCATTGCCATTGGCCGCAGCAGCCGCACCGGATCCCATATTGATGCTAATCACAACCACCATCACCACCAAATGAACCACAAACAACCCAGCCCAGCCGACGTCGCGGTATCCAGAAGGTTGCATTTCGGGTCTGACGCTGGGAGTCAAATGGCTAAATTCATTATTGTTGTTGTTGTTGTTGTTGTTGTTGTTGCTGTTGTTGTTGCTCTCTTGATAGTGGTTCTGATTGTCGTGGTACTTCTCGCCTCCAGCAGGAACGGCGGTTCCTTGTACAATTGGAACTTCCATTCTATTGCGCTATTGCTAGTATTAGTCGTAGCAAAAGTAGTAATACTGTAGTGTGTTGTTGGTGTTGGTGTTATTCTTGAGATTCATTCATTCACATTCATTCCAAACTTTTCGAATTCCATTTCTTCGTTGCCCTAGTAGTATTCCTACGGAACTCTACGTAAAATACAATCAGATTCTAAATATCTCGAGATGTGCATCAAAAGTGCCGGCTGGCGATCGCAAGATTCGAACCGTTTGACCAAAAAAATAGTTTGGCGATTTGACACCTCTTTTATTGCTTTTGCTCACATTTTGGTTTCGGCTGCCTCACGGGAGATTTGTTACGTTCAACAACAACACTTTCGCCAATACACAAAAACTACAACATCCATCATCATGTTCCAGTGCCTCTTTTGTCCAGCAAGCTCCACCTTAGAGCCATCCAAAGCTCCTATGCTAGAAGTCATTTGTGCGGATGACGGCGACGACGACCAGCACCACGATGTCGACTTTATGCTGCTGCCAAGCAAGAAGAAGGAGACGAACAATCATGAAATTCCAGATATTACCAAATCTAATTCCACATCGACCGAAGAGACAATGAACTCCGAGGACGACGAGGAAGAAGACGAAGAACACGAGAGATACACCCGTGTCTACGACAAGCAAGACTCGTTGAACGTGGCCATGCGTGCTTCTACCCCATCGAGCCACACTTTGGAAATCTTTTTCGAAGAGGAGGCACAGGAGATTGAAACCGTTTTGTCTTTTTCTTCCCCCAAGAGTATTAGCAGCAGCAGCAGCAGCAACAACAGTAGCAGCGCAACTCTTGTCTCGTCCCATAGCTTCTTGGGCGAAGGACCAGTCCTATTGTCTCCGTCGTTGGAGATCATCTCCACCAACCAATATGAACAAGAAAAAAAAGACCAAATCCGATGGATGCGCATCCAGCAAGAGTTGGATGACATCTTGAGGCACGTGGAAGGCGTTTTTGTCGAAGATGAAGCAATTGAAGCATTGGGGATTGCCGCCAATCAAGTTGCCCATCTTTCTCCTGGTGGTAAGAACGAATCATCATCATCCTCTTTTTGTTCTTCTGTAGGACAATCCATCGTCAATGGCTCCCTTTTGGAAATTGCGGAAGACTATTACTTTGGTGACTCGGTCAGTTTTGTGGTCCGATATGCCGCCGTCTTGAGAAACACGGTCAAACAAATGAAGATGAATGGACTGCACGAAATCAAGTATTATCATGGTCAAGATTACGAATATGTTCGTCCAATCATGGGTGCTGCCGACGATGAAACAATGCTACTTGACACCACTATTAGTCCTTCCACTCGGAGACAAAAATTGGTCTCGCTTGCCCACACCGTTGCCCGGGGAAGTTGGAAATCTGCAGGATGGGTATATCAAAAGATTGCTGGACCATCATCATCATCATCATCATCATCATCATCATCATCATCATCATCGTCGTCGTCTTAGACTAGTATCATAACTCCAAAGGAGAACGGGTCGACGATGGGGACGGCAGGGTTCAGTGATATAGTTCTTGGAGTATATAGTACAATACGACTTCAGAGCACAAAAATGTTGTGAATACAAAGGCACAGCATTACAAATAGATAGTTACATTTTTATTTTTTCTATTTTGTTTCATACGTAGTATTTTTGACTGTACGACGCGACTATTCTTACTACATCTGGCTGTAGGATGAATGTCCGCGGTTAATGTCGAGCACGGGATCGACACGTAATATATGCATGCAAGCATCCTGCTTGTTGGTGTTCTGCTCTGCATTTTAATAAAAATTAAAAGCCACCCTTGACCTTGACGACGACACGACCATGTTTGGCAGGATCCTTTTGACGGCTCATGGTGGCTGAGGCGCAATCCTGAATGTCATGGACGGAATCGATGTCAATTTTGAGGTCAGAATTGGAGATCCATTCTCCAATTCCTCGTTCGAGATCTGCCTTTTTAGATTCCACCATGATCATCTTTACACTCTTGGAAGAAAAAAGGGTAAACAATTTGCCCAAAAGGAAATCCAGCATGTCATCGGGGGACGTATTGACGTAGACGCCACCACGCTTGAGGTACTTGGTGGTAGTCTTGCGAGCGGACAGCTTGCCGGGGGTATCAAAAATGACATCGAACTCACCACCCTTGAGTTGACCCATTACATTTGGCGTCTTTTTACGATCAATGACTGTGGTGGCTCCTAGTTTGGTCACCTTCTCGATATCCTTGGTACTGACGATGGCAGTCACTTCGCTTCCCAAGGCTACCGCAATCTGAACGGCACAAGATCCAACTTGACCGCCAGCTCCATTGATCAACACGCGACCACCTTGCACGGGGAGTTTTCCAATGTCTCTCAAAGACTGAAGATCAGTGAGTGATTCAGTAGTAGCAGCGGCGGCCAAGTCCATGTTGATATTCCTGGGCTTGACTGCCAAAGCATCCCACTTGACAGTGATGTGTTCCGAAAGACTACCTTGTGTTGTACTCGAGGCATAGGGAAGATTACCAAAGACTTGCATACCAGTCTCAAAATCTCTCACATTGGCGCCGACTGCCTCTACGACTCCGCTGAAATGCCAGCCGCAAAACAAGGGATTGGTTTGTTTGTGAGCATACCACCCACAAAGGTCTTTTTGATGACTGGATCCAGAGCGGTGTCTAAGGCACTGTAGTGGACCATCACCAGGACTTCATCGTCCTTGGGATTTCTGGTGTCGAAAGAGTCATGAGACAGCTACTGGTGAGATGCCAACAAATCCATGCCGAGGACGAGCGAGTACATGTGGTGCACGGCTGGACGGGCAACAACAACTTACGGCTTGGTAGTCTCGACAACTTGGGGTTTGGCATCGACGAAGGAAATTGCTTTCATATTGATTGTAATAATGTGTTTGACTGGTTTGGTTTTGGTTTTGGTGTTGTGGTTTTTGTTTGTTGCTTTTTGTGAATTGTGAGACGAAACGCAAATATTGGATTGATTGGGACTCGAAAGATACACGCGATTCCGAAAAATGCATGAGCAGTCTCCGCGGGATTTCCCCGTTGTTCGTCAAGATTCAGTGCGGGTCGTGGTGGCAGTTGGTGTATGTAGTGCGTGTCGTGGTAGCAGAAAGTGTATTTGATGGAAGGAGGAGCTGAGTGGTGCAAGCCACGCCGAATGCTGAGGATAACTTCTGAATCAATGGGAAGAATGGATGATGGAGAAACTTTCGCCCGTCCGCCGAGTGATTGCCATTCTTCCTGTATTTCTGGTGTATTTCTAGTGACCGTAACAATGAGACTGGAGCTCCATTACAATTGACTGCCTTTCCTGTAGTGTTTTTAGCAGTGCAACGAAGACAATGTAAGGATGGCAGAAAGAGCAAACAGTCAACCAGTCATGCTACAAGAATATTATTTCCATGCACCAAATTGTTTGCCATGACTAAAGAAATGGTAAATGACAGATACAGGAACGGCCGGGAAATAGAAATTTAGCATACAAGTCTTGGGAGTAAATATTGATTTTCCCGGCCGTTCCTGGCAGTAGATGTCCGTTTTTCTTCTACTGTGGGTCCAACTTTCCCGTCAAAACAGACGAACTGCAACAGAGGGAGGTTCTGCTGAAACCCGCCTGTATGCCGTACGTAACAACTAAAAATGTACCATTTGTCTCCACAATTTCACCGTTAAAAAAGTTACATGCGTGTGCACCCCAGTGACGCAATAGAATCTGCAACAACGGAATCTTGGAATTCAGGCCAACTGCTGAAAGAATTCAGCAGTTCAGCAGGGAATTCAGCCAACTGCTGACAACTACTGAATTCGAAAGATTCTATCGGCGTGCTTGAAAGATGCTATGCTGGCGGATATACCGTTAAGTCAACTTTCATAATAGGATTGTAACGTACGACGTACGGGCGGGTTTCAGCAGAACCTCCCTGTGTTGCTGGAAGTGAGGTATTGTTCTCTTTGTTTCTGGTTGAAGAAAAGGGAGAATCCATATAACGCTTGTGAAACCACGCGACCTACTGTTCTGAAAAATGCCCTTGGTGTTTCTGAATGACAAAAAAAGGGAGAAACGCAACTCCTTTTGATACCACTGCAACTGGCTGGTCTAATTAGGATACACAAAATATTTTCCGGTGAAACTCTCCAGAAGCTTTCCGACCAGAAAGAATCTAACGATCAGCGGCCGAGCGTCTTGTCCATCGAAAATCGGGAGTAATAAGCAAGGTGATTTTAGACATATATATGAGACTTGAAACACTTGTTGATGAGTCAGAATGACACTTAGTATCGTTGATCAGATTTGTCTTTTGCACCAAACGACATACTATGTTCGCCATTCTTCGAATGGGTTCGTCGAACCTCACGCGTTTTTGAATGACTGTGACAGAGCAGAGTTCGGTACCGGTATCGCATTATGACTGCGTCAGAAACTTTTTCCACTCATTTTATCCACCTTCAGTTATTGTCACAAATTTTCTTCACGAGAAAAACGAAAGCTCCTCCTTTCACATCTTACATTCTTCCATACGTGCCTTATAATGAACAATACATCATCACAACAATGCAGCCTTCCATACTCTGCACGTCCGGAATTGGATTCTGCAATGATCTCACTTAGAAGGCCGACGTTTCCAGCACGAAACGTGAACTTGTTTCGCAACACCGACGACAAGTTGTCGGTCGCTGAAATCTTGGATAAGGCAATAGCAATCATTGAAGCAGGCGAGGAGGACATGGATTTCTTACCACGGCAGTAAGTCCGACGCTGCGGCATTACTTCCCACTGATGACAAGAATCTGGGACGAAGCATCGCCACATCCGTGCAATCAGTTGATTTGAACATGCACGGTACCGCGGACAATACAAAGGGTAACTTCAAGACATTTGAGACTGGATCTCACAACAGACCACATATTGTATTCATCGCAGGTTGTGAATGTCAAAAACTGTAAACATTAAATCTTTCTATACACAACAAACTGCATCTTGATCATACCAATCATGCTTAGAGCTGCACGACCACCACCTCACCGTCATTGTCAACCATTATGCATTTTTTACTTTCTTCCCACGACGGTACACTGTAGTTTCATCAAAATCTTTCGAAAGGCTGGATTCGTGTTCAATCAATTTATCCAGATCGTTTTTTTTTCCAAGTGAGGCTCTTGGAAAGGGACGCGAGGCTCTTCGAAAAGGAGTTGCATGAAGACAAGACAGATCGTAGTGCGTATACCAGGCCAGACCTTGTATGGTCGGATCAGTCGATCTTTCGACCAAAACTATCCTCATATCCAACCAATAATCGTCAACGCAGCGCAACACGACATAATATACCGGTATTACCGGTAGAGCATCTCCTCTTCGCGGTCAACATGGCAACTCGAATCCACGGAAGCTGCAAAGTTCGAGGTTTAACCGGTATAGCCAAGGCATCCAAGGAACTACATCGGATTCTACAGCATCGTGGAGCGCGCAAAATTGCATGTGTCGTTCCGTCACGACGACAGCTGTCATCCAAGAACAACAACAACAACAACAGCAACAACAACAACAACAACAACAACAATAATGATCATAATGATGGCAAAGAAGGGACAGAAGAGAAGGAACAGGCCAGTGTATGGGAACAACTTCAGAGTCCGCCAAATATCATCACGCTGACACGGATAGCTTCCACTCCCGTTCTGGCATATTGGATTACTTCGGAACAGTATGTCTGGGCTGTTTGGGGATGTGCACTTGCGGGGTTATCGGATGCATTGGATGGACATCTGGCCAAGACATATGACTGGGGAACTACTGTCGGTATGTATTTGTTTATCCTTGGAGACATTGTTATACTGAGAGGCACTGAAGAATTCACTGAGAAGCACGTACTCATTAATTGATTCATTCATTCATTCAAACGCTGTTCATTTAGGGACGTATCTTGATCCTATGGCCGACAAGATTATGGTGAATAGTCTTGCTATTAGTCTATGGTACACCACCGTATTACCAACACCATTGATCACCGTTTGGGCAATGAAGGTAATTAGCTTTGACGCCTGGGTTGCTGCTGAGCGTTTGGATGTCAGATCGCTAAACTTTTATTTGTGTTCCACTGTAGGATATTGGGTTAATGTCCGGGACCGCGTGGATGCTCTACAAGAATTACAACAGCGTCAATATCTTCACAACAAGTCTTGCTAGTAAGCCTTTGGAAGTACATCCCTCTAAGATTGGAAAACTGAATACAGCATTGCAGTTTGCGACACTTGGAGGTAAGTGTGACTGCGCTAAATCGAAACAATCCATTTTTTCAATGCGTTTCATTGTCTAACTTATGGTTCATTAATGCACTGTACATTCGGTTCAGTCGGTATCATCTCACCCATTAGCGCGTTTTCGCCGACCATTCTAAATACTCTATGGTAGGATGTCCATGCATGCTTGTGGTTCGATTTCTGAAGCGCAATTCAACTCAGACTCTCTTCCTTTTGCTCAAAAGCTGGACTACTGCTGCGACTACGGTCGGCTCTGTTATTTCTTATGCAGGACACTCGGCCATCAACCAAAGATCAAAGGGCGATTAATAAGCAATATTGAATCGGATTTGACTATTGACGATTGCATTCCTGATTGAGAAAACCATACATCATTCTGCGGTTTATATCACTCTTCAAGCCTCCGAGTGGTAGTGGAGAAATGGCAACTTTGAGCTCGTGAAATTATCGGATGTCCGTGAATCGTGATAATTGACAAAAGTTGGCTGTCATGATAGGTATAAATGGGATACGATCCAAGACTATGTGCTGGTCGATGCAGAAATGTTTCCGATCATTTGACCATATGACTGAGGCCTTGAGGATCTTGGAATTAGCACGAACCATCATAATACTCTAAGATTGATTTTCACAGCGAGTCGATGCGCACCTCAAGTGCAGCCACATGCATTAGGATTTGCAAACTCCCGGCTCAGTTCCTTCTTGTAGAATATTGATCCCATTGAGCATCGCTCCCGTAAAGTCGATGCAAAACTCGGATTGCCCTCCTCCTTTTCCTCTTCAGTGAATTCGAGGGGTGATATCGAACATGCCTGGTAAAAGAGATACAGCACACCAATCCCGCCACCGATTTACGATACCCGGCTGATGCCTCGTCTTGACGCCATTGCATGTGACAACGCAACAAACTGGCCCCGGCTCAGTGATATGACAGGAAAATGCTCGTCACAAAAGCTTTCCACTTTGAACTTGCCCATCTATGGTGGGGTTGAAGTCGACATGAAATCGAGTCTAGCTTCGTGGCTCCCACTTGTCAAATATGGATGACGCTAATATAGCCTCTTTTCGCAGTAAAAGAAACAGAAATGTGGCCTGCAGTTTTGCCGACAGAGGGGAATCGGAGTTCCGGCACTTCTAGAGCAAGGATGCTTCTAGAGTGCGGAGAATTTTTCGCTATAGCTGGAATTGAGCTTGAGCGGAAGTCGTGAGCTTGAGCGGAACGAAATATTTATGTTAAATAAACGAAAATATCAATCATTCCAGTTCCTTCGCTCCGATGTTTTCAATCGTTCCAATTCCTGCGCTCAAAATGTTTTTAGTGTGTCACATAATTCTAAAATCTGGAAGAAATCACCCTCTTGCTCTCTCAACACAAGTCACCTTTCACCATGACAAACAGTTTCACTCCATGCTCCTCCTCCTCGCCACTTCATCAACGCAGCCTCGGAAACATTAGAATTCCAAGTCTCCCAGACGATTTGCTGAACAACTCCGATTCTCCTGTCTCTCAAGTCCAAGGCGGAAGACTGTGGTGGATCCAACAAGGAACACCACAACGACAAGAAAGGGCCTCAATGAGCCGGCAACAAATGTTCGAACGCTCCCTATTTCTGCTCGATCAAGCTCTTGAAATCATGGAAGATGACACACCACATGGGCCAGATAAGCAGTAATTGCTTTGAGGTTTTCACAACTGTCATCATTGCACTCAACTTCTTGCTGAGTGGTCGGAGAGCTGCCAAATACACTGGCATTCGGGCCGAGCTGCCTATCAAAATTGGCTTCATACTAAACTGTAAAATAGCCGCACAAATCAAATATAATATTTCTCGCAAGATCGAGGCTGAAGTCAGCATCATGTTGCGTCGACGGGCTGGCATACAGTATAGTATTACACAGCTGTTCTGATGGAAGGCTTGAAACACTCGTTAAGTAATTTGTCAAAGACGTGCGAAGCGCATATCAAACTAAGCATAATTTCATCAGAGGCCGGTATTAATTTACATTGCGAAAAGCTCCTTGTCACAGTGATGAGCACAAAGCTCGCAGTGTACATGATCGGCCGCTCTGAAAGAGAATGTGCTTTATTACCAGGACACTACAAAGGAAGCATGTGGTTTCAAATGCCATGGCGATTCAAATGAATAAAAGGCCATTTTTTAACCAGCTCGCACGACACCGCCAAATTGTTACTGTACTGCTGTTAAGGCGGTGCGACGCTCCCACGTGACGCTCCCACGCGCAACTGTGTTGATATTAATACAGAAAAGAAAAGAAGCCTCGGGACTCCAGAAATGATCGTTTGTCACACAGCATGCGTCGCTCTTGCTTCTTGGACTGGCGACAAGAAGTCTCAAGATGTGAATAGGTATTTTTCTTTTCTCCATGCTGGCATGTTCACAACAACCAAAAGGTGCGAAGCGATCGAAACTTTACTCTACTAGATGGATCTTAAAGCGAGAGTGGGTTCAGTCTTTCGAGAGTGTTAAGAAGGATATAAGATGAAGCAGGCGTGCGGGTAGCATGGAGACAATAGACGTTGGGTACTGTAGGCGCAAATTGTCTTGGTCAAAAACCCAATATTTAGCAAATAAATGTTGATAGGTTCGACTCATTCGAACGATTAAGAATATCAAATTTTCGTTATATAGATGTACAATGTCACTCCGACGTCCAACGTGCAGATGATAATAACGGCCACAAAATTTCAAAATTCAGAATTTCGATTTCATCTCCAAAACAAGAAACAAAACTGTGCCATCATCGTCAACATCAATAACCTTCGAGATGCTTCCAATTCCATCGCTCATCGCTGCAGTAAAGGCAACTATGTTGCTCTATGCGGCAGGACGTTCTGGAAGGCCAAATCCATACAACGACCCATATTCATCCGATGGCTATCAGCGACCAACAGAATCCGCTCCACCTGCCGAACGTTTGAATGTGGCGCTTTTGGGAGCCGGTATCTTTGCTACCGCCTCACATGCACCTATGTTACAAAAACTTAATAAGAATATCAATTGCGTCGCCGTTTGGAGCCGAACCTATGGGAATGCAGCCAGTTTGGCAACCAAACTCGGTGCCACGCCTTGCACCGATGTGCAACAGATTTTCAACTCTCCGAATATTGATGCTGTCATCACGGCCATGCCGATCGACGTTCAACCAGAATACGTCTTGAAGGCAATGCATGCCGGAAAACATGTCTATAGTGAAAAGCCTCTTGCAACAACCTTGCAACAAGCCAAGAAATTGATTGAAACGTATGAGGCACATTTTGCTAGCAGAAACATTGCATGGCACGTTGCGGGCCAATCTCGATACGATCCCGCTGTACGAACGGCAAAACAAGCACTTGCGGATATTGGGACACCATTTCTAGTAAATATGAAAGTGAGGGCTCCGTTTTTGAAATCCTCGCCTCATTCCGATGCAATGTGGCGAAATAGTCCGGAGTGGTACGGTGGGATGATTGTCGAAGCATTTGTTCACGGTTCATCCATGTTACGAGGATTGTTTGGCAATCCCATTAGTGTCTCGGCGCAAACTTCATCACGAACAAAGCACATTCCATCCATTGACACCATGACGGCACAAGTTAGATGGCCTGAAGAACTACACGGTTCCGTCTCATTGACCTATGCATCCACTGCCCATTGCTTTGAAATTGAAGTCGTTGGCAGTGAAGGACGGATGGCTCTGATGCGAAAGGAAGGAGGCCCGGGATACTCTTTGGAAGTAGAAATTTCCGGTAGCAAATCCTACAAGCATGACATTCCATTTGGAGGTGCAGAGACTGAAATGATGAGCTTTGTGGAGCGTATTCGTTATGCAAACGATCCAAACAACAACCGCAATACACCAGTGGAAGCTCTAGCAGATATGCAAATGGTGGAAGCGTGTTTGGATTCGGGGAAGCAGAATGGGGTGCAAGTATTCCTAGATCCACAGGTTACCCAACTAGCCGTATACGCTGATGCTGCTGAACAAGCAGGAGGAGGAAACTCCAACGGGGGAGCGGGAGTCGTCGCATCGGAAACCATTCTGTTGTAATTTGACTGCAGTTGGTTGATTGATTCTTGAGACTGCCATGCATAGGATGTATGAATTCTGTAACTATTTTTTAAAAAAGGAATAGTACCATGAAAGAGATAGAGTAGCTAGGACCTACCAGTACCTACAAGATAAGGTAACATTTTTAACGGTACCTGGTAGATCCTACCTGGAACTGTACGTATTCGCCGGATTCAAAGGCTATGTCTGATGTAATCTTGATGGTTCTCCAGGACTATCGGAAGATTTATTACATGGATGCAAAAGCTGAATGATGTAAGTTTGCGTCACCTTATTGAAGAGGACAAAATCACCGAAATGAGTGAAAAATGATCGTTGTCTAAAAACACTTCAAACAATGATGTACTTTTCCATGGTTTCTGCGCCCTTCTTCTATAAGTATGTTCTGAACGTCATTCTTTGTCATTATAAAAACGTTATTTGTAAAAACTACTGACGCACTAATCTACAGTTTTCACACAATATGCTTTACCATGCAGAAAAAGAAAACAGGTGTCAACTTCAAGCATGAGGCATCAAAAGTCCGAAAACCGAAAGACACAAAATTCCAATCCATCAAAATTACTTTGGAATATGGCCTTCCTTCAGAATAATGTCAACGCAATGAACTCTAATGCCAGTTTCAATTCGTCACTTCGCATGTATGTTGAGATGATTGAAGCATGTACCGCTTTGGAACAGCAAAAGTTGCTTCAGAACTTGCGACATCAGCTTGCTCCTACTCCTCCAGCACCCACAGGAGTAGCTGCAATGCCCAACAACACTCATGCTATTTCACCACTCCTCGTGGCCGAAGCTTTTAACACTCTCATCAAACATCAACAGCAGCAACAACAACAACAGCAGCAGCAAGTCAACGCAAATCCACTTGTTCTTGCTCTTGCTGCTGCCGCAAATCAGCCGGCAGCCCTCGCCTCGGCCCTCACACAGGCGTTGGTAAACCCAGTCGGGTCCCCCGCCCCATCGGTGCACGGGATTCTCAACGCACTCACAAGACAACACCCCTCCGTTTCGACTACATCCTCCGCATCATCGCCCTTGCCGCAATCCCCGGCAGGCATCTTGCAAAGTCCCTATCCAGCAGCAGCGATCAGTGGGATGGTCTTTCATCAATCCGAGGTTGTGGCCAAGCGCCCGGTTTCGGACATTTCGAGCAGTGACGATTCTTCGGGGAGTCATCCCAAACGTCAACGACTTGCCTGCAGCTACGAAAAGGATACTTCCTTTTTGCACTATCACGATGAGAAGTGGAACTTTCATTACAATGAATTGGTCGAGTTCAAAACGAAACATGGGCATTGCAATGTCCCGTATGGATTTGAAGAAAACAAGGCACTCTCGCGTTGGGTCAAACGCCAACGATACCAGTACAAACAAAAGAGAGAAGGCAAGACTCAAGCCATGCCCGAGTCTCGTATCCGCAAGCTAGATCAACTCGGCTTTGTCTGGGGCGCCCAAGAGCTACTTTGGCAGACCCGATTCCACGAACTGAAGGAATACAAACTCAAGACTGGCCACTGCAATGTTCCGTACATTCATGACCCCAACCCCAAGTTGGCCATTTGGGTCAAGTGTCAACGAAGACAATACAAACTCTCTCAAGAAGGCAAACCTTCCAACATGACGGTCTGCCGAATCAAGGCGCTTGCCGATCTTGGTTTTGTGTGGACTCAACGCAAGCCCCTACGATAACGTGGTGGTAAAAGCGACGAAGAGGCAGGAGGCACCAGCATGATTGATTGATTCATTTCGCTAGCTACGAATCAACATGCAAGACTTTTGGGGGGAAATTCTTTTAGATTATTGATATATATATAAAGTGTGTATAATAATATTTAGTTTTAGATACCATTTACAGAATGCATTATTAGTTGTGTGAGTTGCATGCAAGGTGGAATCTGATAACGGCAGGTACTGTACGTACAGTATCTGGTACGATAAGGCCTATACAAGCTCCCTGTTATCACATACCCGTTGAAAATGAGAAGCCTTCGTATTCAGTAGAATCAAGTACCAGATTAATTGTGGAAGTCGACACGTTTCTTCGCGTCTTTGCAAGAGAAGAAAAAAAAAAGTTGATGTGGATGCCTTTTCCACTCGCTTTCTCTTATTCTGTCATCAGGACGATCGAATATATAAGATGATGGTGATGCTTCGCCTATTACTACGGTGGTGTCTGATATGCCTGTTGGTATCAATCAGCAACATCAGCAACATCAGTGCCTTGCATCACGATTATAATACGAGATCAAGCCTAAGATCATCAAGCACAAAATTACTCAGCAGCAGTCGGCGCTCTCATCCTCATCATCATCATCAGTATCAACAAAGCAACCACTCTCCTCCTCCACTAAAAGTCGCTCTCATTGGAGCTGGCCTTTTGGCCGCTGGATCTCATGCACCGGTCTTGCAACAATTGGAACAAAATGTTCGCTGTGTGGCGGTGTGGAGTCGGAATTTTGAAAATGCGGCCAGTTTGGCATCTCAAATGAATGGTGCCATGCCCACCGACTCCTTTGAAGAGATTTTGAAGTCCCCACACATTGATGCTTTGATTTTGAGTACACCGATTGACGTCCAGTCGGACATGGTACTCCAAGCCTTGCAGGCGGGCAAACACGTCCTCAGCGAAAAGCCACTGGCAGTGTCCATGGATCAAGCCCACGCCCTTATGGAAGAATACGAAGCAGCCTTTGAAGACGATTTGGTTTGGAACGTGGCCGGGGATTACAAATACGCGTCCGCCGTTCGATTTTCTCACAAGGCCATGGAAGAGATCGGCAAACCCTTTTTGGTATCGTTGAAGGTGCGGGCACCCTTTCTCAAGTCGTCCCATTACAGTGAAGCCATGTGGCGGAATCAGCCCGATTGGTACGGCGGCATGATTGTGGAAGCCTTTGTGCACGCGAGTAGCATGCTCCAAAGACTCTTTGGGTCCCCCCTGTGCGTCAGTGCGCACACCAGCAGCCAAACGCCCCACATTCCATCGTTGGATACCATGACGGCCCAAGTGACTTGGGACCGAGAAATCCAAGGAACGGTGAGTGTCACGTACGCGTCGACCCAAAATGAATTTGAACTCGAAGTGATTGGAAGTCAGGGGAGAATGGTACTAAAACGATTGTATGAAGGCAATCCAAGCAATGGCAATAGTGCTGGTGGCAGTGGAGGCAGCGGCAATGGGTTTTATCGACTGTCTGTCGAAAATGCCAGCGATCGATATCACCAGGACATTCCCTTTGGTGGATTGGACAGTGACATTCTTGCATTCTCTGACAGTATTCAGTATGGAAATCATGTCCCGCGCTTCAACACTCCCCAAGACGCCCTGCAGGATTTGGAATTGGTGGATGCCTGTTTGGAATCGGGCAAATTGAATGGGGCCCGGATCTTGTTGCCACCCGATATGGATCCCATTCATCAAAAGAATTATGGTGGCAGAAACGAACCACCAATTACGGTCGATCATCTCAGCGAAGACATGGCCGAAGAAATGTCACCGTGGGCGACGACCAAGAGCAACAGTCAACAGCAGTATCAACCACGAGGAGTGGATAGGTATGGTCATTTGGACGATGGAAGAACCAAATGGCACGGCAAAGAACGACTGACGTAAGATCCAGCATGCATGTATGCATGAGTACTACATGCATGCATGCAATATATTTTAAAACTATTTGTCGAGGGGATTTTGTTTGTCGTGGAATTATTGAGTGACGAGTAAAGAAATACTGATTTTATACATACAAAAGACCATCTTACTCTTTTATTGTCAGCAGCTACTAGTGGTGATGATGATGTGAACCAATACTTACTAGTCCTAGTATCTAATACTCAATGGTATCAATACTACTACCGTAGTAGATACATGGCTTCGTCAGCCAGTGACTACCTAATACGGTTTCTTCTGATAGGATCATACTCCAAGAATCTAGTCAATACTTGAATGAATGGTAGGTGATGCTATTGTGAACTTGGCCTATAATACTAACAATAAGCATCGACTGGCTGAATACTATTTAGATCGTAACATATCAATTTTTGTTTCCACGGCAATACTACTAAGACCGCCTACCTATTCTTGCAGTTTCTGACGATTGATTGGTAATCATGTATACTCCTACAGTACAGTACTGGCAAACCGTCCAATCAAAGAGCAATCAAGGACAGAATATACCGGTAGACCAAAATGATGGAACGTTCAACAACTTCTATATCTTGCTTAATCATATAGCGCATGCATGCGTTTTATATGAAACGAAGGTGACCAAACTCAAGATGATTGATTCAACTTGGTGAAAAGTAAAAAAATTCAGGCAACATGATGTCAATGATGATGATGATGGAATGTTCAATATATGTTATACTTCTTTATCTTGTTTCGTAGTAGTTATTTATCGTAGTATCTCGTGTTTGATTTGTGTGTGTATGGTGTGATTTGCGTGCGTGCGTGTGATTTGTGTGCGTGTGCTTGTTGTAGAAAGTGTCTTCCCTAAGAAACTAGAGTAGACTCGACAAAATAATACCTTTTTTCCCGTTTCTAATCTTCATCTTCATCACCCTCATCAATTCCCATTCCCTGCATCTTGGCATCAATATCATCGACGCTGGTGATCTTGGCAGAAGGTGATGTCAAATCAAAGCAATCCGCCAAAATTCCATCGGCCACGTCCTTGGGAAGGTTGTTTTGGACAATTTCCCGCAGGCGGTCATTCTCATCTCGCAGAGCGTAGTAGTCCTTGCGCAGGGATTCAATCATGAACTTGGTGCGGACACCCGACTTCTTCTTTTTCTTTTGCTTGCGTTCGGCACGGGGATCCATTTTTGAGTTACTGCCTTTGTTTGGATATCGTCCTTCAATCAGGGAAGAAAAAACAATGAATGAATCATTCAATGGCGTTCGTTCGTTGGCAGCTTTTGAATGACTTTCAAGAGTCACGATCCTTGTTCGGTGTTGACATATTTAGTTGACACCAGGGTTCTTCCTCCGGTCATATATAAAACGCAATGAGAGTCAGATGGGCTCGTAGCCTTTTTACAGAAAACAAGAAATCGAACACCGCGTGGAACATGGCCGAAGCCAGGTCATCCTTTACTACTTATGGGAAACCAGATGGACAAAGAATGACGTTTCATTTGCATTTGGGCCCGTCTGTCTGCTGTATGCGAGGCGAAAATGTGTCCGTCCGTCCGGCTGTCCATCGGATGGTCGGGAAGTTTTGAGAAAATGAAAACTTCCGTTGAAAAAATACAAGTGTCAGGAAGAAAAAACGCAAATCATAGACCTCAACTTTTGGTACAGTGAAACAAACAAACAAAATCAACAAACAAACGTTACATAGATTTACAATGAAGACTTTACCATCACCTTCTTGGTTCAACGACTTGAGCCAAGTAAGTCATAGTCGTGTTTCTCCTCCTCAGCCTATCGTCAGATGGAGCCTGATCGTCGGATGCTTGATGTCATTATTGATGTCCACACCATCATCGGCAGAAGCTTTTGTGCAACGATCCATCAATGTTGCGCCTACTACTATTACTGGTACTACAAATTCTATTTCTACGACATTGAATGTGGCACAATTGCCTAGCAAAATGCCCACCATGTTGGACGACGAGGATGACAATGATGATGACAATGATGAACAAAAGGAGGATATTCCACGAAAAATATTGCAATTGAACAATAACTTTGAGAGTGGTACTACTAGTAGTAGTACCACTGTAGTACCAAAAGGAATTGCCGTCATTTTGAATTCCAATGCCAAGGGTGTCAATAGGGCCATGGTGAAAGCGATTCAAAAACTTTCCTCGTCACATAAACACATGCGAGTCTATGCCACTTCCAATTACCAAGAGGCCCAGCAAGCAGTGGCCGAACTCCAACAGAATCCACCTCAAGTGGTGGTACCGATTGGTGGCGATGGCACTCTGACCACGGTCCTTCAGCTGTGGTACGATTATGTGGACCATCACCACCAATCCTCCAAACCTCTTCCCTTTATTGGCTATCTAGCCATGGGAACAGGAAATGCATTGGGAACGGTCATTGGATGCAATCCTCGTCGAAGATGGCGGAAACGTAAACGATTGCAAGCCATTGAAGAAGTTTTGGAGCAACTGTTGGAGATTGCCCAACGAATGGAACAAGAACAGAAAATGGGGGACAACAATCATGATCAAGTGGATATTGTGGACGTGCCATTGATGCAGGTGACGGCTACCTCTACCTCCTCTGATTCTGATGGAGAATTGACCGTCGAACAACAAGTCTATTGTTTCTTTGCCGGCATGGGCATTGATTCGCTCATGCTGCAAGATTACAAGGAACTCCAAGATTGGTCGTCCAAATCCAAATTTTGGAAGAACAAATTCAGTTCGGTATGGGGATATACCGTGGCCTTGTTTACCCGGACTCTGCCCAAGTTGATGTCCAATAATTCTCATTCGCTGTCCTTGGAGGTCACCACCACAAAACCTGCGTTGTGGGTGGATCACCGACGAGGAGATGTGGTACGGAGCATTCGACTCGACGAAGACGATAAGGAAACACTTCTTTACAAGGGACGAGCGGGTATTGTGGCAGTGTCGACGACTCCCTTTTATGGTGGCAATCTAAAGTTGTTTCCCTTTGCGCGCCTCTCGGAAAATGGATGTCAAATCCGAATTGGTCGGATTCATCCTCTGATGGGCGTGATGAATATTCCGCAAATCTTTTCCGGAGCCTATCGGAATTCCGAAATGGGATGTTTGGACTTTATTGGGACGCAATTTTCCGTGGAAATTCACGATGTCGATGGACATCCGGTGCAACATTCGGGCGAAAGCATGGGATTGGCGCAAAAGGTCGAGCTACAAGTCCTCCAAGAACCGGTGCGATTTGTTACCTTGTTACCACCAAGATTGGTCTGTGAAGATTGATTGATGTGATGTGATATGATGTGATATGATATGATATGATATACATGGTTACACACAATATTGTTGTACTATTTTGAGAGGAAGAGACACACTGAAAAGAGACACCCTTGTTTGAGTATCAATACACGACGAGCCCAAGGCTGCTGGAATGTACAAGATTCAATGAATCCCTGCCATATTTGAGCTATGCGAGACAATGCGTTATCGTTATGGTAGCATGATGCAGACCGCGTCATTTGTCATCATCCTTAGTCCTGATGTTGGTTTCATCATCGAGAATCCTGCTGCTTTTACCATTGCAACTACAGTAATTTAGGAAATGTTTGTGGAATCATTATTTTATACTGGAAGTCAATGCATTACCGGTACAGTCATTGGGCTTTTGAATTTTGAAATGTGAGCAATGAATGGTTTGAACCGCGAATAAAGACGCTCCACGTGTAAGCTTTTTGCCTCTGAAATGACAGTATAGGCACTGTTATTTTATTGTCAGCATCATCATCATCATCATCATTATAATCGTCATCAACGACCTTAGCACTCATTGAATCAATACAAGCAGTGTCAGTCATGTCCTTTTCCACTCTTGCGATTGGGAGTGGCGAGCTCAGCAATGCTATCATTCCTCCCCACTTTTTAATGGGCGTTGGCGCCAGCATTGTCACCTATTTTGCCACTTACTTTACCGTGGAGAAGCTGATTCTCCCAAAATTCTTCAAGTCGTCGGCGCTGTATCAGAACATGGAAAAGTTGACACCCTACAAGAGAACAAGCTTTCTGTGTATCTTCCCTTCGACGGTACATGCGGCGGTTCATTGCTTTGGTTTGCCGACGCTGATTGCTTTGGGATATTCGGAAGGACACAATCTGCAAAAGATTGCCTTTTACGATGAAATCTGGCCAGCCTTTTATCAGGGATTCTTTGCGGGTTACATGATTGCCGATTACGCCAAAACATACGAAGACTTGGAAACTGCCTATGTGGTACATCATATCGCCTCGTGTGCGGCCTGGTTCTTGTCAGCCTATCTCCGAAGTATGCAATGGCAAACTACATTGCTGCAGTTTTGCGAGTTTTCTACCTTTTTTTTGAATTTGCGTCAATTCTTTTTGACGTCGGGGTATCCATCGAGTGGAACTACCATGACGATTACGAATCTAATATTCTTTTTGACGTTTACGGCGGTCCGAGTGGTTCCAATGCCCATGATCATTCGAGAATGGGTGACCCTTGGATTCCATGACATGAGAGCCAAGGATGGTCTGGCAATGGCCAGTGTCGGTACCATGTTTACTGTGATTCATTGTGCATTGCAGACAACGTGGTTTGCATTCATGGTCAAGAAGCTGGTTCGAGCATTGAGTGGGGCCAAGGACAAAGGGGATGATGATGATGATGATGATGACGAACAAGCAGATGATACAGCTACGAAAAAGAAGGATTAAGATTGAAGTTTCCAAAGCCACAGTCGTGTGTGGGGTCTAAAAGTGATACTATTCTTTATTCTTTGAACATATAATATACATAGAATCCTTGGTATGTGGGTGTGAGCCTTGGATGATCAACTGAACGACAGAAAATGATCTCTACCGCTTTGGCATGATGAAAAAGCTGGTAGGATCATATACTCGCCACGCGTATTCATTGACAAAGAAAATGTTTCCCACTCGATTTGTAACAGTGAGGGACGAAGCATACGGTAGAATTATGCTATCATTGCATTTTTTCGTCCATAGCTTTAATAGCAAGTTCGAAACATGTGACTCAGATGACATTCCTCAATAAGGAAGGCAAACGATAGTGAATCCAGTACTTGGACCAATTCCACATAACACGATAACTATGGGAGCACAATTTCCTTGTCATGAAATGCATCTTAGAGAGTTTAGTATCAGTGCAATAAATGCCTTTCGATATTACTATACGGTACAGTACGACGATGTACTCCGTTCTTCTTGAAATAAGTGAAAGAGGTTCCACTTACGCTCCGACAATTTCCAGTTTGACACTTTCTTTTGTTGTTGCCACATACTGAATGTTTGCAGCAGGATTATATAGGTAGTAGGCATTTGAAGAATGCAAATGCACGCTCATCAATCTTTTTTAAGGAGTTGGAGTAACCAAAGCCACCAATCCACCAGTGGTACAGGCCGCCATGCAAGCCCCTTGCGTGGTCGAGCACCCTGCTGCGGCTGGTACTGCCATGGGACCTGCCACTCCTGCAACCAATCCGCAGCCAACCATGCAAGTAACGTAACCGGCATTGCAGGCAGAGTAGCACATGGCGACACCACTGCCAGCAGCAATGGGACCTGCGTTTGTTGGTTCGGTCATGCTGGCAAGTAGGAGCACAAGGAAGAGTAGCAAAGATGATGCGGAAGAAGTGATGCGCGAAAAGTGAATCATGATTATGGGATGGCAAATAAGGTGTCGAATTGGACTTGTGTGTATCCTTTTAGTTCCTTTCGGAGAAAGATTTGAAATTGTGAGCGTCGTGTGCTCAACATCATGAAATCCATTTTCGTCAAGGTTCTCACTTTTGATTGGATGCTGAAATTTTCAATCACCGTAAAAAAATGTTCTGGACACGCCATTGCTGGATCCAGGAAGTACCTGATTGGATGCTGAAAATTTCAACCATCGTGCTGATTGCAGTACTCTATGTATCGGAAGATGCGGAATTCTCGACATACCTAGCTAGATAACATGCCTTTCAACATCTGATTACCGGTACCGATTGGATTCTGAAATTTTCAAAACTGACTGTACTACTCTTTATATTATATGTAGCAATATTTGGACTTGGTGGTGTGTGAGGAGTGAGGAGATTCAACATCAGAGCGCATGCACCCAGACCACCGTATTGGTTGGTTTTGAGATATGGAAATTGTCTTCGGACTCTGATGCCTCGGGCTACTGTGCATATATTGTGTGATGAGTGACTGCTGATTTTGCATTCTCTCTCACACACACAATCTTCATCTTCTAATGCCAATCTATTAGCTACGCTAGAGAGTTTGAAAAATCCATCATCCAATGGGATAAGTAGGAAAACGTGTTTGGAGATCCACACCAACTAAGGGAACAGTCAGAAGATGATTGCCTCAGCAAACCAGACCGCTCGATAGCCCGCGGCAACAGTTGCCGCCGTCTCCTATTCCTATCTTATGATTCCATGTTGAATGTACCATGATTCCAAGCATCATTGCGGCTGATTGTAGGTGTCGTTCTGAATTTTGGACAGGGTCGTGCCAAAAAAGAGATGTGATTCACTGACGGTTCTCATTTGTATAGTCTAAGGCATCATCATTATCATCAACATCATCATCAAACCTCACTCGTCGACACTCTCCTCATATCCATCACGACATCGTGCAAACCATCAAACCCTCAAGCAACCATCAAACCATCCAGCAACCAACCATCACCATCGCCTTCTCATGCTCTCACAAATCCTCTCACGTGCACTTTCGCACACGTCACGATGAGCTTAATTATGTTTCCTCCTCCACCACCTATCGATTCTGATTGGCGCAGAAAAAGAAGAATTTATCGAAAGAGTTCGAATTTAACGGTCGGCCACCTAGTTGGGTCTGATCGTAGGTTTCCAGCCACAAACCTCGCAAAATACCTCGGCATATTTCCACCACCTTCGTAGTTGAATTTCGATGGAAAAAGTTGGATACCACTTTGCACGGCTCGGAGTCTCCCTATTTTTCATTCTTGTTCCACACTCGTCACACAGTTTTCTTCACATAAATCAATCACATCCCCAACAACATTGCTTACGTCAGCTTCAGCACATCCACACTAAACTATCAGCATCTAAAGCCCCCATCATTGATATTACTGAATCAATCGTAGCATTAGTATCAGAAGAAGAAACACCAGAAACAAAAGAACTTTATCCCCAAGACAAACAAGACCAAAACATTCCAGCCATCAGCATGACCACTGTAGAAGTCCCCAACGAAATGATTGACGCTAGCAGCAGCAGCAGCATTGCTGAAGCTAACGACAACAACAACAACAACAACAATGATGCCAAGCGCAAACTCACCAGTGTCATCTCCAGTCCCGAGCTTAACACAGCTGCTGCTCCTGTTGCTGAACCACAAGCTGCACCCAAGCCACAGCACAACCGAACCTTGTCTCACTCTGTCAGTTTCATTGGTGGACTGGACGTTGCCGAGCCCAAGGGACGCTTTTATGCTTCCGACATTCCATCCAACGCTGTCAATCTATGCAGTGCTTCGTTTGGAGCTCGAGTTTTGTTTGCAACCGATGAATGGTTTGCCAAGGCGGACAATCTCCTCAAGGATTCCGAAGCCGAATTTGATGAGGATGCCTATTGCGAACAGGTATGTTTATATATGTTTGTATCGTGTTTAGTACAATGTCATTGAATCATTGAATGCAACGTCTAACGCCCCTTCTCTTTCTGTTTCTTTTCCCTTAATCTTAAAACTTTGTTAGGGCAAAGTCATGGATGGTTGGGAATCTCGTCGCCGACGCGAAGAAGGCCACGACTGGTGCCTCGTCCAATTGGGTGTCCCCTATTGGACCTCGGCGGCACCACTGTCCACCAAGTCCCAAACCTCCAAGCTACAGTTGGTGGGCATTGAATTGGATACCGCTCACTTTACGGGCAATCAAACTCCCCAAGTCAGCATTGAACTGGCATCTGCAGTGACCAATCCGGTTTCTGTCATTGAACAATTGCCCAATGGTGTCCAACGATTGTTGGCGGGTGGACGCCAGGGTACGGGACACAACCCAACCGAAGTACAACAAGCCAAGGATGCGATTGCGGCGCTGAAATTTACGGAAATTTTGCCACGATCTCCCCTGAAACCAGGACACGAAGCGACTCGCTATCACTACTTTCCTCTCAGCGAACCTTTGGAACTTGAGCATGATGCCAAGTCACCAACTTGGGTCAAGCTCAATTACTTTCCCGATGGTGGAGTCGCACGCATGCGATTCTGGGCCGTGGAAGTCAAGGAAGAATCCGAACAAGACGCGGCAGTGGTGGAGGAACCAGCTACGAAAAAACAAAAGATTACCGAAACGGTAGATCTTTACATGCCCATTACCACTGGTCCCGTGTGCACCGTGGTCTCGCATACTTCCACCAAAGGAGAACTGCCATCTCGTGTGGCAGCCAAGGAATTCCTAGAAGTATCCTGCGATGTCAATGGCGGCAAGGGTGTCGCTTGCTCCAACAAGCACTATGGAGAACCATGGAGACTGATTCAACCAACCCTCGGCGGGGGCATGTGGGATGGTTGGGAAACCGCCCGACATTCTCACCGACCTTCGGTGATTCAATCCTGTCCCACCACGAAGCTCATGGATACTCCACTGAATGATTGGGCCATTTTGAAATTGGGCAAGCAGGCCACAGAAATCAAAAAGATTATTTTGGATACCAAACACTTTTTGGGAAATTATCCAGAAAGTATTTTGCTGGAAGGTTGCTACCTTGACAGCAAGGAAGGTGACGAAGAGTCTTTTTGGAAGTCTTCGGCCTCGGACTCTTTGAAATGGTTCCCATTGGTGTCTCGGACTCGCATGTCGCCCAATGCCGAACATGAGTTTTGCCAAGATCAAATCCAAAATACCAAGTCTCCTGTAACCCATGTTCGACTCTCTATCTACCCAGACGGTGGATGCAGCCGCGTCCGGGTGTATGTTTAAGGAGTATCATCATGAAGCTGAGTATGATGATGATTAGTAGAAAAGTGAGCCCAAAGCTAAGATGTGGCAAGAGCGCAAGTACTGTACGCTGTACGCTATAACGAATAGATTATATGTTTTTAAAAAAAGTCCAAAGATGCGTATAATGTGTAAACCTTAAAGTCGTAATACGGTAGGTTCTGGTGTAGGTGTATTAGAATAGGCTGTTTGGAAGACGGACAGATCACTGATGTGTGTCGCCACCATGTGACCGTCAGAATCAGCCGGAGAACATGTTTCTTTCAGTTTTGCGCTATTTTGAATCCACTTCTACCGGTACTGGGTATCAACAGATTTATTGCTAAACCAAAGATCCTTTCAAAGTCTGGGCCGCGCAAACGAATATTGCGACGAAGAACCCGGCTGATTAGTTCCTTCTGTTCGGTACAAGGTCTGCGTACAGTGCACGAGGGATTGTACCAAAATGATGAGACGGAATGGCAAAAGTCATTTTTTAATTTTAAAATATAAAGTAATATGCACGTATATCATCCCGTTTTTCTGCTCCATGGAGGCTACCGGTATTAGGAGACAGCTGAGTCAGCAGCCACACTTTTAGAAATGATACAGTAGTTCCAGCTCATTGCGGTCCGATTGTAATTGCGTTTATTACCAAGAAGGGTGAAGTAATCAGTGCTGCAACTATTTATATACCCACCAGTAGAACAGGTGGAATGAGAAATTTGTTGAGCAGAAGAAATAAAAACGTCACCTATTCTGAGTTGTCGCTTTACTTAGTGATACACCTTTTTAGGTGCTCAAAACCAAATATAAGGTATGTCAGAATGAGGGTGAGAAAAGTCAAATGGTGGTCATGAGCTCGGCAACATGAGTGATCAGTTTCGCAAATATTGGTATACGGTACCCTTGAGACGGAATGCAGGGCAAACATGGTCGCGCCCACCATATTTACCCAAATTTCAAGGCGATCCCGTGGAATATGCATCACTTTGTCGCTTCTCAAACCCAATCCGAACGCAGTAGTGCAGGCATTGTGTAATCCCGATTGTTTTTTGCAGTGCGCATAATATGAACTAGTAGTATCACGCACATCAGGACAATGAGCCTCTTCAATCAAACATTCAACCAACCAAGGACTTGTTTTGGCTTGTGCCATGATGCCCCTGCCTCAGGTAGACCAAACCTTCGAATGATACCAAACGAAGACGAAAAGAAAAAGGAGTTGGACAATTTACTCTCCCAAGCCTTCAATGAACTTACTTTTGAAGAAAGAGAAGAGCATCAGGAACTTCTTCATGGCGTAAAAGTCACGAATACCGAAGATGAAGCTCTCTTGCATGGCGCACTGCAAGAACTAGAAAGACATCTTACAAATATCAAGAGCGATAGTGTTTATGAAATGGCCGAAAGCATGGACCCTGTATTTGTCAATGCCAGAGCCTTTCGCGCCATGTTTCTGAGGGCTAACGATTACGATGCCAAAGCTTCATCAGATCAGATGTTGAGGTTCTTTGAGTCAAAGCAGCAGCTCTTCGGAAGTGACAAGCTTGTCAAGGACATCACAATCGATGACTTCGATGAGGATGACATGGCTCGCCTTAAAACATCACTCGTTCAGCTTGCGGCTCGAGACAGATCAGGAAGGCAAACTCTCTTTCATTTTGGAGGACGTCGCTTGGGAGGTCTGATATCATCGAAAAAGTCTATAGAGAGCGTTTTGCGGGCTCAATACTATGTCACGATGAAAGCCTTGCAATCAGAAGAGACGCAACTTAGAGGAATCGTCTCAATATGGTATACCCTTGGAGAGTTAGAGTTGAAAATGCAAAAAGGGTATTTCGAACGTTTCACACTCGCAAGAGCTCTACCCCAGAAGGTAGTAGCCATTCATTTCTGTGTTAAGGAGTCGCAACAGCTGTCCCCTATCACCTTTTTGGTTAAAGTGAGTTTGAAAGATGACCTCCAAGATGGCCTTGATTTCCTCTTGTTACTAAACTTTGCCGTCTTCTATTTGACATACACAGGTAATGCAAGCCAAAATGAGGGCAAAATTTAAATTGCACTTTGGTTCTTTGACTGAGTGCCGATATCAGTTGTCCACATATGGTATCTTGCCGGAATCACTACCCCTTGATCACAATGGAAACATCAATCTAGACCAGCATCTACACTGGGTCCAATCCTGTGCCATGAAAGAAAGCCTTGGTCGACCTACTACCGTCGTGGAGTCAGCAAAGGCCACACCGAATGACAATGACGTGCTCTTCACTGGTGGTAAGATTATCAACCATGTAGGGAACCAGCGATTTCGAGCCCTCGTTCGCGACTTTTCAGACGATTATGATGCTGGCACTGACGAGAAGAAGAGACAGATTGTTGGTGAAATTGTTGTCAAGATTCAAGATGCTGGAGGTCGTTTTCTCAAACCGCAAGGCAAGGGAGCAGTCGCGATTTGGGAGGAAGTGCCATTTCACGAGACACGAAAGAAAACAATGCAAACCTTTCGTAATCGTCGTCGCCGTCAAGATGCTTGCAATAAGCGGAAAACCAACGAATCTAGTGGTATCTTGATAACAGGTGCCCCCCTTCCCGTGGACGTGATCTTTGGTAGGGCACAAAGAAATCTGGGCAACGACTGGTTACAGCATCTAATTGTGGAGAACTTCGAAGAGTACGAATCTTTGAATCGTGGTGTGAAGATGCGACTTGTGGAACGGATAATGAAAACTATAAAGGATCAAGGTGGTCGATTCCTAGAGCAAGCACCCGAAAAAGGTAGATGGGTTGAGCTGCCTAATGACCATGCAAGAGATCGAATATCAAAGTACTTTCGAAACCATCGAAGGCCATCTAAGAAAGTAGTAATGAGGTAGCCAACATTGGATAAAACCTCACTCTTCTGTAGTGCGTCCGCTCCAATTATGGGGCGTTGAAAGACGTTATGAAAACGTTGAAAACCTAGTACCAGCGATCGTCCCCTTCCATTCAACGGAAGCAAATTACCCGCGAAAACTCCCGACGGACAGGCACGATCGCAAACACATTGTCAACATCATAACGAGAAAAACGAAAAACGATTACGCTACCGCTACATTGTCTCGTCCATTTCTTGATCTATCGTCCTGTTGACCGACCAGCAGCAAATTTCTTTGTGAAGCATATATAAGAAGTGAAGAAGGGGAATCGAGATATCAAGAGTCAGCAAACAACACTCTACGTAACAACGACAACAATATGGTTCGATTCAAGCAAAGTGGACCCAGACGACAACAAGTGGGATCTTCCTCAGGAGTGGTAGGACGATCACGGCAATCGGGTACTGCATCCTCATCATCGCGAACTCCAAAGGAAGCACCAGTGCGAAAAAAGAAGCGACGAATGCGACCAGGTGGGTAGACATATGTTGGTGTAGATCATCATTCATGGAAGAGAAACCCTGAAATTCAGGAAATGGAGTTGCCTTGTGTCTGCATGCTGGTTCAGGGCGATTCAGTCGCACAATTCAGAGTTTCCACTTTTGCTCTACGACTGTGATGCTCACTGCTTTTCGATTTTTATGTTCCCCCTTGCAACCGAAACCTGGCGGGTGTCACGTTACATTGGTTGAATTCAATTCTTTTCTGACGCATCCATCACTCCGATGACATGAACTGGTCTGCTTATTTCTTGCTACATTCATTCATTACTTGATACAATCGCATTATGGCTACTAACAGGTGAGGGAGCACTCCGTGAAATCAGAAGATACCAGCACACTACCGATTTGTTGATCCGGCGACTTCCGTTCGCTCGATTGGTCCGAGAGATTCAACAAGGACTGACCAATCGGCCTTATAGTTGGCAGGCTTCGGCCATTTTGGCACTACAAGAAGCCAGCGAGGCTCATTTGATTGGTCTATTTGAAGATTGTAACCTATGTGCCATTCACGGCAAGCGTGTTACCATCATGCCTAAGGATATGCAATTGGCAAGACGAATCCGGGGACAACATAGGGAATAATCATAATACAAACTACATCATATATATACATGCATAAGGAGTTATGCCGCTTTGTCTATGCACGTGTCGTAGCGATGTGGACTGCATCGGCGAACCTTTCTTTAGCTACCTTGTTCGGACCATGACAACCAAAATATGATGTACGGTCGGAACTAACAAATGCGATAGCGAGATTCCATTTCTACGTTTGAATGTTTGTAAATTATTAGTGATATTAGCATGCAGATGGACTTGTTTCAAAATCTATACATCCCATGACATATTTAATATCCGGCAGCTACTATTACCTAGTAGTAGTAATTATACATTCTTATATAGATGTTGTTGCAAGGGCGAGAAGGCGCTAGAAGGACCTCCTGCGCTCAGACGCAAAGTCGGTTTTCCGTTGAGTAATAAGGAAACCACCGAGACTAAACTTTGGTAGGCGGCTTCTAATTGTGTCACCTTGGTCATGTAGTCACTTCGAACCAATTGCACCGCTTGTTCGACCTTGCGGTCCACTTGGGACTCCATTTGGGATATTTGGCTCTTGAGTTCTGTAATTTGTTTGTGAAGAGCTTCGTAGTCTTCTGGCTCCATCGATGCTACTTTGGGTTTTGCCGTCGACCTTTGAATCTTGGACAATAGCTCGGGCATTCCTCGTCTGAAATACTCATGCATGAATCGAGCCGAATTGTTGGCAGGATTGCGGACACTACTGACGCTGCTGTTGCTATTTGGATTTTTCTGGTTAGAGGCACTGGTAACACTCCCGGCATGGGTGGAGTCATCGTCACTGGCGTTGCCATCGGTGTTGCTGGAGATTTCTTTGGGAACAGCGATTCGGATATCAGTGTCCTGTGACAACTTTTGGAAGCCGTAGAAGTTGAGTTGGCGGACAAAACTGCTGAATTTCGAATGACTAAAGTATTTTGGTAGGATGTGCTGATGGAAAGAAAACAAAGTGAACGTTAGTTTCGCATTCGTTCGGTTTTGCAAATTCATGGAGTGCACTGATATTATGATTCTTGATTTGATTTCGACCAGAAGTCAAACAAAGCATCATCGCACATAAGCTGTCATCCATCAAAGTCTATCTTACCTTTTGAAACGCGTCAATATCCTTGATGGTGAAGCTATCACCAACACCATTCCAAGAAACAATATCTCGATCGGAATCAGACACCATGTGAAAGGATTCTATTGGACAGTTGATTGAAACGTTCATGATGGGACAGCAAAAGAATTCAAGAAGTAGCAATGAACGATGCTTCTCGTTAGCGCAAGTTTGAAAATCAACAAGGCCATACCTCTCACACATTGCACTCACTCGTAAGGAATTTGTTAACAATTTTGGTCATGATGTTGATTGATTTGTTGCAGTTACAGATATAGTTCGCAAAATAAACCAGTTTCCGTGTGAAAGTTATGAGTCCAACAGATGTCTATCCATCAGTCTTATTGGCGAATTCGAAAGAACAAACAGTATTTTTGCCTGAGCATCAGCCAGTTCAGCAGCATTACAGGTAGGTTCACTACATTTTCTACACGCATGACGAAATCGACCAGGTCGACTAACTGGCGGGAATCAAAGTTCGCGGCTTTTGCGAACAAAAAGTTGTTCGATGAAAGGTGAAGAAGCAAGCGGAGAAAAGCTAGAAATAAAAGATGAGATGCAGGTTGTGTTACTATGGCCTACCCAACTGCATGGCGCTGTGTATTGAACCAAATCTTTGGTCGGGCCTCATCATAAACCCAAAAGTGACTCTCAGTTTAGGGGCAGTAGAAGGCATCCTCAAGGGCAAGGAGGACTTACCCACTCCTCGTCCGTCCTCTTCAAGCACCAGTTCTGTGGCAACATCAGCCCAAAAGAATTGAAAAACTGAACTAGAGCGTAGATTGGGAGCATTCCGACGGGAAAGCATCACGACGCGGGTTCGTCCTATTGTGTGTAACGTTACAAGCATCACCTGCCAAAGGAAAGATAAATAAAACAAAGCAAAAGGCAAAATCCGTATCTTCGACCACTTCGAGTAATTCCAATAATGACCGCATGCATATGTCACAATTCGAGCGAAAATATTACGCATCGCATCACATCACAACAGCGCAGCGGATTCAATATAGAGACCTATTATTATTCGATTCCTTCTGTAGGCGGGCGAAGATACTGTACAATAACATATCTTCGTTACTCACAACGCACAACGTAAAAGACCAAGCCAACCACTGCTGAATACCAATATTCATCACTAACGGCAGAACGATGGAGACAAACAAAAACAGAAACATAAGCAGACTCCTTTACGGCCTTGCTTGTTGCTGCGTCTGCTGTATCATCCTTCCGGGAATCGCTATGATTTCTCTAGCGAAAACCCAGTACGGAGATTGGCAATCCACCCAGGGCAAGATTATAGATACAACCTACTGTGGTACCTATCGCCGCAATCTAGCCGTGAACCGAAACATGCAAGAAGACCCAGAGGAAGAAGCAGGATACTACATTGCCCCAGCACGCGGCCGACCAAACTCGTACGAAGCCAAGCCAAAGCCCCACTATAGCGTGACTTATTCCTTCGTGACATTGAATGGACAGCAAGTCACTGCCACCACAACGTACTGCTATAATCCAGTGCCCCCGCTTGGTGCTACGGAAACGATCTTGTACGATCCCGATAGTCCTACGGTTGGAGTGACGTCTGAAGAACGTAAAGATGGCTTAAAGATCGGTGGTACTTCCATGATTGTCCTCGGAATCATTTCCACGGGGATCATTGGAGTGGGGTTGTTTTTTGTCTCTAGGCAGATAAAGCGGGATTCCAACAGTTGAACCACTACCGCAATACATGCAACAACAATACTTAGTTGGTACGGCAAGCAAACGATCTGAAACCCATAAGAATTCCATTTTTAATCGACAAGCTTATTTCTTCTTCCAAGAGAAGACCTCGACTGTTCTTTCTTTCTTCACATCTCCCTCGTTGCTGGTCTATCTATCGTCAAATTAGTGTCCACCACTAGATGTGCATGAAACCACCGGAATGGCACATCAGTTTGTATAGCGAGTGATTTAACAACATTGTACAATGCGGCACAATAATGGAGCCATGGTAAACCCAAAAGCAACACAATGGAGCCATGGTAGATGGAGCGCTCTACGCAACAAAATTTAGTCCGTCGCGGACCACATAAAACCAATCTTCTCGAGTTGTTGGATTTGGTGATCAGTAATATCGGAATCTCCTGTACCTTTGTATCTTTGACGCTGTCGAAATGTCCACTTGTATAGCTTTGGATGCTCTGAGAGACTTCCTGGAAACCGACCCTCCGCCTCCAAAAACTCGACAAGCTCATCATACCTGGCTTGCCACTCTAACTCATAACGATTCGATACCCAAGGAAAGTCAATTCGCTCCAACAAGTAGATCTGCGATCTGGAAAGTCGCTCGCTCCTTATTGCTCCCCCCTTGTATTTCGAGCGCTGTTTTCCCACCCATTCAAATAGAATAGGGTTGTCAGCTTGACCCACTAGGAAATGTCCATGGCGCTTCCAGAATTCCACCAGTTCATCGTACTTCGCATACCATGCTTTCAAACTCCGTGTTTTTGGCACCATTGGGCAACCCATACTCTCCAACATTGACTTTTGCTCTTCCGATAGTGCAACATATCCAAATGTACTTCTCAGCCTGTTTCGTTGCTGTCTCATCCAACGGCTCAGTTTAGGATCCTCTTGATGACTCGGGAACCTCCCATCGTTCTCGTTGTGATACCTATGTAGTTCGGCATACATTGAATTCCAATACACGCGAGGCCGGTCTTTGAGGAAAGCAAATTCAATCTGCTCCAACAGTTCCAATTCCTCTTCCGACAATGATTTGTAGCCTTCCGTTTCCTTGTACCTTTCCCCCTGTATCTTTATCCAATTGAAAACGCTTGCATTGTCCTTCTTCTTAACCTGAACATGGCCGTGGTCCTTGTAGAATTCGACGACCTCCGTGTACTTCTCATGCCACACCCGTTCCTTCCAATCCAGCGACCAGCAAAAGTGAATCTCTTCCATCTTTTCGATTTGTTGCTCTGTCATTTTTGGGGGTTGGTTGACAATCCCATGATAGCGTTTTCGTTGAAAAGTCATCCAATCGTAGAGTTCTGGGTCATCGTCTTCGCTGACCTGAAGGTTGCCGTGCTCATTGCAATATTCAACAAGTTTTTTGTGCATGGGGATCCAGACATTCGCATTAGTGCCTTCCCAAGACAAGCCAATCTTTTCCAATAATTTGATTTGTTCCTCACCGAGCAGACCGCTCTCCCGTTTATTTCGTTGCACTTGTAACCACGAGTACTCCTTGGAATAGGTCCTTCGCCCAGGCCGACAATGCCCATGATGCTCTTGGAACCGTACGATTTCGTTGTACTGGTTGAGCCACAAAACATCGAGACGGACTGGATTCCAAGGGAAATCAATTTTATCCAACAATCTTCTTTTTTCGTCAGTGAGACCACGACGGTTCTGTCGTCTGCCTCGTCGCAACCGTCGCTGATGGTGCATCCATCTATCAAGCGGCCCACCCGCGTCCACCAATAAATGTCCATGCTTGTTCTTAAATTCGACAAGCTCATTGTATCTGGCGTGCCACTTGGTCTCGGTATCGTCCGGCTTCCAAGTAATTCCAATGTCATTCAATAGTTTCAATTGTTTTTCTGAGAGACGATCATGGCGTCGTTCATGAGAGAAAATCCAGTTGTAAAGTGACGGATTTTCCATTTGGCTCACATGAGTATGCCCATTGTCATGGCGATACTGCAGTAGCTCATAGTAGTTGTCATACCAATTGGCAAGTTTCATATTAAATTCAAATCCAAGCTCCTCCAGTTGACGACAACGAATATTCCAATCAAAACTTTGAAGGGTCATCCTTTGATTATTGGTACGCAATTTGTTCTTCTTGTATTCGGAACGCTGAACCCGACAGAAGCTCGCCAATGTTGGATATTTCTTCTCAAGTGTAGCGGGCGGATTCTGGGGAAAGTTACAATGCCCACACTCTGCCTTGAAGGACTGGAGCTCTTCAAATTGGTCGTCCCAATGAGAGGCTGCATATATGCTTATTGGTTCTTCATCAGTGATATCAGTGATATCAGTGGTAGTAGTAGTGGTAGTAGCAGTAGCATCGGCTGTCGCAGAAATAGCAGTCGACCAGAGCACTGCTGTCGTCGAAGGGTGAAGCGAGGTAACAGAGCTCTGTTGAAATGCCCCACCGAAAAAAGGCTGCAACAAGAATAACACGAGAATCACTGCTGAAGGCTTGGGAAAGGTCACATTATTGTAGTGTCTGACGGAAGAATAAGTCATGGGCATTGCGATAGTAGCAGATTGATAAGAGAATGAATCAATGGTGGATTTTAATTAGTGAGTATCACTGGAGTCAGTTTGTGTTCATGCTTTGACGATGGAGACGAAAGAACTTTCGATTGTTTGTTGAATATATTGGATGTATAATATGTACTGATGATGACGATGACGATCAAATAAAAATGATGATGATGATAAATATCAAATATATGGATGATGGTCCTTGAGCGTACGTACGTCTCCCGGCCCATTTGTGATGATATATTATACATTATAATATACAGTATACAGTATTCAATATTCTCGTCGTCTGTGCAAACATCCATAACCCTTACCCTTACCCTGAACCCATGCTGTTTGGTAGTTTTCCGAAAATATATAATGATTCAGGCATCGTAAATAAAATAGCATGCTCGTCCTCAAGACCGACTGTATCCCAGAAGCTCCCAGCTTGCATCTGGATTAGAATATACTCAGAAAACCAAATACCTGTACTAGAACTTACTGAGAACGTACAGCACCATGGGTGGAGCGATCACGACGCGTATAGTATGCGTCCGAGGCAGGACCTACTGTAGCTACCGGTAGCTGTAATATGTTATTGCCATCCACACACAAATTTTAAAAAATCTGTATCTTTGACCACTCCGAGTCAATAATAATGACCCCCATGAAAATCGGGCATCCATCATCATCAATATATAAGAAATAAATAAATTAAACGCAGCAGCAGCAGCAGTATAATTACTGCATGTTGATCAAAGGTACGACAACAGCTCCACCAGTAAAGAATGGCACCACCAATCAACAGAAATAGAGCCGGCCTCCTCTGCGGTCTTGCTTGTTGCTGTATCTGTTGCATCATACCAGGCATCATTACGATGGTGACAGCAAGTTTTCAATACGAAGATTGGGAGTCTGCTCAGGCCGAGGTGATGAATACAACCTATTGTGGGACATACCGGCGTCGTCGCAAGCTAGGACGTGAAATTGTTCAACCTGATGCTGCTGCTACTACTACTACTACTACTACTGCTGCGAGCCGAACACTATTACAACGAGACGACAGCACGATCATTACTGGAGATTTGGATGATACTAATCAGGATTCAACAGATGGAAATACTATTCAGCGCGACAACAAGATCTTGAGGGTCAACAGAATTCCTTCTGTCGAAACTCGCAAAGGAAGTTTCCAAAGCTTTTCAATTCAAGCGTTATTTGTGGGCCATGATGATGATGACAACAAGTCGAACAAAGTAGAACAAGATGACATGGACAGCAGTGATGACAGTGACGACGATGAGGATGATGCCAGCGAAGACGAGAGCGAGCCTAAAAATAGTGGGAGCAATTCGGATGCTCCAGTTATTTCACAAACAACAACCACTTATTCTACGAGCAACATGTTTGTTACCAAACAAAAGAATAATTCCCGAAGAAGGACCACCCAACAACAACAAATACACGGCGTCCAGCGACGGGCCAAGGGCGGAGGAGTTGCTGCTGGGGCCGCCGGAGGAGCGGCTACTGGATACTACTTTGGATCGTCCGGCAATAGACACAATTCACACTACCGCTCCTCGAGCAGCAGCAAAGGCCCCCAATACAGCACCACCTACTCCTTTATGACATTGGATGGAGAAAATGTTACGGCCACGACCGAGTATTGCATGAATCCCGTTCCTCCCGTTGGTGGAACCGAAACGGTGTTGTACAATCCCGATAGTCCTACGGTGGGAGTAGTGTCTCAGGGATTTAAAGAGGGCCTGCAGGGTGATGGCATCAACAGCCTCATCATTGGACTCGTTTCCGTGGCAATCATTGGAGCCTGTTTGTATTTTGTCATGAGACGGCGAAAATCATCAAGCCATACCAGTACCAATACCAATACTATTTACAGCAACAACAACAACAATGCTTTCAGCAGCAGCGAGAATACCTACAGCACAAGTAACTATTCCGACAACAAGAATCCTCATGATGATGCTGCTGCTGTCGAAAAGCCCCAGTATGGAGAGCCACCTATCGTTCAAGCACAAGAGGTGACAAACAACAACACTGGTCCAATTTCGTATACCTCTGCGGCCTACAAGCCACCTTGAGAGCAGTCGCATTTTTTATATGATGACTGTTGGTCTGATATACTTCGTTGTACACCGTTATATACTCCATAAAATAGAATACATGTGCGTATCTTCATTCATAAAGACATGTATACCGGTACTTCTGCTCGTACGTTAATAAATCAAAAGAAACGAAACGAACATGCAATCTTGGTGGTGTCCCGATTATGATATTTCATTAAATCGAAAACATGGTCTTTATGTAGAAGTGTTCAACATGCCGCGTACTATGGGTTTCTGACGAGCAGTTGAGTCCGAACAAAAGATTCAAAACTACAAGCTAGCCTATTGTTCCTGAATTTCAGACAAACAAACGCATTGTACTGTATTATACTGATACTGCTGCTTTGCAGAGATAACCATCATAATCAAGAGAGAGAGAGATACAGTAAGGCATCATGAAATTTGAGAATGCAGAACAACCACGAGACGGAGAACGAGCTTCTTCTTCTTCCAACTTGAAGAAATGCGCACCAAAGTCAGTCTTTGGAATTTCCATGTGCTGCTGTCTTTTGGGTTGCCTTCTTCCTGGAATTGGTTTGCTCGGCTTCAACTATTTGACGTATGGAAACTACGAGTCGGTGCAAGCCAAGGTCGTTGGACAAACCTTTTGCGGGTACTATCGCCGTCGGAATCTAAAGCATCAGCAGCAGGACAATGTCGATGAATCATCATTTGCCATGTGGGAAGACGAAGATGAGGAGGAACTAATGGATCGAAGACTGAAGAAAAGTGGCTACAATTCTGGAAGCCGCTCTTCCTCCACAAACAAGAAACAAAACCACTACAAGATGACATATGAGTTCTTGACATTGGAAGGAGAGAACATTACTACCACCACGGATTACTGTGTCAAGGCACGCCGTCCCATCAATTCCACCGAGTACATCATGTACGATCCAGATGATCCGTACAATGTGGTGCATGAAACGAAGACCACGGCATATCTGGTGCTTGGTGTGTCACTGGCAGCAACTGGAGCTGTATTCCTATGTGCGGCATGTGTCCTATACAAGGTGTTTATGAGTACCTTCGGAGACATGTTGGGATCCAACAGCAACAATTCTAATAATAATGGAGGCATGCCCGATCCTACTGAGAATAACTCAGAAAGCAACCATGGTGGAGGTGGCATTCCAGCAACGACTGGATTTGCATCGGCATTCTCGCAATTTACCAATCCAAATGCCAACAATAGCAATTCAGCTACTAACAACAACAACAACTCGGCTCCCAACAGCAATACTAATGGGAGCAACAACAACGGTGGCAATACTCCCATGGCTGGATTGGCATCAGTATTCTCACAGTTTACAAACCCGAATGCCAATGCAAACAACAATAACAACTCTACAGCTCCAAACAACAATTTGGCTCCCAATAACAACCAAAACCACCACAACAACAATGCGAACAACAATCCTATGGCGGCTGGGTTGGCATCTATGTTTTCACAGTTTACAAACCCCAGTGCCAACAATAGCAACAATAATGCAACTGCTCCCAACAACTCAACGGGACCAACCACCACGGATACTCCGGCAAGCTATAATAACAATAATGCTTATGGCAATACAACCACCACCGAGAATAATAATCCATACCATGGAAATACTACTGGCAACAACAACAACAACAAGAATTCCTACGGGAACACGGCCAGCAATCCCTACCAAGATAATAACAACAGCACGTACAGCAACAACATACGACAACAGCAACCTTCTCCAAGTGCTCCTCCCGCCAGTGCTGTAAACCCGACGGGCGGCTACCGACCTCCTTAAAAGAACAAGGTGCGTGGTGGTGGTCGTGACAAAAAGCAAGTGAACTTGCTGTACCTATTATATGTTTCAGTTGCAATTGTTTTTATATACATGTTATATAATAAAAATTACAAGAAAACTCCTGGCGTTGTAAAGTTATCGTATAGCTATTTGTATTTTTCATCGACACGACTGGATGTTAATAGAGATTGGTTTGGAAGAAATTAAGCAGATATTCAATGTAACGGTACAGTACCGTGGTACAGGACCTATAGCCGCGTGGACAAATAAGCTACTTTTACCATCAGAAAAGTATCTCATGGAGAGAATCGGCTTTCCTTGGACATCGAATCGGAACGAAGTGGAGTGGCAAATGATGTCCAAGGAGCTCATTCGATTTCAACAGGAACATGGACATATCTGAGTGAAGATAGCAGATGATTCAGTCCTATGCGCATGGATGCAACATCAACAGAGAAAATACGAAGGTAGAACCAGTTCCGACGTTTCACTACACCAAATCCAGCTCTTGAAAAAGGTAGGTTTTCTTTCTTGACCGGAAGAGGACTGAGTTATGCATCTATTTTCTATCACTTTCATCGATAATAGGCCCCAATAATAGGTGCCACAGCACATTGATGATAGAAGCTGCGCACAGTCTTTTGACTTTTCATCTTCGTCGTCATTGAACCATTTTAATCCACATATTCTCTACCCTCAGAATTATGTGCAGCGTTCGACTAGCATCTCCCGAAATGGATACAAAACATGCTACAAGGCTATAATGGCGAGGCTCTATCATCCCCACGAGTCCTCTAACACATATGAACATGCTGATTTTATAGAATTGAAGGGTTTCATCAAATATTATCGGAAACTTGGACGTGCTGCTGCTGCTAGCGTGCTCCATCATTTTCAGCAATTTTTACCACCTGCTGTACATTGTGATTGGGGCTGTTCATGATACTATAGTACATGAATAAACTATATCCTAGTTAGCTCAAAAAGTGAGTGGTGAAACTAGTTACCTCGTAACGTCGTTACTAGTTTGATACGCCTTCCTTCATTCTAGCTCTCTTCTAGTTGTGTGGACGGCTGTCACCAGTAAAGTATAGACAAGGCGTCTTGCTCGTGACGAGTGATAGTGAGAGGGTGAGACGACTCACTACAGTATATCACTGATAATGAATGAGTCTCGAATGTCTCACCGCGCTTCGCGCTATATATCCACCACAAAATATATCCCCTCATTATTCACCCTCCAAATGTTTGTTCACCCAAGACCCATAAAAAAAAACATCTCACGACAGAAATTGTAGTTGTCCTCTACTATTGTAGGGGTGCGTTTTATGCAAGCCCATAAGAGGTTTGAGAAAAGTCGCGCTGGGAACAGAATCGCCACGACTGCCAGGAGTCAGTCATGCGGAGTGATGTCAATCGCATTTATGAAGTTCGACAAGGAGGCGGAGGATGAATGCGTATCAATGTATCAACCAACCAACCAACCAACCACAAAAGATATATATTAGAACACAAGAAGAAAATCTCAAAATTTCGAATAAAGCAACATCATAATGCCAGTGGAAGAAAAAGAAAGCAACAGAGCCAGCATCAAACGAAAACAACTCGCAAAATTACTGTGTTGTCTCATATGTTGTTTGGTTCCAGGAGCCATCATTTGGGGAGTTGCCAATCTGCAAGTCCAGGACTTGGAATATGCGAAGGGTACCGTGGTCGCAACCACATATTGCGGATACAGTGTCAAAAAAGGCGTGGATTACAACAATGGCAAGAGAGATCACTACAATATTACCTTTCGTTTCGAACTGGTATCGAATGGGACGACTGTGAATGCAACCACCGAGGATTGCACCGGATCCGTACCATCGCTTGGAACAGTGGAAACAATTTTATACGATCCAGAAGATCCAACTGATATAGTGCAGAACTCTACTTTTCAGACCTATCAAGCTGTTGGAATTGGGTTGGCTGCCTTGGGCTTAGTCTGCAGTTTGGTATTGGTAACGACAGTCTTGTTGGAGAATCGTCATGCTGGTGGAACCAGTAAGCATTATTCGGGCACGGCTCCTGGCTCGGACCCAATTGTACTCCAATCCCACCGAGCACAAGGCAATAGGACTGCCACTGGATACTATACTGCCAGTGGGGCTGGGGTTGTGGCGGCCATTTAGTATTGGTGTGGTAGTGGGTATCTAGCTATAGTCCTAGCACTAGTATTCTAGATAGCGGTTTTTATGCTCTTATGGTCGAAGTGCGGTTCTGTTCGTCCAGCATTCTATTCTTGCGTCCATGTTGAATTGATGAAAGCACTGTCTAGCTATAGAGCAACATATCATTGTTGTTGTTTCACCTTCGTACCGGTAGAACAAGATCGATCCGCAATATCCGTCCTGCAGTCGACTTGTTCGATCTACTCAAAAAAGAACCGAACACTTCTGATTCATTATTTCCTTCTCCAATCAAAATTCGAAACATCTGCCTGAGAATCACCAACATCATCAACATCCGGATCGCATTGTTCCGAAAGAATCCAGAAGAAAGTAATATACCGGAAGATTGATGGATCTGTGCACGACTTCAGCAAAAAAGACACAGTGAAGAGACAAGTAATCTATCGATCTCTTACAAATCAAACCTAAAAAACAGGAAACGAGAAATACTGCGAATCAGTTAGTTGTTTTCAGGAAGTCTCAGGAAGTTTCGGGCCAGCACTTCAGAAATTTTCCGTCAGCCATCCACAATGAAAGACTTTCACGCGTATGCATCAGTCTTTGGATGTCGATTGCTCTTGCTGTCGATTCTGAGTCTATCTTTTTCTTGCCAAGCCTTTGTTGTTGTCAATAAGGTTTCGTCATCCACACCAAGATCTTCAGCATATGTTCCGTCGATGATAGCATTGGACCTTATTTATTTCAACGGGAAGGGCAAATATCAGAAAAGTGTAAGGAGTGATACAACCCGCCGCTCTCAGCTGTACTATTCAAATCACGGTGATGATCATCAACAACATCAAGAAGATATGAAACGAGCTGCTGCTAAAGATGAGATTGGCGGGGATGGTGTATGGTTTCAGAATACCATGGAAACTTCAGCCGACACGTCATCCAAAGAAGCTTTGAGGGAGCTGTTACGTGACTGGCAATTGGGGACGGATACCAACGACGACGATCAGCTGCTGGTCTTTTTGTTTCTCTCGCATCATTGGGAGTTGCAAGATGTGACATCCAATGCGATGGATCTACTCGAGGAAATGAGTATGGGTGGCGACGAAAAATCATCCAAAAAGGATAACATTCATCTAATCACAGTGATTGGAGGAGGAGTTATTGGCCAGAATCAAGAATACGAAGAGGAAGCTAGTCACCCTGTCTATGGAAGAAAAGCCATCAAGAAGCAAATGTCAATTCTTGGAGGATATTGCAAGAAAGATGAAATTAATAATCCGAAATCATCAGAATCATCGTCGTTGCAAGTGTTTTCCATGTCCAACAATGATGCCACTGTCAAGAGGACCATGACCACGATGTCCAACAATGATGCCACTGTCAAGAGGACCATGACCACGACAAATCAGGAAACGAATCCACAGCAGCCACAACCATTTCGATCCGATTCCTCTCTCTTTGTCTTTAGCGATCCTTACTGCCGCCAAATCCAAAATTTGTTTGGCGAATTGCACTCGCTCAATTGTCAAGTAGCCGGAGGCATTTCAGTGCCCCACCAGTCGGCCCTGTACGATCCAACCCTGGCCATAAATCGCGAGATCTTGCCAAAGGGAAGTTTGGTCGGAGTCCAATTGCCGTCCAACTATCAGTTGCAATGTGTGGTATCCCAGGGTGGATGTCGACCAGTCGGACCTACCTATCGAGTGACCAGTGTGGATGGACCGGCCATTCATGAATTGGATCAAGTCAAGGCACTGGAACAATTAGATCGTTTGTGTTCTAATGAAAATCAAAGTAGTGATGAGGACGATGGTGATGATACTGATTTTGAAACAACTGTCACCATATTGTCCCCGAAAGACCAAGAACTTATTCGACAAGGAGGTGTACTTGCTGGTGTCTTTTTGGAGGCATCGTCGTGTTCTGGGGTTGACGATCAACTCAATGACGATGAATCTCCATCACTACAACCGTCGGCCTCCATAGAATCATCATCATCATCAGCAGCACAGGATTCTACTGAAGCTGAAGGCCTTGTGGAGGGCGAATACATGGTGAGGGAGGTGACAGGATTCCGACCACGTTCCGGGTCTATTCTTGTGTGTGGGCAACCTCAAGTTCAATTAGGTGATCTCTTTCGATTCCATGTTCGATCATCTCAAGAAGCCCTAGACGATTGGAAGCTCTTGTTGAAGCAGACAAAAATGGAGCAACTTTTTCTGAGTTCCAAAGCCGATGAAGTTTCGTTGGATGCTACTGAGTCTTCTGCTGCTGCTGGCGGAGATGGAAATCTATCATCATCATCATCATCATCACCATCATCCACAACGACCACTAGTCGAATCGTATGTGGGATGCAAATATCCAGTTTGGCACGAGGAAAAGACTTTTTTGAAACTCCCAATGTAGATTTGGACCATGCCAAAATGCTGCTCGAGTCCAAGAAAAACAGAGACAATTTCAACGATTCAGCAACACCACCAATTGGTGGATTCTTTTCCAATGCGGAAATTGGTCCAGTCGGCATACGAATGGGGGCGCAAGGCGACAGTTCCCAACCGTATTTGCATGGATTTGCCACAGTCGTTGCCATGCTGTGTGAAATAACAACAATTCCCATTGACGACAGCAGTCAAGGCAGCAATGGCTCGGAAGATAGTGATTTCCAAGCAACCATTTCAAGCTCACAGTCTTCGTGGGCTTGATGGTTGTCATTCATTCATTTCATAGCATGTTCGACTTCCTTTGTAACAAGTGTCAATATAAATCGAAAGTATGACTGACTCTACACACTTTATATATATACCTTATCAACACGCGATGGTACAGTGCTGTACAGTAGCGAGGCGATTGGATCTTCTACTCAGCGGCAGTACTGTACCGTGCAGCACCTGCAATGCGAAAAACGACGCTACAAACATATGAACTTGTTTTTGTGAGAAGAGTTCGGGCCGATCCGAATTTTGACATAGTGAATTTTGATTGGTCAAAAACTGGCGCGTTTTGACGCATCATGTTCGCAAAACTCACAGTATATTCTGATTTCCAACACAAGAATCTTTCCGTTGAAAAATACAGCAAGAATTCAATCACACAACAACACAACCAAACAACCACTTTCAACTTAACACCAGGACACTACAACAATGACATGTTTTCGCTTGACTCTTTCCTACTTCCTTCTAGTGGTTTTCCTCGTAGTGGAACCTACTAATGCCCTTGCCAATCAGCATCATTATCATTCTTCTAGACGTGAAGATCTCCCCCCCGCCCTCACCAACACTGGTTCCTCTTCTGGCGACGCAAATGATGGCGGGTACTCTGCTGCTAAGCCATTCTACTCCCCCATGGCTCTTTTCGGAATCTATTCGAGTGGAAAATCCAATCAACATAATGATAATGATCCTCAACGCCATCCCTCGCCGTCCGCCTTCGCCAATGCTGATGGTTCCTGCTCTTCTGGCAACGCAGATGGTGATGGACACTCCTCTGTTACTGGGTCGAACTACTCCCCCATGGCTCTATTCGGAGTCTACTCGAGTGGAGAATCCGCCCTATTTGGAGGAGCCCATGGCAGCTGCGACATGACAACGGCCATGAGCAGTACCAATCACGAAGAATCGTCACAAGCAGCAGCACCAGCAGCACCCGAATCCCCTGTTATATTTCTTCCCAACCATTTACTAAAAGATGATAACAGAGACCATTCGGTGTAAGCATACAATGTGATGAAATATGATTGTGAGGCTTGAAATGAACACTTTCGTTATGCATATTTTTTGGTAGTATGGAGATCGATTCACGAATGGACCTTATTGTTGATCATTGATGCTGGATAGCACACACGCACGTTCGTCTTTCAACGTCTATCTATCTTTATATCTACATATACATACCCAACCCGAGTCCGAAACAACCCAAGACCCTACTACATGTTGCTTGATGAATGATACTACGTATTACGAAACGATACAACGACAAATATATATAATTTATATAGAATCCACCAAATCACAAATCACGAGTCAATCACACCTACAGAGCACCATTTTGAAGCTCAAACAAAAAGATCAAACAAAACATGTGTTAGAGGAAAGTAAATCCTGCTAATCAGAATCGCCGGAAGGCCAGGATGATATTCACTCCCCCAGGATGAACGAATGAATCAATCGATCAATCATTCGTGGATAGAGAGGGGCGGGACAACCAATGGAGGGAGGCTTCTGACTACGGAATAGTACTGTATGGTTCAATTCTCATCAAGTAGCTAGTTGTAGTACCGGTAGCGCATACTACTAGTGCTAATACCAGTATTACCACTTGATCGCTATCACCAGGCAGTTCCCGCAGCTGCCGTTCCCCGAAATATATGATTCAGTAGTCGCTACAGTACCACGAACTTCAATGTTGGATTAAATATTCCATTCTTGTGACAGATGTCATCTTGACACGAAGTCGTCGTGATTCATTCATTCGTACCCTCAGTCGTGGTAGCTGTAACCTACTAGGTGGGTAGCTACTATTGATTCATTCCTGGCAAACCACAGTTTGGCGCGCCTCTTGACACCGCACCTGTAGTACTCTACGGAGCGTGTACCAGAACTGTTGGACTAAGAAAGGCGGTACGTTCGGGCTGTGAACGTCGCCATCAATCACATTTATCGTCACTTTTACGCGGTAAGCTGAGCCCAAAAGGGGTAGTTCGATCACCCGCGCCTTTTGTAGTTTCTTTCCTATGGGATCAATGTAGTTGCAAGCGATGCATACAACACTCTTGCGTACCGAGCTCGCTTGCAGGATTGAATTTCATCTTGGACCCACAAGAAATCACTTATAGGAACATGTAAGTTCACTTTCTGACTCCATATCGACTCGTCAGCTTCGTCATTTTACTTATGCAACCTCCGTCATCTACATATGAGAGTCTCAGTGGACTCACAAATTGCCTTGTCCCCTAAATGATGAGTGATCGCGGGATTCGAAAGGCTGCTTCTGACAACACAATTTGAAGCTTCTGATCAGAAACTTCGGTGAGAGAACACATTTTTTGATGCAAGGTTCTCACTTCTACCAAACAGCTTGCACAAAACCTGTTCACCATCAGAAGACACCTTATAAAATCACAGAACAAACGTTTCACATTGCATCCAACCAAACCACACCAACACCACCAACACCAACAACACCAACAACAATACAATGAATCACAGACGAACGATGACCTGTCTCAACAAATTCAACGACGAAGCCGTCGCCGTTGTCATGAACAATCACCATCCCATAGCCGTGGAACAGTTGCACGAAGCACTCGTGCACATGAAAGGAAACATGGCGGGTGCCTGCTGCCCTCAATCACCGCTGACACCAAGACCCAAATCCGCACGACCGCGAGCCGCACGGCATCATGCCACCCTGCCCCATTACGTCAAAGAGCGAAGCAGCAATCGGGAAAACATGTTCCTGTATCTCAATGAACTCGTGTTGGATGACACCACAGACCAGCATCCATCGACCTTTGCCATATACTGCGCTGTGACACTCTTTAACGTTGCTATTTTGTACCACGTTGAAGGTTTGGCCAAAGGACGAATGGCTCTCATGGACAAGGCCCATCAAATGTACCAAGCCAGCCTTCACTTTTTGAATGGCTTGGACCTTAACAATGACACTGTGTTCCTAGTGAACCTTGCCAACCACAACAATATGGCTCAGATTGAGCTGGAGAAGGGCATGGTGGATGCGCCAAATGGCCGACTGGTTCATTCCTTTTCTCTGCTCCAAAGCATCAAGTCAAGGGCACTTGATATATTGTCAGACACTGAACTTCGTGGATTTTTGCTGAATTCCTCACTGCAAGGCAAGATCTCTTCCGCAGCCGCAGCGTAGGCAATAACGTCGCTCCTTTCACACGCCGTGCATATAGAAATTTTTAATAGCTAATAAAAGATATCACTTGTTGACGCAACCTCATACATACATGCATCGACACTAGCCTGTCTTTCAGTTTCTCAGAAAGGAACAATACCTACCTTATCATACTATTAGTATACTACTTACGCAATGCATAGAAAATTATATGTCACATACTGTCTAAAGCAACAACTTGACTAGTATTAATATTTTCAAGGATCACGATAATAGCAGTAGTAGCTGAACCATGGATCGAAAGCAATGTTATTCGATTGCCAGGTGGACATTCGCTCGGCTGCACACGTACCAGCAAGAGGTGTTTGAACCATGCATCATTTCAGGCAACCTCTGATAAAAACCAAGGAAGTTTGGTCCCATGCGAGAAAATACGTTGTGGAGAAGATTCTTCTGAAAAGCCTAAGTTAGTTTCATTTACGTCAATAAAACAAATAACAGACTGCCTGGCAATCAGACTGCAATCAGACTGCAACAGACCATTTGCTCAAAAGTCTGATTGCGGATTTGGAAGCGTCACGTAAGAAAAAGCAGTATCAACAACAGACCAACCAAGTATGATTGACGGCAACGGATCAGACCTCATTCGACTGGTCCAGACCATTTGCTCAAAAGTCTGATTGCGGATCAGGAAGCGTTAACTTCAAGGTCTGTCAACAGACCATCGCAACCAAGTACAGTATGATTGATGGCAACGGATCAGACCTCATTCGACTGGTCCAGACCATTTGCTCAAAAGTCTGATTGCGGATCAGGAAGCGTCAACTTCAAGGTCTGTCAGCAATCGATAACAGACCATCGCAACCAAGTACTGTATGATTGACGGGAACGGATCAGACCTCATTCGACTGGTCCAGACCATTTGCTCAAAAGTCTGATTGCGGATCAGGAAGCGTCAATCTCAAAGCGGTCCGTCAATAGGTGCAACAAGCAATATTATTGACAACAGAGCACCATACCCAATATGCCCAATATCCTTTTGCTTAGTAGAAATAGGCCAGACTCATACTGATCAATGGCAAACAAGGGTAACAATAAGACATGGGTGTTTTTTGACCATATGGATACACGGATGATGACATTGAAACCGATTGCTGCCAATCAATAAGTTGTAGTCTTCTGCAATTTCCAAACGTGAACCATTGATAATGCATTGATAATGGATTATCCCACAGACAAAGGATTTTCTTATGTTCCGGTATGCCGCCGTCTTGAGTAACACGGTCAATTGTGGGCGGTTTGGAAAGGAGTCGGTTTCGGTGGTTATCGGGCGACTGAACCTACTCAGATAGCAAAGTAATCAACACGGGCAATGGATGTAGCGTGAGTGGTCGCTATACAGCAACTTAACAGTTGAAAGATTCTCATGTGATCGTGAAGTAGGTCCGCGCAGTCGTATTGTCTTGCTGTTGGGGCCACCATTAGCTGCCACCATGCGTAGGGTCAACAAGGTAACAGGACATACTAGTTTTGCCTAGGTGGATGCACAGACGATGATATTGAAACCCCTTTTTCTATTAGTTATTACTGACTACGAAATCGAATGTGATTTCAGATGTTGATGAGCTGGTGCCTGGTCAAGGATCAATCGGTTGTTCTTGATCCAAAGACAATGTGAGTATGTCTGCGATGTTTCAGCATGTTTGCTTTCATCTCGACACATCTTTCTGAGCCCATCAGACTATTTCTCCTTGTCCATGCTTTCCTTCTTTGCGGAAAACAATGCAGAAAAGTAATCGTTGATTGGACGGAATCCCCAAAACGTAGGAAACTGCCGCTGATCATTCCAATTATTGATCAGTGTGGAAGACAGAATGGCCAGGACATTTCCGACCAACATCATTCCCACTTGAACCCATGTAAAGTTTCCAGTCGAAAAGGCTACTGCCGCTGCTCCTGCTGGTGGATGAATCGCACTGCACTTGACCATGATTCCAACGGCGCAAGCGATCGCCAGTGATTGCCGCATCCACAGCTCGGCCTTGAGATGGGTTCCAATCAAATGCGCGATGGTGAGTCCCAGAACCTGACCGACAATCGCATTTCGAGGCTGAGATGCAGGAGCTGGAATTGTGTTGTGTAATGGCCAATACCAGGAGGAGTACATTCGTCAGTGTGCAAAGAAGAGACAGAACGAGACAATAATGACTTTCACGATAAACATACCTGATGTCAAACCATAGTGTAAACCCATCAGTGCGCCAAATGGACTGGAAGAAAAAAATGGTATCTTTTCATGTTAGAACTCGTCGCCTGTGTATGTTGACAGTAGCAACACGTGGGTTCAACAAGACACTTACGGTAGCGCAATAAAATATTCGGGTCCAAAGCTCTTCACCATGACATTGCTGAAGTTTGTCAACATTCCTGATAGGTACGATTACAGTAAGACTTGGGGCGAGCGAAAGGAATAGCCTACAATCATATCATTGTCAACTTACCGAAGGTGAGAAAGCAACCCATAAAGGTAAAAGCGGATGCTGACCATCCCATAGGAGGCGGTGCCTTGACGTTGGCACCCATGAACTTTTTGGTTTCTTGCTTGATCTTGGCTTTGAAATACCCCGCCACTTTGTCGACGGTTCCATCTAGTTCTTTCATGACATCCTTCATGCTTTGTGGTTTTCCTTTTTGCAAAGCAGCTTTCTGTTCTTCTCTTTCAACCACTTTGGCCAGAGACAATCCCATGCATCGGATCGCCAACAGCTTGATGCGGACCCGTCGCCAGCATTTGTTGATGTCTTTTCTTCGTTTTTTCACCACGGCAATCCGTGCCCTTCTCAGGGAATAGGCCGATCCAATGACACTGGTCGCTCGTTGCAAGTATTCTTCGTTGGTAGAATCGGCCAGATCTTTGAGACTGACCGTATCACGGGCCATGTAGATCATTATTCCTCGCGTGCCTCCAACATCAAAAGTGACGCCGGCGGCCAACCCGAGTCCAGCCTTGTTGACAAGATACTGGGTGCGTTCGTCGTATGGTTGATTTGGATCGTTGACCAACGGCTTGAGCTCGCACCAGGACATTTTGGAATGCGGCTGGTGGCCACAGCACTGCTCATGATTCTGTTGGTGCTGACCGTTGGAACTGTGCAGGTTACTGATTGTTCCATACATGCTACTTCGAGTTGCAGCACTACTCATCTTTCCCCCACCACCAGCACCAAGTAAACTTGTTCTAATCCCGACACTACTTTTCCGGAATAAGCTCTGTCGACCAGACATTACGCTTTGTCTTGTATTACCAGCCTTGTTTGTAGCTTGCGCCCAAAGATATCCTGGCAATCCAATGCCGGGCATGCAGGGCTCGGCAGGAATGTAATCTGGCAAGGATGAATCGACAAGTTTGGAAAATGCATGAGTGGCACAAGCATAGTGATCCATCCACCATCCACAATCGGGACGAAATAACTGAGTCCCCGTATCATCCAATACCCACAACTCGGCGAAAATGATTCCAAAGGCCCACCGTCCCGCATCGGCAATCAGACGATGAAGAAATTCCATATCACAGACTTCTTCTGCTGCTGCTTCTTCGCCAGAAGATAATTCGGCTGTCTCATCATCGGATTCTACCAAGCTTAGCAAGACGGGGGTGTCTTTTTCTTCATCATTGTCGAAATCCAGGACAAAGTCACTGTTGTTACTGATGATCGAGTGGTAGCTGTGCATAATTGCTTTAGGTTTTTTTTAAAAAGTCGTTACATAATAAAGTTACATTTTTTTACTGCCGCATGACGAGATAGCGAGAAGCTCTCAAAATGATTCTTGTCGTGCTGGCGCGACGAGGAGTGACACTGTCAGTATAGGAATACCGGAATAAATAGAGTCAGAAACTGATATTCATCCTATTGCAATATACCGATAATATCGTGATCGATATATGGCGAAAACAAAGGTAGAATTCCCAAAATCGACCACTCGGACTACAAGAAAACTACCACTCTTTGCTAGAATTGCCCACCATGGATCCAAATGCACTATGTAACTCGATGAAAAACAGTAATCGGTGTGTGCAAAAAATTAGAATGTAGAACGGTCCGTGCAAGGTACAATACTGGCTAAAGGGGGGAATCGCTAGAAAATTCCACTTTTGGGGTTGCCAATAAAACGGGCAACTCACAAGCCTTATTGTTGGAATAGTTCATGTGCACGCGCAGGAGTATCCTTCAGCATCACGCTACGAGACTGGAATGAATGTCATGAGAAATAGAGAATAAAGTATCGGCCAGTCAGATCGCGTTGGGATGGATATATATTGCTGCGGCGGGTCCCAATAGCAGCTGCAGCACTACGACAGGAATACTAGATGATTCATTCTAGGCGGGCCGCAACAAGACCTGTAAGGGTATCAGGACACGACCATGCTAGTATATTGACCGGATGGATACGGTACATAGCTGATGAAATTGAAACCTTTATTTTTGCTGCTTACTATGACTCTTTTGATTAGCTGATGGTGAAGAATCTATCTATATTGTCGTTGATTTTTGCTCTGATCTCGACACACATCTCCATGAATGCGCGCATCAGACTATTTCTCCTTGTCCATGCTTTCCTTCTTTGCGGAAAACAATGCAGAAAAGTAATCGTTGATTGGACGGAATCCCCAAAACGTAGGAAACTGCCGCTGATCATTCCAATTATTGATCAGTGTGGAAGACAGAATAGCCAGGACATTTCCGACCAACATCATTCCCACTTGAATCCATGTAAAGGTTCCACTCGAAAAGACTACTGCCGCTGCTCCCGCTGGGGGATGAATCGCACTGCACTTGACCATGATTCCAACGGCGCAAGCAATGGCCAGTGACTGTCGCAACCAGAGTTCCACATCCAAATAGGATCCAATCAAATGCGCGATGGTGAGTCCCAGAACCTGACCGACAATCGCATTGCGAGGCTGGGAGGCAGGAGCGGATGTCAAACCATAGTGTAAACCCATCAGTGCGCCAAATGGACTGAAGTAAAGTAATGCATCATGATGTTAGAACTCGTCGACTTTTGAATATTCGATGTAGGGGGGATACGCAGGCGAAACTTACGGCAGTACAATTGAATATTCGGGTCCATAACTTTGTTGCATGAACTTGCTAAAGTTCGTTAACATTGCAAAGGTGAGAAAGCAACCCATAAAGGTAAAAGCGGATGCTGACCATCCCATAGGAGGCGGTGCCTTGACGTTGGCACCCATGAACTTTTTGGCTTCTTGCTTGATCTTGGCTTTGAAATAGCCCGCCACTTTGTTGACGGTTCCATCTAGTTCTTTCATGACATCCTTCATGCTTTGTGATTTTCCTTTTTGCAAAGCAGCTTTTTGCTCTTCCCGTTCGACCACTTTGGCCAGAGACAATCCCATGAATCGGATCGCCAACAGCTTGATGCGGACCCGTCGCCAGCATTTGTTGATGTCTTTTCTTCGCTTTTTTACCACTTCAATCCGCGCCCTTCTCAGGGAATAGGCCGATCCAATGACACTGGTCGCTCGTTGCAAGTATTCTTCGTTGGTAGAATCGGTCAGATCTTTGAGACTGGCCGTATCACGGGCCATGTAAACGACGATTCCTCGAGTGCCTCCAACATTAAAGGTCACCCCCGCGGCCAACCCGAGTCCAGCCTTGTTGGCTAGATATTGGGTACGTTCGCAGTATGGCTGATCGGGATCGTCGGCCAAGGGCTTGACTTCGCACCAGGTAAGTTTGGCAGAAGAAGATTGATCGGGATGGTGCGAATGCATCATGCCGCTACCAATTGTACCAGTTCCAAACATACTGCCACGGGAGGCAACACTTCCACGCCTTGCCCCGCCATGCTGTCGGCTTGTTCCAAGAAAGTTAGAGCCACCTCGGATGGTGCTTTGCCTTATTGTACTACTTCTTGTGTTGGTTGTAGCCTGTGACCAAAGATATCCTGGCAATCCAATGCCGGGCATGCAAGGATCGGCCGGAATATAATCTGGAAGAGAAGAATCGGTCAGTTTGGAAAAGGCTTCGGTCGACGCATAGCGGTCCGCCCACCATCCACAATCGGGACGAAAGAGCAGCGTCCCGGTATCGTCCATCACCCATAACTCGGCGAGAAGGATTCCAAAGGCCCACCGTCCGGCATCTTCAATCACACGATGTAGAAATTGCATGTCGTACACTTCTTCTTGGTTATCAGCACCTGGGGGGTATACCCGATCCTCGTTCTCGTCGAGCAAAACCGAGGTGTCATCTTCATTGTCGCTGTCGATTTCGAGGACAAAATCCTTGTTTTCGCTGATGAGGCTCATCGGGTCGTCCATCGGCATTTCGTGGTTTTGTGCTTCATTGTTGGTTTCGCTCATCTGTCTTTCTGCCAACGATTTTTGTGTCTCCGATTTCTGCCAGAAGTTTTAATCCTCGGAAAGCTATAAACAAAGATTAAAAACGGCATATAGTGAAATGATAAAAAATTATTACAAGTATTAAATAACTGAACCGGAGAAGCGGCTGGAACAATACAAAAGATCACGAACGTTCGACGGAGAAAATTGCTGTTCGCGTCACCATATTGTGCATTTCTATCATACGGTATCATTCGTTTGGTCAAAAAAGCTTCGCGGCGTGCTCGCTCTGCGATGCTGGCTTGCGTTCAATAATCGTGCCTCGTGGCCATGCAATAAATTATATGATATAATATATAGAGTACCGCGGTAGGTACACGTGTAAACGTGCATTACATGTTATACGGTACCGCCGGGTTAGCACACACAGAAGTTTTGCCACGAGGCAAAAACGTGATAAATTTGAAACTTGTGTGTCACGATTGTTGTTGAGACAGTTCATGTATCATACTGTATATGGTACTGGTGTCAAGAGATTGACTCAGTCACACAGTAATACAATCGCACAACCATAAACGTCGAGAGATGATGAGAATATCCAATCACAGTCGAAAGCGGCAACGAGGAGGAGGAGAACAGAAGACTGCAGAATATTCTTCCACTCTGTTTCAGTTCTTCAGCAACAATTCCAAATGTCTCCAAACCTTGTGTTTATTGACGCTTTGCCAGGTCGTACTGTCAGCCTATCATTATCACAATGTTTACAAGACTACCAAGACGTTCTCTTCTTTTGGATCATCTTCCACTTCGCTTCAATTTGCCTCTTCCGGAAATTCAGCGATTCCTAAACACCATCCATCATCACCTGTCAACTCGGCGCTTCATGTCAGCTTTGCCGCCTCTGCAGCAGCAAACGCAAGAGTAGAGAGCGTCGCTGCCAATCCGCTGAATACTTATACTAATACTGATAAGGATGGTACCACAACAACAACAACAACAACAACAACCATACTTCCGGAATGGAATGAATTATCAGGTGCCGCACAAACCGAACTCCAACAAATGCTAAATTGGGACAAGGTGTCGACCTTTGATTATCCCGAAATATTTCGGTTGGACGAACTAACGCAAGGCCATTCCTTGTTGTTCATGAGTTGGGCCATTGTGGCAAGTCCGTATTCGCAGCCACTCCTATTATCATCCTCAGCATCACAACAAGAACAACAAGAACAACAAGACAATGAGTATTGCAACTTGCTCGATGCCTTTGGAATATCACCCACCGCCTTTATGGATTATGTCCGCACGATTGAACAAGGCTACCAGAAGAATAATCCGTATCACAATCACATTCATGCGGCAGACGTCTTGCAAACTCTCCACAGCATGCTCCAATCCGAGTCCTACCGCCTCACCAAGGTACAACATTTCAGCCTCCTCTTGGCCTCCATTTTGCACGATGTCGGACATGATGGTACCAACAATGATTTTCAAGTCCAAACCCAATCCCAACTTGCCATTCGCTATCAAAACGTTTCGGTTTTGGAACAGCATCATGTGGAGGTTGGTTTGAAGGAACTCGATTCCAGCGAGCTTCTTGATCATTTGCCCCTCCAGCAACGAGACGAAATTCGTCAATTCATAGCACAAGCCATTTTGCACACTGACATGGCCAAGCATCAGGAGCAAGTCGAACGAGCTTCACAAGCAGCTTCCACACCACCACCACCACCACAAGACGACGACGACGACGACGATTGGCAAGCGGCCATGTATTTGCTGCATTTGTGCGATATTTCCAATCCCACCAAGTCTACTTTTTCCATTTGGACCGAACATGTCTTGGAAGAATTTTACCAATTGGGCGATTTGCAAAAATCCTTGGGATTGCCCGTGAGCTTTGATCGAAGTGTGGCCAATAGTAATAGTAAGGTATCGATTCAACAGGGATTCTTGAAATTCTTGGTTCTGCCAGCCTTTGAAGCGATGGAATTCTCCAACCCAAAAATTATGCAAGGCTTGTATGCGAATTACGAGTACTGGATGAAACAAGATAAGGAAGAAGATGCAGAAACTGCTGCTGAGGCTGCTGGGGATTGATCGGAGTAAAGAGTCCAAACGAAAGAACATGGAATGGTTCTTGGTTGGACGGTACGATGGTGTTGTTATTTTAGTGAACTATAGTGTAGAATATGTATCAATAGTCATTATTATTATTATTGTTATCATTACGATTCCTGTGAATTTATGGACGTCTCTCTACTAGAGCAGGTACTTCTCGTAATTGCTAAAGGTAGAAACATTGCAGTATATTGTTGAAGAATAAATTGCTTTTCCAGACGGAAGTCGTATCAATCGAATGAATGATGTTGCCGGATAGTTTTCGCTACCTTTCAGCGCTAATTGAAGAATGTCGTGTGGAATGTCGCTCTACTTAAACCAGAAACTGCTTCCGACGTCAAACCGATGGTCATCCTTGATGACTTTTTGAATTGCAAAACCACAGGAAGAAAAAAGGGAAGATTATTGGCATCTGTACAATTTATAATACCATTATAGATTGGCATATATATTATACCTTCATTGCTATTGTCAATTCAATTCAATTCAATTCAAACCAAAGGAAACCAAAACACAAAAGACATCATGAAGCTCTCATCATTCCAATTAACACTCTCAGTACTCCTTGCATCCGCAGTCGTGACCGCCAAGGTCCAAGACGACGAAGCTTCCCGCCCAGCTGCTGCTTTTGATTTGCAACAAGACCGCGAGTTGCAAGTTTCCGTTGACGATCCCAACGATTATTTCAATTTCTACAGCGACGCTGATGATTGGGCCCGATGCAACATTGCCAACGTGAGCGATGGTTGTCTTCCCACCGTCAGCATCGAAGAAGCTGCCTGCCGTGCCGAACTCATTGTCTGGGGCCGCATCATTGATGAAAACAGCAATGGAGATCGCAAGATTGGTGTCAATTGGCGATCTTATATCTTTGACGAACCCAAATTGACAGTGGCCAAGTGGGGTGCTGGATTGGACAATTCGCGCGAGGCGAATACCACCTTTTCTCAAGACAGTGGTCAATTCCATACCTGGGTGAGCGGATTCAGCACGGATGGATGTGGCACTCGGCCACCCTTGGATGGAGATTCGGCCTACTTCTTTTTGGAAGGTCTTCCGGAAAATGAAGGCGTGGAAATCACCTTTGACAGTTTGAGAGATTTGAATGTGAACTTTCGATTGGTGACCACTGCCTTTGGATCTGGAATTGCGTATGGAGAAGATTGGAAGTACATTCAAAAGTACCGATTTGGAACTCAAGGTTGCGACAGGGTTGCCTGTTGCTACAAACCAGATTGTGCTTCCTGTTCCGAGTTTGATGTAAGCGATTGTGAACACACTACGTATGTCGAACCCAGTGGTACGGCAAGCATTGGATTCTCCTCTTCGGTAGTACTCCTTGCCCTTGGTGTGATGTTCTGGTCCTTGATCATCGTTTAGTAGCCTTTGCAACTCTTGTAAGGAAATTATTGAAAAGTGAAACAGTTAGATATTTATACACATGATTTTAGTCGTTTAGTATTTCATTCTATTACTACTACGAGCTCCAATTCTCGAAAAATGCAGCTCTCGGTTTTTGCACGAATTTTTATTTTCACGTGAAACACGTACGCAAACAAGTGCCAATAGAAAAAGGATTGACAACATTACAATAGCTATACTGTAGGGAAGGACTGGAGATCAATAACTACAAGTTGAATTCATTCTGATTCTGAGATACAATCAAGACATTGTTACTAAGTAAGAGGTAAGCTATACTGCTGTTGCCGGTGCTGGAGGGTTGATCATCTCTCCGTCTTTCCTAGAAAGCCCAGTGGGAGTTTCATTGTAATCTTTTCGGATATCACAATGAATGCCATTCTCTATCTTGTTTCCAACAAAATCGTTGCCCCCTTCCAATGCAATTACTTTTGATGCTATCCGGCTGCATTGTACAAAACCTGATGCAATCTTTGAGCTAGGAAGTGTGCTCCAAACGTCCTCTGCTGCATCCCAAATTTCGTCCTGTTTCAAAACATGGAGCCCTCCCCTCTCTCTTGCGGCTGCACAATGACGTCTCGACATGCAGGGGAATACTGACAAGTCTAAGTTGTTCATATGCGGCATTTGTGGAGCTTGCGGTTCCCAGTGCCAGCCACGTTGTTCACATTGAGCCTTGCACCAATTAAAGTATTCTTTTTCAGCATGCGGCCCTGCATTGTCACCTTGAATAACAGGAATGTATCCTTCGTATTGTCCTCCTGCCGCCACAAGACCATCCAACTTTTGAAAGATGTGATGCTCAAACAACTTCTTCAATGCAAACTTTGGATCATCAGGGGTCCCTTCTGACGATCCAGTGACATTACAATCCACCAAGTACAAGTCCCCTTTTTCTCTTATCACCGCTCCAGTTCGCTTGATAGAACCATCGTCCTGTCGTACTGCCTGCCTTACTAGCTTCTTTGCAACCTTGTTTGTTTGGGCACGATAGAAGCCAATCTTGAGGCCGTCTCCACCGTTTTCAATAGAGTCTTTGAACGCAAAAGCAGTCACAGCAATTCCCATGACCTTGGAAACATGTGATCGGTGATATGCTTTATAGGAGACTGCATCGATTCCCAACTCCTCGCACATCTTTGCATCCCTCCTCATGACAAGCCCCCAAAACCATTTCTCGTCATAATGTACAAGGAGAAACTTGCCACCTCCAAGCCCCCAGTTGTTTTGGAACCGTTTTGCAAACTCCAAGTGTTTCCTTTTTTGTTCGGGGCTCAAAGCAGGAATGATCCTTTCAGCATACGTCCGGTATCCTTCCCTTGAAATAACCCATCTACGAATGGTTGCGTCACAACACCAATGGTCAATTTCCTGTTCAATTGATCGCCACGAACACTTTGGATTTGTCTTAATAGCACAAATGATTTGATCCTTGATAGTGGCATGCCGCGACAAGTGAGCACGTCTTTGGAATTCCCAGACTACCCTTGTGTCATCATCAAGAGTTTTGAACTTCTCTTTTGCAGCTTTGAAACGCTGGTGGTACAATTTCTGGTCAACAGCATCCAGATTGGCTCGCCCCTGTCTGCGGCATTCACTCACAGCATAAAGGTAGCTAGTTGTGAACAACTTTTCTGCCAGCTCGTAGTCATCAATCACGCATCTCGCCTTGCTTGGTGTTTTAGCAGTGCTGCTGGGTTCAAAAATAGTTGCACATGTGGCTGCACCCTCTTTCGCCTTTTGCTGCTTTTGTTGAAGGCGACACAAGTACGAATTCGAAAGGCCCCAAGCATGCTCGACAAGATACGCGATGGACATTGGCTGCCACTTTGTAACCCGCTTCTTGAATTTTCCAGAGAGTGTGTCCTTCTCTTGATAATGATTGCCATTCCCCTTCCCCTGGGCCTCTATGAATGTTTCCAGCAAGGCAACATCTACTAAAATGCTGATGACTAAATTATGAACATACGACGGTCACGATTTCTGTTGCCCGCGCCGTAATTTCACAGAAACAGCAACGACCGCGCCGCTTTTTTCATTGCTTGTTTTGGTAAATGGGCACGTGTCACTCCGATACTAATATCATATCCTGCAGTGACAATGTCGGTATGAGAGTGTTACCATTGTAATAGGCATTGGACACTTGACAAGGCCATATTGTCAAAGCACGTCGGGTGTTGAATTGACTCAGTTCTTCATTGATGAAGACCTCTGTAATAACGATGATGGGATAAATCAAGATCTGCTGGCTGTCGGCTTCAGATTGGTACTAATTCTACGTGTTCTACGTGATAATGACTGAACTTCTGATGAAAATCGTCCGAAAACCGAGAGCTGCATTTTTCGAGCAATTTACCTCGTAGCTAGATTAAAATGCATAACATAGCATTTTGCTAGCGCAATTGTAGGAGTAGGAGACGACAGCTGGTGAAGATTTGCTTGCTGGCTATCCCATTCATAGTAATGATGGTATCTTAAGTGTTTACCATGATGTTTACCATCCATGTATACATTCTGCTGTCCAGATGGCAGCAGTTGTTCACGATTGACGATCGACGATTCATGTTCATTCGTACTTCCAATAATTCATCATGATACTTTTTGACAGTACGACCAACATCCCACCCATTATTTTTTCGTCCTCACATTTCGATCAGAATATAGAATACTAGAGGTAGACCGGGTAACATAAGTCTTCTCATCATCATCAATATCATCAAAACAGAAATCGTCAACTTTCTCCACGAGAACATTTTCGTGAAAGTCTTTTATGGGATTGAATCAATCATTCCTTTCCACCTGATCAGAACTAATGTACAGTAGCTATAGCGTAATACACTAACTACTTTTCTTCTCATGAAGAAAGAAGAAAAAGGTGTGGAAGAAATTGCTGCCGCGATGTCATGCGTTGCGGATCCCCGTCATATGGCTATACCGGTTAATACGGTATAGCGCCCAATAACTAACCCCTTTTTTGAGCTGTACGGTTTACACCAGCATCTCCGCGTGCTGCTGGAGGGATGTGATTTTACACTATAGTAGATACATACTAGTGAAATGATAGTTAGTTATGTATATTCGTATTGAAAGTATACTTTATTATTAGATGGTAATTTTTAAATTGGTGATCTTCGGTGTGCAAAAACGTTGATCAAAAAGTGATAAATGTGGTGCGTAATGTGTGTGTGGTGTGTCCAAAAGAGGGCAAAATCGTACACAAATGTGTGTGTGTGTGAATGTGTGATAAAAGCTGAGAGAACGCAAGACTGATTAGCATGCAACCTCGCTGCTGTTGCTGTTGTTTCTGGTAGACTCTTCAAGTTCTTCCAAGAGACTTGATTTCTTCAATGACACCATAAAGGTAGTGTCACGCTTCTTGGGTGCATAAAGCACCAAAGTATCCTTCCAGACACTGGCAATGGCTCGTTCAATGTCCACCAATTGAGTATCAATGGGGATTTCGCGAACGTTCAAGCGTTGTCTCTTGTTGGATTTACTTGTGCTCAAGGAAGAGGAACGTTGTCCCCAAACTCGAAGCACACTGTCTTGCGTCATGGCAAGGCGAATGTCCTGGGCCTTGACTCCCGGCATGGGAATGCAAAGTTGCACGCAAGTATCATCTTCCTTCCACTCCAAAGAGGAGGAGGACGACGAGGACGAGGACGGTAATGACTCGGAGTCACTGTTGCTTGACGCATGGCAATACGAAAATTGGAAAGGCTTGGCCTCGGAAAGTTGAACAATCTTCATGGTATTGGATTTGTGTTGAAGTGTTGTGTTTGCAAGGTGTGCAAATTTATGAGAAGTCTGGGTATGTCTTTTATTAGTTTGACAACCCTTTCAAAATTGACTCTCGTTCTAACGGGAATTGAAAAACACAAAAATGAAGCTTGTATTCTCGTCGACGTTGTTGTTTGATGGATTCTTGTTTCACCACACGGGAAAACTTTCCATGCAATTGCAAAATATTTGCAAATTTACCAAAAAAGGCCAATCGTGTGGGGTGTCCGTGTCGTTGGTTTCTAATTGAGTGAATGAGCTGTTATGTACTATTGGTAGCGGCACTTAAATTCCAGTAAGTAGGAGGAGTGGCGCGGGGGCAATTGTGCATACGCATTGTGAGTTGGTACGCGAAAGATTAGTGGTGCTTTGTGAAACTGCGCTCGATGCAAAATGGCCTTTCAGGAGTTTTGATTGGCTAACTGGCGTGCATTTGCAATGAGAATTTGGTTCTTTGTCGAACTACCGGAACAATCACGTAGAAATGCGTACGCGTAGTACATTGGCAATCAGAATTCTCGAACATGGCTCCTTCCGAAAAATGGGAAGCTAGATATCACCATCTGCCACCATCTGTTATCAATTCTTGTCATGGTTCTGTCGCTTCTCGCAAATGTTACATAAGGGATCACACCAGATCTAGTCCCGTATGCAAAGTACCAGAAGTATACGGTGACACAAGCTTTTGCGCTACAAGAGAGAGATATGTCGACAAACGCACATGACAGTCAGATGGGTCAGCTCCGGGAACCAAAGACCAAAGCAAAGACGAAAGTCGGAAGTTGGAAAGTGTGAGCGAGGGAACCAAACAGACTTCGCAGTCGGATGGGTCGACTCTTTGGAAGCAATCCGCACCACAAATTGAATAAAATAGACAAACAACATTATATACGTTGACTTCTTGCATTATTTCTTGCATTATTTTGTTCTCAACTCTTGTAACAGCGGCTCACTCCGATGATTCCTAGTGGATTGAACGCGGGGAATAATCTGAACGGAGAGGATTATTCTGCAGAGGATACACCAGCAGCATCAGGCAGGCCCATGATGATGAGGAGGGGTTATGCTGCTACTACTAGCTAGTTGTGCTACTACCGGCTAGTTGAAGTACGGAATTCTTTGGATTGGTCAATCCACTACGCGACAGTATTTTTGCTTTTATTATTTCTTGGCATGTCGCACCTAAGCAATAGCGGCTCGCCCCAATTATGGCCAGTCTGCGGACGAATGGTTTTTTCGGCTGAGGACTTCCCTCTTCTGCTTGTTTGTTACACAAGCATCGTATGGAGGAGGCGGACTAAAAATATACAGCCCTGGTTGCAGCAACAAGCACCAGCTCTTCTACAGCAAGAACGGCAGCATTGTTGAAACGAAAATGACCAATAAAGTTTCAATCCAAAGTCATATTTTCAATCAAAGTATCCCCATCAGACAGAGTAGCTCGTTCTTTTTCTTTTGTCAAAGAAGACCATGAGAAGAGACAGAAGCACAGTCGGTCGTCGGTGCAGTTTTTGCTTGCGGCGGTTGCTTCTAGTACGTTCATTACGGTAATCAACTACCCAAAGACACTATACATGACACATACTGTATGACAAGTTGTTCCACATGAAAGTATTTTGATGGTTTCGCAAACCAAAAAAAAACGAGTTGAAATATTTATCCAAGCTGCTTCTTGTTGCAGTACACAGAACTATTGCGCCTTTTGCGAAAAAAAGCCGCCCTTAATTATTCCACATCATAAAACGTGATTGCGATCCACCCATCGATCCTTACGGAGGCTGCGGATGCTTACATCAAGCCAACAAGTCCAAGAACAACAACAATAGCGACGAGACCATTAACGGAAGAGGTCAGTACGCGGTTGCCAGAAGATCCATCGGTGGTGTTCTCGTTTCCGTCACCATTGCCCATGTCATCCTGCGCCATGGCGAATGCGGTTTGCTCTTCGGCCACGAGAATGGCAACATCGGCGACGCAGCCAATGAATTCACCATCCAAAAGCTTGGCTGCCACAGCATCGGCACTCAAGGTTTCTTCTTCCGTATCCAAGTACACAGCGCACTCGTCTACGACGGTGGAAGCATCGGGTTCGGTTGGCAAGTGTCCAGCGAGGTTGCGCATGGCATATTGCTGCTGCTTGCTAGTAGTAGTACTAAGTTTACGGCGGCGAGTACTTTCGGAAGGACAGCTCAACTCGCATGGTTCGGGCTGCAACATGAGAAGCTCTTGGCCGACACAAGTCATGAGGTCACTAAACTCAGTGTCACACTGTGGGCAGCAGTCCACAATCTCACAGGATGGATCCATGATCTGATTTTGAAATCCTTGGCAAGCCTTGACATTGGTGGAAGCAACCCCGGCAAAGGGATTGGAATCCGGGATGTCGGCTTCCGAGCATGTGGAAGCACAAGTTTCCGCGTTGGTCTTGTAACATTCACCGAGGGCAGTTGTGGTGGTCCTGACACAGGCCGGGAGCTTGTCTTGGATGAAGGTACGGACTTCTTGCTTGATGCAGTCCTTGCTGGAGTCTTGGAGACAGCCCATTGCAATGCCGGCTCGCGTATCTCTGCCCATTTGAGGACGAAAGCCACCCATGCCAAAGCCAGCGCCATTGTCGTCTGGCATGACATGTCCCGCCAAGAATCTAGAGTCCGTGTCGTTGTTATCTTGGATGCAGGTCTTGACAGTCTCGACGGTAGTTTCGTCAAAGCAAGCACTTACGTTACCGAGACAGGTGAGTGTATCAGCAGTCATCATACTGTCAGTATCATTGCTGGCAATGTGACCAGCCAAGAACCGAGTGCCACCATCACCATCACTCATGAAGCACTTGGCAAGACGGACAATCTTTCTTTGATTACCAGTGGTAGTAGAGACACAACTGAGTGCCAATAGGGCGATGAGTAGGATACGATTCTGCATGGTGACAAGGAGAGTAAAAATGGTTTTTATACTAAAAGAGAAATTTTTCTTTTTATGATGAAGATCACTACGATAAAAGACGCCGATGCCAAAAAAAAGATGGAGATCCTATCGTGATCTTTGACACTTGTGATTGATTCGTTCATTCGTTCGGACTTGAGCAGAACACGCTGCGAAACATCTTTCTGCATATTTTGGAGACACGTCGCGCATTCGCTCTGATCGTCGCGCTTCAATATATACGTCGCGCATTCGGAGTTTGTACCACGCGCGTATATATATATACCAATCGAAAAAAAAGTTAAAAGGCAGCTGATGACCTATAGTACCTTTCCTTCTTCGAAAGCGGGTGGTGCTAAGGAGACGGTCACCTCTGATGGCAACTACAAAGAAAACTTGATCTGTTTATCAATGGTATCACCAGACTATACAGTAGTCCTACGAACTGAATGAATTAATGACGTTTCGTTACTTTTTTAAAAAGCATTCTTTCATAGTTGAACCACCATGCACCAATAGATAGCATGACTAGCCTGAGTACTACATCAAGCCGACAAGCCCAAGAAAGACAGCAGCGAAGACAGTCACGCTCATCACACTGTTTCTGGAAGACGAGGCGCTCTGGTCACCATTGTTATGGTCCATGGCGAATTCCTTCTGCTCCTCCGCAACAAGAATGGCAACATCAGCGACACAGCTGATGAATTCACCATCTAAAATTTTGTCAGTAACAGCATCCGAAGTCAAAGCTTCTTCTTCCGTATCCAAGTAGACAGCACACTCGTCCACAACAATGGCGGCATCGGGTTCAGTGGCCACGTGTCCAGCCAACTTCCGCGTGGCATATTGCCTGAGCTCGCTGGAAGTACTAAGCTTGCGGCGAGTACTTTCGGAAGGACAGGTCAATTCACAAGGTTCGGGCTGCAACTCTAGGAGCTCTTGGCCGACGCAGGTCAGGAGGTCACTGAACTCAGTTTCACACTCTGGGCAGCAGTCGATAATGTCACAAGATGGGTTCATGATCTGATTTTGAAACCCTTGGCAGGCCCTGACTCCTGTGGACGAAGCACCTGAAAAAGGATTGGAATCGGGGATATCGGCTTGAGAGCAACTGTCGCTACAAGTATCAGCGTTAGTCTTGTAGCATTCACCAAGGGCAACTGTGGTTGTATTTACACAAGCTGGAAGCTTTTCTCTGATGAAGGTTCGGACTTCTTCTTTCATACAATCCTTGTATTCTTCAAGGCAGCCCTGTACAATGCCTGCTAGTGCACCACCTCGGCCACTGCCCTTTTGAGGACGGAAGCCACCCATACCAAAACCTTCGCCGTTTCCTTCGTCGCCGTCGCCACCGGTATGTCCGGCTAAGAAACGGGAGCCAGTGTTATTGGCAGCGACGCCATCTTGGATGCATGTCTTCACAGTCTCGACGGTAGTATCATCGAAGCAGGCACTTACATTGCCGAGACAGGCCAAAGTACCAGTGCCATTGCCCATGTGTCCAGCCAAGAATCGAGTGCCATCAGTGTCATCATCGTTCGCAAAGCACTTGGCAAGACGGACAATCTTTCTTTGGTTACCAGCCACATAAGATACCGGACTGAGTGCCAATATGGCAATGAGTAGGATACGATTCATCATATACGTGTGTTTGGGTTGCTGTCTTTTTTTCAAAGCAGATTTTCTTTTTATGATGACATGCCGACCTGAAACAAAAAGATCCAATCTTGTGAAATCTTTGATTATGTTTGATGAATTGATCACAGTTAGGTTCAGCATTCGCAATTCAAATCACAGTTGTCATATCATCATTCGCATTCAAATCACAGTTGTCAAAATATATAGAAAATAATATTGTAAAATGCGAATCACCGAGATTTTATTTTTTAAAATATTTTATCTTTCGCACGCATTCGGAGTTTCTACATTATTTCGGCTATTACACTGATAGTATAGCTGAGGAAGGCCTCCTCAGTTGCTGAGGAAGGGCCTCCTCAGTTGTATGATATATGTCTTTCACTTTCCTCGATGGTCATCATTCACATGAGGTATTCATTCAATGCCCTGAATGCGACTCGCATCATCAAAGCGAATCATACCACACCAAACTTATTCGAACTGTGGTCAATATTTTCTAAGTATTATATGTGTTAGCTTGCATTTCTGGGCCTTCTATGATTTCGAAAATACATGGATATACGTTCTCTTGCATGATCATTCAGCAGTTCAACCCATTGGCCTTTTTCGGGTGCCGGCTCCAGGAAGCGTCCACCTTGATTCTTTATAATTTTCATTATCCTTTCCACAAGTCGCATCTTCACACCGCGATCCAAAGAATTGTATTCTTGGGAATGATCCTTTATGAGACGTTGAAATAACTCGCTCCCGGGATTTCGTTGTGCTCTTCCAAAGATCACGTCACGAGGAAGAGGCTCGCCTTCTATCAACATAGCTGTCTCTTTAGAATAAGCATCTAGCCGGCGACGACGATTGCGGAACGCTTGCATTATCTTTTTCCGCAAGGCTTTACTGGGGACTTCCTCCCAAGCACTAGTTCGACCCTTCTCTTGCTTCCTCAAGAACCGACCGCCAATATCGTGAATTTTGGCGATGATCTCACTGACAATCTGCTTCTTCATTTCGTCGGTTCTAGAATCGTATGCGTGACTAAAGTCAATAATGAGATTTCGATAGAGTTGATTTCCTGGATGGTTGCTAACTTGGCCAGTGAAGAGCACGTCATTCTGAGTCGGCGTGGTGGTCAATTCTAGTACTCTACTGGGCGATGCGGAGATGGGACGATCGGATTGTTCGTCCATCATACAGGAATTGATCCATTGAATCTGCTGGTCTGGGTCGATGTTTCCATTGGCGTCAAATGGTAGTGATTCCGGCAAAATCCCATACGTGGACAACTGATATTTGCATTCAGTCAAAGAGCCAAAGTGCAATCTCATTCGTGCCCGTACGTTGGCTGGCATGAGCTGGATATAGTTGAAAGAAAATATTAGGGACAGTTGAGGAACAAGAGGAAATCAACGGCAGTTTGGAAATTGTTAAATATCGAACTCACCTTAACCACAACGCTGAATAGCGCATATTGTTTTATGTCATCCACACAAAGGTGAATGGCTGCTTTCTTCTGTGGTAGAGCCCACACAGCTTTAAAACACTCATGATATCCTTTTCGCGATTTTGCCTTTAGATCACCAATGGCATACCATACCGAAACGATTCCTCGAATTTGAGTCTCTTCTGATTGCAACGCTTTCATGAGGCCATAGTATTGTGCCCTAAGGACGTTCTGTAAAGTCTTCTTTGACCACTGGGCTCCAACAATACCTGCAACAAAAGCTCCAATGTGCACAATAACCTGTCTGCCCGATCTATCTCTACCCGCAAACTGCACGAACGCTTGTTTCAGGTAAGCAATGTCATCCTCGTCAAGGTCTGCGATTGTAATGTGCTTGACCAGCTTGTCTTTTCCGAAGAGCTGATGTTTTGACTCAAAGAATAGCAGCATCTGCTCTGCTGCAGCTTTGGCGTCGTATTCTTTGGCCCTCAGGAACATGACGCGAAAGGGTGTTGCATTGACAAATGCAGGGTCCATAGTTTCGGCTATTTCATAAAAACTACCGGTCTTGGTGTTTGCAAGCTGGTTTTCTAGTTCTTTCAGAGCGGAATTCAAGAAGGAAGCATCTTCAGTAGGGGTGTCGTTCACACCATGCAAAACATCCTGATGCTCTTCTCTTTCTTCAAAAGAGAGCTTAGTCAAGGCTTGAGACAAAAGGTCGTCCATCTCTTGTTTATCGTGCTTGACTTCAGCTGGCAAACCATGGTCATCCACAGGTTTAGTGTTGAAAGAAGGCGCATCATTGCACGAGTCAAAGCAACTTGATTTTTTGTCGAATGATGATTGATTGAATATACTACTCATCATCGATGGGACCATTTTTTGTGATAAAATAAGAAAAACCTTGGTGTGCCGGACTCCCCGCAACTCGTCTGTCTACCCACCGTTTTTTAGCAAAGTACGCGATCTGCGCGCACGGGTCTTCCCCCCTGGCAGCAGGGAACCCACCATAAATTAATATGACTTTTTGAAACAAGTCACTGCGACACGAAACCGATCAAACAATTTTGAAACCGATCAAAGAAATCGAAACAAGTCACTGCGACACGAAACCGATCAATCGATTTTGAAACCGATCAAAGAAATCGAAACAAGACAATGGGACACAAAACCGATCAAGCGATTCGAAACGAGTCGCGAAACCGATCAATCGATTTCGAAACCGATCAAAGAGTCACTGCGACACAAAACCGTTCAATTAATTGATTCAAAATGAGTGAGTCAGTCACGAAACAAATCCTCATTTCAAGAAAAGCAAAATCCTTCAAGATGACAAACGTCACACCGTCAGTACCGGGAGGATCGACTCACAAATATCGAACCTCACAAATATTAGCTTCAGACCTTGAAAAAATGGCGAGGAAGAAAAAGCTCCGACCTGGGAAATCCACAAAGGAAGACCAGATCTTGTTACTGATACTTTGAAGAGGTCGAAAACAAAGCGAGACAAGAAAGTTGCTGAGAATCGAAAACAACGAGCAGATGCTGATGCTGAGACTCATAAAGGAGTAGAGGACGACCGGTATGGAAGGAAGTTTCTGAATGATACCTTCAAGCCGACTCATGCTGAGAACTGTGCTACAAAGAATTGCATGTTTTGTCGGCAGCTGGATGGGGCATTTGCACAATCACTTGATGAAACAGAATCCTGTATGCGCAATACGTTGCAGGAAGGGCGTGAGCTTACAAGCCAATCAGTAGTTGTTCCTCCTAGAGAGCATCGAGACCAAGACAATGGTGGTGTTGCAGGACCACGAGGTGTTGAGGATGACGACGACCTACTTCAACATGCTGAGCCAGGAGATGAAGAGGATAAAGATGACTACTAGAATGACATAGAAAGTAAATACAATTACTCAGAACAGTTTCTATTTATCCCCTTCATACGTATCTACAACATCCTCGATCAAAATATCGTATAGTGACATCTCTCTTGTGATTCGATACTGAGCCAAGACGCAACAAGCCTCGAAAGCCGAAGCAAATCTATCTTCATTGTGTCGAAATCGCGTGTCCAAGATCTTATTTTGCTTCAACAGACTGTTGAAATTTTCGTGTCTCTTGAGAGCTCGACTCTTGAAGAGCCTGACACCAGCATTATCGTGTGCGTTGTAGGTGCTCATGTGCTTTGGCTCTCCGTTGTAGCCTCGATCTCCGATGGCAGATTGCTTTCGTTTCTTCAGCTCATCTAATAGTCCTTTTTCCCTAAAGATAGTAATGTCATTAGTCCCCGCTGGAAATGGACCACGCATCCAAAGCAAACGGTTGTCAACAAGTGAGATTCCCAACTCGTAATCCAAACCAGCTTTGTTATACTTGTGAGAATAGTATTTCGGATCTTGGCTCCACTCCTTATGCGAGGGCTCGTTGATCCAACAATGAATCCCATCCACTGTCATTACCCATCTTTTCCCCTGCTGGTAATCGTCTTCCCAAACGATCACCTGGTGCTTCAAGAGCTGAATTTTCTCAATAGTTCCCCAAGCTTTCTCTCTTACCCAATAGTTGGAGTAGTCGAACTGGGACGTCAGCTCTTCTTCGGTTGGATACTTTCGTAGATAGTACAGTCCAATCAAGAAATATTTGAGGTCAAGTATTCCTCCCTTGATCTTTGCGCCTGCAATGTTGGTAATTTGCATGTCGGTTTACACCCAAACTGCAGTGCAGGGAGAAACTCCGAAGTGGTGTTTGAAGCGGAAGACATTAGTCTTTCCCTTGGCACGCTTGATTCGCCTTTCGCTGTAGCCCTTCAGGGCGAGGCCAGATTCCATCATCTCCGATGGAGTAACAAGATGGTTGATGGGGGGCTCGTCCATGGAAGAGATTGATTTGATGAAAATGTGCGTAGAGGAAGGCTCTATCCGACATTCAAATAACGCTGATGCGTATGATGTGGCTGCGTCAGTTTTAAAAAAATGATGTCACGAAACCGATCAAATTCGAAACCGATCAAAAAAATTGAAACAGATCACTGCGACACGAAACCGATCAAACGATTTTGAAACCGATCAAAAAAATTGAAACAGATCACTGCGACACGAAACCGATCAAACGATTTTGAAACCGATCAAAGAAATCGAAACAAGTCACTGCGACACGAAACCGATCAAAACCATGTTTTTGCCACAGCCATGCCCCGACTCAGGGGTGTATTGAAAACTATTTAGTAGTCAAAGAAGTCGGAGTTTGGAAATCCAGAAACGGTTGGTCGACAGACGAGTTGCGGGGGGTCCCGCTGAGAACCGGGATCTATAGTCCGCTTCTTGTCTTGTCTTTCTTTTGCTGGTCACTTTGGTAGCATGTACCGACTGGTATGCTATTCGATTGATTCTTTTGAAAAAGGGGCAATAGAAGAACGATATTTAGGGTCAAAAAATACAAAACTGAATTTCTTCTTTGACCACGCGGACAAAAGCTTCTAAATATATAGCCGGAATGGGACCACTATATGTATAAAAGCAAAAACATCATTGAAAAAAACACTATATTCTGATCAAGATACACCTGCTTCCTCAGTTTCCAAGCATCTACAGTATTGTACCATGTACACGTACCAGGTACGGTAGCATCTGTACGTTCAACGTCCCCTCACTGCATAAACACACAGTACTTGATCGTCGGTAGAAGACATCGCATATCGTTTGATGTTTCATCGCAAAGACAATATACCGGTAGTCCAAGAATACTGATGAGAGGAGACGCTAAGAGTGAAAAGGGGAAAATGCCATAAATCACCCAGCCAGCTCAGGGACATGCACTGATATCTTCGACGCCTGGTACTAATACGTGCCTCCTAGAACTTGTACGGCTCCTCCTAACATGGAAAGCCGAATGATTGTCATCTCGTATTCAATGACCTAGATAGATCCTCGTTTAAGGACGCCGTCGCCCAGCTCATCCATCCACTTCATGAATGCTGCACAAGCCAATCCGAAGTATGGTTCATTTGTCAACATATCATCACTTTCCCATGCCAATGTTCACCAAATCCACCACCCTGTAGTGGTTATTCCACAATTGGAGGGGAGAAACAAGTACTGGAAAAGGTACCAACGAACTTGTAGTCTTTGAGCTACAAGCTCAATAATCCCATCTGATAACATGGAAAGCAAGTAGTTATATGACCAAAAAGAACTGAACATAGCTCCCATCCAGTTGAAAGAAAGTCGGACGCAGTTGCATGCAATCACTAAATCTTAGCTTGCACTTTGGACGACCGCCTTCGGTAGTTTCGAAAGTATGTAGATATACGCTCCCTTGCAGTGTCATTCGGCAGTTCAACCCATCTACCTTTTTCGGCTGCTTCCTCGAGAAAACGACCCCCTTGATCTTTTAGAGTTTGCATTATGCTTTCCACATGTCGCATCTTCACACCGCGACTCAAAGATTCGTATTCCTGTGAATTATCCTTTATGAGACGTTGTAACAACTCGCTGCCGGGATTTTTTCTAGCTCTACCAAAGATCACGTCTCGGGGAAGTGGCTCGCCTGCTATCAAAATAGATGTCTCTTTAGAAACATCTTGCCGGCGACGACGATTGCGGAAAGCTTGCATAATCTTTTTCCGCAAGATTTCGATTGGAACTTCCTCCCAAGACTTATTTGGACCCTTGCCTTTCTCTTTCAGAAAGCAACCTCCATCCTCGCGAACCTTTTCAATGATTTCACCGACAATCTGCCTCTTCACTTCGTCGGTACCAGTATCGTAAGCTTGGCTAAAATAAAAAATGAGTCTTCGATAGCGCTCGTTTCCACCGTGGCTGATCACTTTGCCACCAGTGAAAAGGACGTCATTTTGACCGGGCGAGATCGTAGAAGTATCCAATGCTCGATCTGATGGTAGAATGTGTCGATCGGGCTGTTCTTCCCTTGCACAGAATTGGACCCAGTGCAGCTGTCGGTCTAGATTGATGTTTCCACTGGCATCTAGTGGTATTGACTCCGACAAAATACCAAAAGTGGACAATTTGTATTTGCATTCAATCACTGAGCCAAAATGCAATCTAATTTTTGCCTTTACGCTAGGGGCGGATATAAGCTGGGTGTACAAAATAAGAAAGGAAGTTGAGTAACACGAAGAATTCAACTCCATCAGCTTCTAGATAAAGTATCAAACTCACCTTAACCAAAACGAGACATAGCGCATATTGTTTCATGTCATCGATACAAAGATGAATTGCTGCTCTCTTCTGCGGTAGAGCCCTATTATGCTTGGTACCCTCAGACCATCCTTTGTTCGATTTTGCCTTTAGATTCCCAATACCGTACAATACTGAGACTGTTCCTCGAATTTGAGTCTCTTTTGATTGCAATGCTTTCATAATCACATAGTATTGTGCCCGCAAAAGGTTCTTCTTAGTTTTTTCAGACCCCAGGGCTTCAGTGAGACTCGCAATGTTTATCAAAACCTGTCGACCCGATCGGTCTCTACCCCCAAGCTGCAGGTTTGAATGGTTGAGGCAAGCAATGTCATCGTCATCCAGGTCTGCGATTGTAATGTCCTTGACTAGCTTGTCTATTCCGAATAGCTGATGTTTCGACTCGAAGAAGAGCAGCATCTGTTCCGCTGCAGCTTTGGCGTCGTATTCTTTTGCCCTCAGAAACATGGCCCGAAAGGGTCTGGCACTGACATATGCAGGATCGATGCTTTCGGCCATTTCATAAACACTATCGCTCTTCATGTTTTCAATATGGCTTTCTAGGTCTTGCAGAGCGGGTTCCAAGATAGCTTCATCATCGACGGTCGTGTCTTTTACACCATGAATAACCTCCTGATGTTCTTCTCTTTCTTCAAAGGTAAGCTTCGTCAAGGCCTCGGAAAGAATTTCGTCTATTTCTTGTATATCGTGTTTGACTTCTTCGGTCAAACCATCGGCATGGGCAGGTCTATTTCTTGGGACAGGTCTATTGCTTGGGACTGGCGCACCATTATAAAAGCCGAAACAGCTCTCTGTTTTGTTGAATGGTTGATCGAAGATACTCATCAGTGGAGGATGCTGTGTTACAATACTGGTATGATATATACCGTGCTATGCCTCTACTCTTAAAACGAGGAACGCGAACACGATCGAAACTCGATTTATTGTTGTCCACGTATATTTTTCGCACACTCAATTCTCCCCATTTCCCCCCGAGATTAAAATTCACACGTGCTGGGCATTTGAATTTTCCATCAAATGCAAGGGTGTCGGGAGAAGGCCAGACGGTTGAGGTGACGCGTGAATAAAAAGATGACCTTCATTCCTTACCGTCACCTTCAACCTGGTACCTACCGTATCGGTCTATAATACTTTCGACCTGTATATTTTTAGATCTGCATCTCTACCTACCAGATTCTATGCACTCTGAACGATCATGCGTATATAGTGCAGATTCTATCGCATTCAACGAAATTCTGCTGCAGGCATGCTATACCGATAGAACTTTTAAAAAAAGATCTTAGCAAATAGGAGATGTGGGCCAAGACTTCTTCCTATCGGTCGGCCTCAGCACCGCAAAGTTTTAGTTTATCTTCACCAAGAAACAATTATTGCTTGCTGCAGCATCCTTCTCGTTGCCTGTGGACTACTGTAGCAATGTCTCGGTACTGAAGTTTATCATGACGTGGAAGGAAAATGCGTAGACGATGACTACCGGTATACCGGTATATAAGACGGTGTGCGTCATCTCGAACAGTTCGCGCGCCGGTGGAGCCGCGTTCCAGTCAGAAAACTTCGCTTATTCTCATCGCTCGATTATTCTCTTACTCAAACCAAGTACCATACCGTGAGACGGAAGATCCATTCAATCTACCGGTACAATCAATTGGTTCGGCACCTAGGTAGTACAGGTACTGTACCTGGTACAGTCCGTAAGAGCTCAGGTTTCCCGCTATTACAATCATGATACCAATTCCGACACCACCGAACAATTATAGGATTGACATGCAATATAATATATCAATCGTAACTTTGGGAGGAACCAAGGGCAGAGAATATTACCACAATGCAGTGATCATACCTCCCATGATACTGGTGAAAGAAGATTGAAAGTATCTGCTATGTAATCTCCATGTTTTAGCTTACATTTTGGAGAACCTCCGATAGTTTCTAAAGTATGTAGAGATACGCTCTCTTGCATGGTCATTCGGCAGTTCAACCCATCGACCTTTTTCGGCTGCTTCCTCTAGGAAACGACCCCCTTGATCTTTTATAGTTTTCATTATGCTTTCCACAAGTCGCATCTTAACACCGCGACTCAAAGATTCGTATTCTTGAGAATTATCCTTTATGAGACGTTGTAACAACTCACTGCCGGGATTTTTTCGTGCTCTACCAAAGATCACGTCTCGGGGAAGTGGCTCGCCTGCTATCAAGATAGCTGTCTCTTTAGAATGAGCATCTAGCCGGCGACGACGATTGCGGAAAGCTTGCATAATCTTTTTCCGCAAGATTTCCATTGGAACTACCTCCCAAGACTTATTTGCACCTTTGCCCTGCTGCCTCAGAAAGCGACCTCCATCCTCGTGAATCTTTTCAATGATTTCACCGACAATCTGCCTCTTCGCTGCGTCGGTTCCAGATTCGTAAGCTTGACTAAAATAAAAAATGAGTCTTCGATAGCGTTCGTTTCCACCATGGTTGACAACTTTGCCACCAGTGAACAGGACGTCATTTTGACCAGGGGAGATAGTGGTAGTTTCCAGCGCTCTGACTGATGAAGGTATCTGACGATCGGGCTGTTCTTCCCTTGCACAGAATTGGACCCAGTGCAGCTGTCGGTCTAGATTGATGTTTCCACTGGCATCTAGTGGTATTGACTCCGACAAAATACCAAAGGTGGACATTTTGTATTTGCATTCAACCAAAGAGCCAAAATGTAATCTAGATTTTGCCCTCATGCTAGCCGGTATAAGCTGGGTATCCAAAACAACAGGGAAAGTTGAGAAACACGAGAAAATCAAGGCCATCAGCTTGTAGCTCAAATGTCAAACTCACCTTAGTTACAACGACAAATAGCGCACATCAGAGAGACCAAAAGTGCCACTTTGGGGGTTGCTGGTCAAAAATCCTACAATAAAATTGTAAACGCACACCCCAATTTTATTGCAGCATCAAAAGGAATCATATAGTCCATACGAAATGCAATTTTTTATCCCAATAAAATTCTGAACTCAAATTGTTGTTACCCAATAGATGAAAAATGCAATCGTCATTGCCGACGTTGGATAAAGTCAAATTTCGAATTCGAAACACAACTAGCCATAAAAATATTAGACATGTACAGTCTACCATTACAGTCGAAACTGAACTGCATATCGTAACCTGCCTATTCCAACCTTTCACCTCCAAGACTGTCTTGCCACATCTAAAGTGCGGCATCAAAATGCCCCAAATCATATGTTCAACATGCAAAAAAGGTTCACTTTCTTACTCAACCATTGGGAACAGGTCCCCATAGATGGCTTTTTATATTTGGGGAAACAGTAGGGATGGATGCGCTACTATAAATTAATTTACAGTGTCAAATGTACTGACCCCCTTTTGGATATCGTCTGCTATAATATTTGCGTTGACAAAAAAATTTCCATCACGACACACTAATATTTTTTGCTCACGATGGTGAGCCTTGCGGCCAATGAATTCATCACCCACAGCAAGAAAATAGTTGAAAAGTTGATATAACATTCATCGTGACAGTATGTATATTGACAACTGAAGTGATACGGACGCATTAGCCTCTTTGATCTTTGAAATGACCTCTCAAGGCCAACCAAGAACCAGTAGTTCTGATGTTCGGCTTTGGAGCCCCTGGACGCCATGCAAGAAAGAGTTACTCAACAATATGCCAATGTCTTCTCTGAATGGCTCACAACAAACACAGGAGACTTTTGTTCCTTGGAAGATTTTGACAAGATGAAGCAGACAGTCACCTAAAACGTGAGCTGATCCCATTCACAATGTTTTGAAATCTGACGAAGACGCGTAGACTACTATGCCAACAAGGAAAAGCTTTCTTCATTCTTTCACACAGCGACAAAATGATTGTGTCAACGGAGACGCCGATCCAAGCTCACAGTGTCTCCCACCATTATTGACGATTGTATGTCCATGGACATAACTTGATTCCATTCACGATGATTTGAAATCTGACGAAGACGTGTAGACTACTATGCCAACAAGGCAATACTTTCTTCATTCTTTCACACAGCGACCAGATGATTGCGTCAACAGAGACGCCGATCCAAGCTCACAGTGTCTCCCACCATTATTGACGAGTGTATGTCCATGGACTGATTCCATTCACAATGTTTTGAAATCTGACGAAGACGTGTAGACTACTATGACAACAAGGCAATACTTTCTTCATTCTTTCACACAGCAACTAAATGATTGTGTCAACGGAGACGCCGATCCAAGCTCACAGTGTCTCCCACCATTATTGACGATTGTATGTCCATGGACATAACTTGATTCCATTCACGATGATTTGAAATCTGACGAAGACGTGTAGACTACTATGCCAACAAGGCAATACTTTCTTCATTCTTTCACACAGCGACCAGATGATTGTGTCAACAGAGACGCCGATCCAAGCTCACAGTGTCTCCCACCATTATTGACGATTGTATGTCCATGGACTGATTCCATTCACAATGTTTTGAAATCTGACGAAGACGTGTAGACTACTATGCCAACAAGGAAATACTTTCTTCATTCTTTCACACAGCGACAAAATGATTGTGTCAACGGAGACGCCGATCCAAGCTCACAGTGTCTCCCACCATTATTGACGATTGTATGTCCATGGACTGATTCCATTCACGATGTTTTGAAATCTGAAGAAGACGTGTAGACTACTATGCCAACAAGGAAGAACTTTCTTCATTCTTTCACACAGCGACCAGATGATTGTAGTAAAGATTCTTAGTATATTGTACAAATCACATTAGAAGGACCCATGGGTGTATACAGTACGTTGTAGCTGTTGAAGCAATTTGTTGTAATCAACTGAGACTTTTACAGACAGTTTCAAGACAAGGACTGAAGATGACTGTCCAGAACACCATTGGACGATGAACCAGTGGAATAAAGGAGAAGATTGTGACAACAAACTATATGGTACTAAGGATCCATAGATACATACAAGCAATTCACCCACAAACTTACTACGGAATTGACCATCCTAGCCAACTGAGACTTGCATAGAGGAATTCAAGACAGCAACTGAAGATGACTGTCCAGAACACCATTACTCAATCAACTGCTGCCCCAAACACTTGAAAATAGTTTGAGGTAATGTAATACAATAGTTATAACAAAGATTCGCATGAACTATCATGTCATACTTTAGGTATCACTAAGATTGGTCCTCAGACTAACTTGGTTTGCCCTCTATGATCGGTGTTCATTACCTGGGTCATCAGTTGTTTGGGCTGGAAAAGTCTATTAGTCTCTTGATGAGTTCTGACCTGCATACCTCTTAGGAGTTCATGCACTATGGTATCACTTCCCAAAACAACAAAGACATCATCATCTTTGTCCAGATCAAGACTCTCCAGAGCATTGACTGGGCTCACATGCAGTATCATTAACATAAACTTGAGTGATAGTGTGGAGCACAAGCACTCATCATTTTGTGAGGCTTATGGGCCAGGATCAAAACTTTATCACCAATGTTGTAGTTCTTGTAACGGCGGCGCTTGTTCTTGGTGAAATTGTTGTGATCTGCAACAGCTTGGCGTTGGCCCGAGGTCAGAGGCTTGTTCCAAGTCAAGAAAGGCAGGAACATTGAGTAGCATGTCACGATGGAAGAAGATGGAACCAGGAGAGGCAACCAGAGACTTATTGACAGAGGTACCTATTGCACGCTGAGCAAAGGCAAGGACAGTGTCGATAACTTTGGAGGCAGTCTTGATGTTGCTATCAGGGATGTTTGCAGTTTGATAGCAGCATGGGATTGCTCAACAATAGTGTTGAACTGCAGGTTCTTAATAGTAATAGGAACACCAGTAATTCCATTGAGATTGAGAGCCAGCTGAAAGACAGGAGCAGTCACGGAACCAGCAGCATCGTAAATCACACGAGCAAGATAAGGGTAGCGAGAAAAGCCACTCATTCTCAAAGGTCCAAGATCGGGGCTCCGGCAGACAAGGAGTCAACTTGACGAATCTCCAACAGGCTGGATGCAATATACATGATTGTCAAAGCAAGGAAAAGGAGTTTAGGGTCGCCATTGAGGATTTTGGTTACCATTCGATGGTCGAAACATAAACACCACTTTGTACTTTCTCTTGAACATGATCGTTGTCATTCTTGGCTTGCAATGGGGTGGAAAAGTATCGATTGCTTCAGGGTAGTTAGTAGAGCATAATCTGCTTCAAGAGATCCTCTGTAGAAGCAGGATCGCCTTGCTCCTCCTTGCGACTCCACATGGAAAGTTTCTCCTGGCTGAACAAATGCGTGGCAATACCACAACGGGCGGGTCTGCATTACTATCCAACGCCCGTTGTATGTATTCCACCCGCCGGTTTATTGTTGACAAGAAGCTGATTCCATTGAACTACATGAAGCCTGTGAATCGTAAACACCGTGGAGCACACCTTGTTGCCAAAATGCTTTAACCCCTTCTAGCTTTTTGTCCACTTCTCTTGGGATTTGGGGTGCCACAAGGCAGCAAGGTTGCGGTGAAGTATCCCAGTAATATGTTTCTTCAATGGCTGTTCTTGAATCAGGACAAGGCAGTCGTTGGTTCTTCCGTTGCTTGCCCAGACTGGCATCACAGTCGTTCCATTCGATATCATTATGATCCAATTCCTCATTCACCACTATTTTTCAAAACCAGCACACGCAGTGGTACGTTGAAAAAAAGGACATCTTGAGAGTTGAGTCTTTTGAAAATGACCTAGGGACATTCCACAGAGTGATGCCACAATCTCTTGATCGTCGGGAAGGTTGATGATCCGAGAGAGTTTCTCTTCAGAAGATTCTATATTCCATGCTGTAGAAGGCATGAACCACCTTCTCAATGAGGTTGATTGTTATCATGTAGTGGGCTGAATTTCCTTCTTCTGCCATGTTGAAGGAAGTGTGAAGGCAAAAAGAAAGGATGGCGCAGTTGGATGTGTTGCAACTTCCAACTTCTCATACAGTTTGAATATATTTCGGAGCTCCGTTCACGATGAAACTTTTACTGTACTTTAATGTTCTTTTTTCCGAAAGTCCTTAAGTGAGTATATGCATGCATGACAAATAACGGTGATATACCTCCTACAGAGGATGCCAGAAAATCTGAACTTGGCCAAGTTCAGATTTTCTGGCATGCTCGCAATCCAACTATTCAAACGGAAGGAATCGACCCCACGACTGCTGCGATGGGACTGGTTCTGTGTTACCACTGTGTCTGTCCGTTGCTGAATTTTTTTCGAAAATGGTTGTATACTATCTGTCCTAAGTAAAAAGGTTCGCGCCATTTCCGAAAGCCACACCCGCAACACCAAGTTGGTCTTCGAAGCGCCAAAATAAAATAGCAAACACACTGGGCAATTATTGTTTGGATCCCGTATAGTCGTACCGTGCAGCAATGCACCATAATAAAATAGCATATGCTTGTGTAAAGCACGTACAATGAATTGGCATGCGACATGAGCCAAATCCGTTGGGGACAATAAGCTTAGGTAACTGGGAGGGAATGTGGAGTGACCTTCTGAAATTGGCGGTAAACTCTCCTCCATCAATTGACAAATGCTGTCATAAATTGAAAAATATGGACGCACCTCCCAGTGACCTTGGAGATGCTCCTCAAATCTGGAAGTTGTTGAAGATGCCCTTCAATAGACCCTGAGGAGATATGAAGTTTGGGATTCAACCTGTAAAAGATATGTCACTAAACTTTTGTTCTTACATCAGCCGATCATTACCCATCGTCAACATCAACTCAATGCATACAAGGGATTTTCAATGAGCTTGTTATTAGGAGTAGGATGGGTAGCAACGTTCCAGGGGATGTTTTTTCTGGTGGATGGTGGCAAGCAAGAGAGTGGGAAGAAGGTATAATAAAGCCTTGAACCAGAAACGTCATACGTGAAGGAACAACATGAAGTTGGCGGTGACAAGTGAGTGACACATTGGGGTCCAACAAGACATTTTTCTTTGCTAACCAATTCTGCTCTCAAATACTAATACAGTATTCAAATTTACATACAGAAGCTGAAGGTGTGGAAGGATGAGAGCGCTGGGCCCACCAAATCCAAGAGTAATGTCGTTGAGTGGAATACCTTCACAGGAGAATGGAGATACCTAAGTTTCATTCTTGCAGGTCCTTGGCAAGGCTGTAATATTACATGGGAAGAAATTTGATAAAGTTTCAAAGACGAGAGCTTTGGCGTCAAATGCCATTTGGCTGCCTGGTTTCAACCTGCAATCCAGCTCAATAGCCTCTTTTCTCGATGAAACGATTGGTTGGAGCAAGGGATCCGTGCTGATCTCAGAGGGTAGAGGTGGTGCCGAGCATTGGTAGAGCTGCAGTTCCTGACAATTGGGGGAACTTTGACTTCTTTCGTGCAGATGGTGAAGAATCAATTGGAGTTGTCTAGTTGAAACAGTGAAATAGTTCTTTCATATACTAGTACCATGAATGCATTTACTTTCCAATTTACTTTCCAGGCAAAATGTACATTTTGGACCGCCTACTTGGAGAATTTGTATTCAGATATAATTTCCTAGAACATAGTCTAACAGTTGAGGGCAGCGTTTAAAAGTTGAAGTTATTTCTCATCTGTCCCAATTGTTGGCAAGCATGCAAAACAACAATACAAGTCCATAATTGTATAGGGTCTGATGATGCAAAGAATTTTGATTTTTATTATTATGAAACAAGTGTTGCATTACATTGCAAAATATAAATTCAATTTGTTGGGGAATGTGACGGGGAAGAAAAATATGGATAGAAATCTTGACGCCACCGGCTGAAATTGTTCTCTGAACGTTGTAGTCACGATGATGACGGTAACCATCAATTGAAATCTTGACGTCACCATCTGAATTTGTTTTCTGAATGTTCAGATCACATTTGAATGTCAAATCTGAGCTAAAACTATGCCATTTGAAAGGACAATGCAACCCTTGCATAATCCAGTTGCAAGCTCTGCCTGCAAACTCCCCCCGTTCGAAGGTAACCAGCAAATTCATGCAGAACACTAGAGCTGCTTAAAATAAATTGAAGGAATTTTTGCACACCGTTTTGGTCTCTCTGATGCATATTGTTTCATATCATCGACACAAAGATGAAACGCTGCTTTCTTATGTGGCAGAGCCCAAACAAGCTTGGCACTCTCGGACCACCCTTTGTTCGATTTTGCCTTTAAATTCCCAATGGCGTAACACACTGAGACTGTTCCACGAATTTGAGTCTCTTCTGATTGCACAGCTTTCATAATCACATAGTATTCTGCGCGCAAAAGGTTCTGCTTGGTTTTTGTAGACCCCAGAGAGTCAGTTAGACTCCCAATGTGTACAAAAACCTGTCTACCCGATCGGTCTCTACCCGCAAGCTGACTGTATGAATGGTTGAGGCAAGCAATGTCATCGTCATCCAGGTCTGCGATTGTGATGTCCTTGACTAGCTTGTCTTTTCCGAATAGCTGATGTTTCGACTCGAAGAAGAGCAGCATCTGTTCCGCTGCAGCTTTGGCGTCGTATTCTTTTGCCCTCAGAAACATGGCGCGAAAGGATCTGGCACTGACATATGCAGGATCGATGCTTTCGGCCATTTCATAAACACTACCGCCCTTAATGTGTGCCAGATGGCTTTCTAGGTCTTGCAGAGCGGGGTCCAAGAGAGCGTCATCGTCGATGGTCGTGTCTTTTACACCATGAATAACCTCCTGATGTTCTTCTCTTTCTTCGAAAGTGAGATTAGTCAAGGCTTGGGAAAATATTTCGTCCATTTCTTGTATACCCTGCTTGACTTCTTCGGTCAAATCATCGGCATGGGCAGGTCTATTTCTTGGGACAGGTCTATTGCTTGGGACTGGCGCGCCATTATAAAAGCCGAAACAGCTCTCTGCTTTGTTGAATGGTTGATCGAAGATACTCATCGGCGAAGATATATTCATCGGAGAGAGGATAAAATAGAACATGAAAAAATACTAGAAGGCTATCCCTCTCATAGGTTGCGTTATCTAAGTCGCGAGTTGAAGCGAATTTATCATGGAAACATTCTGAATTCACAGTTCACAATATTTCTCATTGACGTGGTGTCGAATCGAATAGAAAATATGTGTACGAGTAGATATAGAATTTTTAAAATATAAAATAAGCGCGATCTCGAGCTGCGTTCCGTTCATCGGTTGGTGCTTCTTTTATTATTCTCGCGAATTGACAAAAAGGCCCTCGCGTAGTGTTCCGGTATAAGATGAAGGGAAAATCATTTGTGACATCATATTTTTTAAAATTTTAGCAACGAGAATACGAATAAGAGAAATTGGAAAATGAGATCTTTTCTGATAAGCTCAGAGTGCTGCGAAAGGAAGAGAACAAATAGATCACTAGTGTCGTAGAGGATGAGGCTTATTTCAATCGTTTTGTTGCCAATCGTCCAGTATAGCATCCGTTCAAAGCAACCACGGCGGGTAGTACATCCATTGGGAAAGATCTAAAGCCAACAAGTTTCAGCATCAATATAAAGGAGATGGAAAGATATAAGCGAAGGGCCGGGCCAAAGGCACTCTTACCAATTGCTCTCCTCTGCTGCGAGCGATGAGGATATAGATTGATAGCTGTCAACATTGTCATGCCGCGACCCTGGATGAGGCGGAGAACCTTGTCTGTCAGTATCAAAATCGAGAACAACAGCGTTAAAATAGGTTTCCTACATGATGGCTGGCAAATTATTAAAAAATTGAAAGCAAATTGGAAGCCGTATACTTTCTGAGATGTATACCGCCGTTCTCTATCTTAGCTTACTTCTTGGAAGACCGTCGATGGTTCCGAAAGTATGTGGATATTCGTTCTTTTGCATTATCAACGGAAACTTCCACCCATCTACCTTTTACCGGTGCTGGCTCTAGGAAACGACCACCTTGATCCTTTATCGTTTTCATTATCCCTTCCACGAGTCTTATCTTCACGCCGCGATTCAATGACTCGTACACTTGGGATTGATCCTTGATCAGGCGGAGTAGGAGGTCATTTCCTGGATTTCTTTGAGCCCTGCCAAATACAACATCAGGAGGTAGGGGTTCACCTACAATCAAGGTGGCTTTGTTCTTGAAAGCATCCAGCCGACGGCGACGATTGCGAAAAGCTTGCATAATCTTCTTCCGCAAGTTCTCCGTTGGAACTTCCTCCCATATTTTGTTCGCGCCCTTGCCTTGTGGTTTGAGGAAACGACCTCCAACCTCATGAGTCCTGACAATGATGTCACCAATTATCTGTCGCTTCATCTCGTCAGTTCCAGAGTCGTAAGCTTGAGAGCAGTCGAATATCAGCGCTTGAAAACGCTGGTTTCCTAAATGGTTGGTTACTTGGCCACCGGTGAAGAATACATCATTTTGATTCGGCATGGTAATAGGTTCGAATGCTTTGGGCAATGACTGTCCGGCATTACTTAGCTGCTCTTCCATCATACAGGAGTTGACCCAGCGCAGCTGCTGATCTGGATTGATGTTTCCATTGGCGTCAAGCGGAAGTGATTCCGGCAAAATTCCATACGTGGACAGCTGATATTTACACTCGGTCAGAGAGCCATAATGCGTTCTCACTCGGGCTCGCATGTGGGCTGGCATCACCTGGAAATACCAAATGGAAAAGGGAAAATTGAGGAACATGAAGAAATCAAGGCCAGCTTATGTATGTCCAATTTCACACTCACCTTAACTACAATGCTGCAGAACGCAGATTGTTTCATGTCGTCGACGCACACATGAATGGCGGCTCTCTTCTGTGGTAGAGCCCTACCGGCCATGAAATGCTCATAGTATCCTTTTGGCGATTTTGCATGTAAGTTTCCGATGGCATACCATATTGAGACGATTCCTCGGATTTGAGTCTCTTCCGATTGCAAGGCTTTCATAAACACAAAGTATTGTGCCCTCAATACGTTCTGTAAAGTCTTGTTTGAATCCAGAACTCCAAGGAGGCTTCCAAAATGTACAGTAACCTGCCTACCCGATCTGTCCTTACCCGCAAGCTGTGTGAATGACTGTTTCAGGTAATCTATGTCCTCTTCATCAAGGTCTGCAATTGTGATGTCCTTGACCAGCTTGTCAATTCCAAAAAGCTGATCCTTCAGCTCGAAGAATCGCAACATCCGATCAGCTGCAGCTTTGGCATCGTATTCCGTTGCCCTCAGAAACATCACTCGAAAGGGTCTAGCCCTGACATATGCAGGGTCCATTCTTTCGGCGATCTCATAAACACTATCGCTCTTGGTATTTGTAAGATGACTTTCTAGTTCTTGCAGAGCAGGGTACAGGAGGGACTCGTCCTCGATATTGGTGTCTTTAACACCATGAATAACTTCCTGATGTTCTTCTCGTTCTTCAAAGGTGAGTTTAGTCAAGGCTTGGGAGAGTAGATTGTCCATCTCTTGCTTTTCTTGCTTGACTTTAGCTGGCAAAGCATCTTCTTTTGGCATCTGTTTCAGCATATGATGAAATGGCCGACTGTCATTCGTGACAGGCGCATCATTGCAGAAGCCAAAGCAAGAGTCCTGTTGGTTGAATGATTGATTTAATATGCTCATGTTCGATGGGATACGGTCCCGGAAAATAATGAAATGCTTCCGTTCGTTTGTCGTGAGCTGTAAACAACGAAAGACCAATACTATATTTTGTACTGTGAGCATCTCGGTTTGCACCGAATATAGGAGCAATACAGTACGGCGCAGAGCGTTCCGTCTCCATTTACTGCACTTCTCACCGTATTGCGGTTCCAGATTTCGATCATTAAATGCCTCGCACGATGAGCTATCGTTAAGTAGTTTCGTGAGCCCCTTGAGTAAGTAAAATTCCAGCGCCACCACAGAAGCAACAATATTTATGTACCTTTGTGGTGTCAAAGTTTCCCCTTCTGATTTGACGAATTCTTCGCCAATCGTTCGGGTATTTCTGAACATATAATATATATGACATATGACAATAAGTGGTTCCAAGCGCAATCATCGCGGGGACCCCAAACCAATACTGGTGTAACCCATATGACCAATCCAATGATGTTGTTGTCTGTCTACCAAAGCCAGCTGAAAGCTGCAAAAGGCAGCAATATATCGATTCCCGTTGATGAACTGGGCTTGCAATGGTTGAAAGTGCATGAAGAGTTAATAAAAGGGCAGGAGAATACGGGATGGATTCGAAGCCAACAGAATAAGAGTGTGTTTCCATGTCAGTTATAGCACGTTCGAGTATGTTCTGGTCCAAAAATGCAAGAGAGTGACATACCGGTAGCTTCGAAAATCATAAGCACTCTATCGGTGTTTTGGAACATGATTTTTGGAAGGAAAATGTCCATTTTGGCTCGGTCACTGACCAACAAGATCAACTTTGGAGTTTTTCCGATCACCAGCAACCACCCTTTGGTTGGTTTCAACGGTTTTCGACTAATGGTGATGCATGGAAAATGGATGACTGGCAATGAGCTGGGAAGCTAACTTCTTTGTAGAAAGTCCGCAGGATGTTGGAATTCAGTCCTCCCATTGACAATGCCTAGCCGAAAACAAACCACTGAATGAAGACTTTCGCGAAACCTTCCTCAACAAATGTGAGTAGGGACACGACTCTTGAATGCTCAAAAAATGGCATCTGAAGGCATGATATAAGCACTGATTATAAACCGTATTGCTATTGGAACGTAAGTCACGGCGTCAGTTTGCGTTGGATGCCGCAACTTGTTCAGAAAAACGCTCATTGAAGGGGATGCATTTCTGATCCAAATGTCACCGAAATGGCGGACGGTGGTCTATGTGATAGGGTGTCACTTTATCAACACGAAACTTTTCCTCTTTGGGGGCTAGTGATCAAAAGCCGCATGCGGCCTACATTAGTTCTCTCGCCGTATGGGCTCGTTCTAAATCCAGATTTGGCTGTGAGATGGGACAACAGGTAAGAATGTCAACCTTTTTCCAAGACAGCTCGGTCAAATACGAGTGCATGGACCATCTAACACTTTATTGTGATTCTTGAAGATATATGGTACTGATTGGTAGGACATTTTGGTTGGTGATAGGCTAAAACTATGTCAACCTTGCTATGGGCTGGTGCGTGCTATTGAATCTTTCTCACCTACTCAATGGACTGATGTCTAGATGCGACCTTTTGATCACACAACTGCCCAGGCGCCATGGGACCTTCGTCTTTGTCAGAATTCAAACTATACTTATCGGAAGTCGAGATCGTTTCGAAGTACATTCAGCCGAAATGAGATTAGTGGTTGCTTCCTCATATCCACCAAAACCTCCTGTGCATGCTGAATGCAGAAAAAGTACGTTATCATCATCGAAACGGGTTATTTCACTAGATCAGGAGGCATTCGATATGTAGTGTGTAAACGTATGTCTACTACTGCGAGTAGAAAGAACGTGATTTGGAACCACAGTAGCCTCCTTTCGTCCAAAACTCGTTCTTTGACCTTCATTTGGGTATGGCAGGATGTTTCCCCCCAGTTCTGTTCTCTTCAAGACCAATATTTCCAGATTGAAAGGCACAAGTCTCTAGTCTGTGTTCATGTCACAAAAAGTACCTGGTGATTTCTTACCACAACAAGGTCGTACTCGGATCCTGGCGGTTTTGGTTTATATGGTCCAAAATTTTGGATCGAATTGATTCGATGGATTCTACGAGTATATATTATCAGAGTAGAATTATGCTACCAGAATGGATGTTGTAGGAGGAAACCCTTTGAAAATCACAACTGCGATGCATGCGGTGGAAGAAGTAATGGCTTCGATGAGACATACCGGTATGGGAATGCTTCACTGGTAATATCGCCGTAATACAGCGACACATTTTATGCAACAATCAACAGGCATAGATTATGGTGGATACCGTCAATGGTATGAGCGGTGGACCATTCCTACAAGCAAAAGAAGAGTAGAGACTGAAATACAACTGAATTTGGAGGCTTCAAACTGAAATGAATCAACCTGAGGCTTTTGCTATCCGTTCTAATCATCCATTTTTCTCATATTCAGAATCAAGAAGTATTCCTGAAAATAAGCATTATCGGAGTGACTTTTCAGACTGATCAAATTTCTCATCTCGCACTAAAGCTCGAGTAAATGGTGGCGAGTGTGGCAAGAGTATACTCTTGAGGGGGGCCTGGATTTCTATTTCCAATGACATGAAGCAAATGAAGACGTGTGTGCTGCCGAAGCAAAGATTTCCAATTGATGCTATTATTAGATTGACACAGCTAATGTTAGGCATGTATTCAACAATCAGTAGACGCCAATCACTGTTAGAGCTGTACAGTAGTGTTGGAAGATCGGTTTTTAGGATTTGATATCTGCGCCATCTCTCACGTTTACTGAACGCAATCCCTAATATCCTCTTTTGACAGACCTCCGTTGGTTTCGAAAGTATGTGGACGTTCGTTCTCTTGCATTTTCAACAGAAACTTCGACCCATCTACCTTTTTCCGGTGCCGGCTCAAGGAAACGACCACCTTGATCCTTTATTGTTTTTATGATCCCTTCCACAACTCTAAGTTTCAACCCACGATTCAAAGACTCATATTCTTCCGCATGCTCCTTCACCAGGCGTTGAAGAAGCTCATTTCCTGGATTTCTTGGTGCCCTTCCAAAGATCACGTCAGGAGGAAGAGGTTCGCCTGAAATCAGGGTGGCTTTGTTTTTGAAAGCATCCAGTCGGCGGCGACGATTGCGGAACGCTTGCACTATCTTTTTCCGCAACTTCTCCGGTGGAACTTCCTCCCAAAGCTTGTTAGCACCCTTGCCTTGTGGTTTGAGAAAACGACCGCCGACCTCTTGGATCTTGACAATGACTTCACTGATAATCTGTCTCTTTGTTGCGCCAGTTCCAGAGTCGTAAGTTTGACTGTAGTCAAGAATCAGCGCTTGGAACAGCTCGTTTCCTACATGGTTGGCCACTTGGCCACCAGTGAATAATACGTCATTTTGATTAGGCACAGTGATAGCTTCCAATGCTTTGGGCGACGAGGGACGATCAAACAGTTCTTCCATGATACAAGATTCGACCCAGTGTAGCTGTCGATGAAAATTGATGTTTCCATGGACATCTAGCGGTAGTGATTCCGGCAAAATTCCATATGTGGACAGCTGATATTTGCATTCAGTCAAAGAGCCATAGTGCATTCTCATCCGGGCTCGCATGTCGGCCGGCATCAGCTGGATATACAAAATAATGGGGGAAGTTGAGGAACATGAAGAAATCACTTTCAGCTTGTATGGCCAATGTCACGCTCACCTTAACTACAACGTTGGCTAGCGCAGATTGTGTTATGTCATCAACACACAGATGAATGGCTGCTTTCTTCTGTGGTAGTGCCCTTGCGCTTACGAAGGTCTCGAAGAAACCTTTTCGCGATTTTGCCTGTAAGCTTCCAATGGCATACCATATTGAGACTGTTCCTCGGATTTGACTCTCTTCTGATTGCAAGGTTTTCATAAACACATAGTATTGTGCCCGACAAGCGTTCTGTATAGTATAGCTAGACTCCGAATTTCCAAGGAGGCCTGCAAGGTGTACAGTAACTTGTCTGCCCGATCTATCCCTTCCCGCAAGCTGTACGAATGATCGTTTGAGGTAAGCTATGTCCCCTTCGCCAAGGTCTTTGATTGTGATGTCCTTGACTAGCTTGTCTGTTCCGAAAAGGTTGGACTTCAACTCGAAGAATCGCAGCATTTGATCCGCTGCAGCTTTGGCGTTGTATTCGTTAGCCCTCAGAAACATAACCCGAAAGGATCTGGCACTGACATATGCAGCGTCCAGGGTTTCAGCCACCTCATAGGAAGTGCAGTGCTTGGTGTTCCTAAGTCGACCGTCTAGTTCTTGCAGTGCGCTGTCCAATGCTCTTTTGTCTTCAACAAGGTTGCTTTTTACACCATGCAGAACTTCCTGATGCTTTTCCCTTTCTTCAAAAGTGAGTTTAGCCAAGGCTTGGGAGAGCAGATTGTCCATCTCTTGTTTCTCTTGCTTGACTCGTGCTGGCAAACCATCTTCTTTTGGCACATGATTCAGCATATGATGAAATGGCCTACTGTCGTTCGAGACAGGTGCATCATTGCCGAAGCCAAAGCAAGACTTTTGTTGGTTGAATGATTGATTGAATATGCTCATCTTCGAAGGGATGCATTTTATATACCGTAAAACTGAAAACAGGCGCTATCATACGCAATCTTGTTGTTCGTATACTCGGGACCATAATATATGGTATCGCGTAGCGGCTCGGAGTGAAAATAAGTACAGCTGGCCGGAATATATACCGGTATTTTTATTGGTGCTCAAATCCGGTACTGGTCGAAACAGTTGTCGCAGTTGTCGCTACGACATGGAACTGACGCAATTCTACATGAACATAATTATCGGCATCACAATAATTTTGAAGTCATCGAGTAGGTCACGACTGACAGATGTTTTTTTTAAAATTATTATTCATTCTCCTCGATCATCAATACACATATACTGTGAGATTTTACATCTCATCCACAGGACACTGTATAAGATCAACTATATACCGTTCAGCATGAATCGTATTCTACTCATCGCCCTATTGGCACTCAGTTGTGTCTCTTCTGTCACTGGTAACCAAAGAAAGTTTGTCCGTCTTGCTAGGTGCTTCAATGATACTGCGTACCCAACTTCAGGTGATACACGTACCTGTCTCGGTAATGTGAGTACCTGCTTCGATGATACTACAGTCGAGACTGTCAAGACCTGTATCCAAGATGGAATCGCTGAAGCCCGAGCTAATAATGCCACTGATGGTGACTCTCGATTCTTGGCAGGGCACAGCGGAGGCGGTGGTAATGGCAACGGAGGAATGAACAATGGCAACGGAGGAATGAACAATGGCAACGGCTTTGGAGCAGGAGGTGGCCTTGGAGGATTTTCCAATCGCACCGGCTTTGGATCGAACGGTTTCCGTCCTCAAAAGAAAGAAAAACTTGGGAAGCTTGCCGGTATTGTACGCGGTTGTCTCGAAGAGTACAAAGACTGTATTAAGGAAGAAGTCCGATCGTTCATCAAGAACAAACTTCCAGCCTGTGTCAACACCACGGCAATTGCTCTCGGTGAATGCTACAAGACGAACGCTGAAACTTGTAGCGACTCGTGCTCAGAAGACGACATTCCAGATGAAAATCCGTTTCAAGGAGTTGCATCCTCTGGCATCAAGTCGTGCAATGGCTTTCAAAACGCAATCATGAACAAAGCATGTGGTATTGTGGACTGCTGTGAGGAATGTGACGCCGAATTCCAAGACCTGATGACATGTGTCGGCCAAGACCTCCTCAAGTTGAGACCTGAGCCTTGTGAATTGACTTGTCCTGCCGAGAGTACTCGCCGTAGCCTTATTGTTCTTGCCGCAGAACAACGAAAGCAATATGTCGCGCGCAAACTCGCAGGACATTTGGCCACTGAACCCGACGCCGCCACTGTTGTGGAAGAGTGTGCTGTCTACTTGGATACGGAAGAAGAAACTTTGACTTCGGATGCTGTTACTGAATTGCTTTTGGATGGTGAATTTATTGGCTGCGTTGCAGATGTTGCCATTCTTGTTGCCGAAGAGCAGAAGGAATTCGCCATGGACCACAACGACGACAGCACGTCTTCCGGCAACAGTGTATTGACTATCTCAGGTCTTGCTGCTGCCTTGTTGAGCCTTGTTGGCTTCTTGGTGTAAGGGCAGGCTGGCACCCCCATTCCGACTAATTGGCGATGAACCCTATACATCCAATTTTGTACTGTAGCGCGCAGTTTATTAAAAAGAAAAAAAACACATTCAATCTATAGTTTGTCAGACTATCAGTAATTCTTTGATTATGATGCCGATGCCAGTACCTGTTATTTATTCAGTTTGACATCCATTGCAAGACACTGTATACCGGTAGGACCTACAAGTAGTATTAATATCGATTATTTTATTATTTTGATCGAATTATTTATATTGTTACTATGATGACGAGGACTGGTTGACTCGTTGGACCGCGTGCCAACTGCTGATGCAGATGCGCTGCTGACATCGTCGCGACTTACATTGATCCGCTGAACCTGTTGCGTTGCATCTTCTATTATCAATCTGAAAGATTCGGTAGCTGTTGGACACGAAGGTGACGCTATTGCCTTCAGACTTCTGCATAGCGGAAGAAAACTTGTGGCAAGGCGGCGTGGCTCAGTCTGTGCCGTTCTTGAGCCAAAATGGTGGAATTTGGATTGAAATTAGAGGACAATAAAGTTGCAGAGTGGTCCAATCATTATCTGGATTACGGGAAGTTAAAGGCCATATTGAAAAAGGCAAAGACTGCCAAACAAAGTCATGAAGACTATCTGAAACGACAAGGAGAGAAGAAGGGGGGATTCTTTGGTTCACCCCATTCTTCATCAGCGGATCTTCAAAGTCAAGGAGTTGTAAACGAAACCACAAATCTGATTGTTTCACCTGACAAGCAAATCCTGTCGCCCCTGGGGTCCCAAGTCGATCTATCTGATCCTAACGCAGTTCAAGAAGCGGTGCAAAAGCAAAAATCTTCTTCTAATCTGAGCCTTACTAGGCTCTCAGGTTACTTCAATCGGGGCGAGAAATCCTACACTGACAAAATTGAAAAGCTATCAAAGGAATTCGAAGAGTTGCTTCGTGCGGAGCGCGTCAAGACTGTTGACTTTTATAATACAAAGTTAGCAGAACTGGAGAGTCGGCTAGAGATATTGGTCCAAAGTGTCGCGCAATCCTCAACTCTTGCCCCAACCTTTGTGCAAGATGATGAGGGAGATAAGACTGAACATTCTACAATTGGTACAAGCCCAAGAGTCCGACAACACGTCAAACAGCCCAGCCTCACGAGAGGCCGCTTTGCTTCCGTTGTCAATATTGTATCTAAAAAGCTTCGGAGAGAAAAGCAAATCTTCGACGCGTTGCAAAAAGGAGACACGGATATGGCACTGAAAATTGAACTCTTGTCAATTGATGATGACGACGACGAGGACGAGAATCGGGTTGAAAATGAAAAGGTGCTTGCTGAAGGCAACTCTATCAAACGAGCATTGACTGATCACTACAGAACTACAATGCTCCTAAAAAACTTTGCCATTATGAACTACACTGGGTTCGTCAAGATTGTGAAGAAGCACGACAAAACTCTTTCACAGAACAAGGGCAAATTCAAGAGCTTCCTCAAGGCTGAGGACCTTTTCGATGAAGGTAAAGAAGTTGACGAGCTTTCGCTGAGAGTTGTCCGCTATTATGCCAATTGGTTTTGCGAAGGAAATATTCGCGAAGCCACTACCGAGATGCTCCCGAAAAAGGGTGACGGCTTGGAAATGGACTGGTCCCAATTAAGGTACGATGATGATTCAATGATGAAGACTGAATAATATTTTTTGTCTATATGTCTTCCAACCTAGTTTCGTCGCTTCTAAAGGCTCGGCTACCGAATGGGCATGTCTGCTGTACTTGCGGTAAGTTGTTTCAACACTTTCGGTTCACCTCGATTCATTTTTCACTGCTAACAGGCACCTTTCTGAAAGCTCTGGGTTTGTTGGGATTGTATTTGGGGACTAGTCAATGAGGGAAACACAACCATTGGTGGCCGGGCCGCCTTTCCTGTGTTTCGCGCATGTGGTGGTCTTTTGCTACTGCAATGGTTCTGGGGATGCAGTGTGTTCATCTGGGGCCGGTATCGGGTGAACTACATCTACTTGTTTGATTTGGACCCTAGGACTGTATCGAGTGCAATGTCTATATTTGAAGATGCTGTTGAAAACACGCTTGTATTTCTACTTGTGATGCTGCTCTACTACAAGGTAAGTATCGGCATATGAATATAATCCTTTACCACCGGGACCTCTAGAAAAAGACTAAACAATTCCTGCATTGATTCTCAGGCTGGCGCCAGTGACATTCCACAATGGATACCTACTGGATGGTTTCCAATGTCCCTTGTGCTATATACCGTTTATCAGCTGATATTTCCCCTCAAGACTCGCATACCCATGTGGGGAGCAATCTGGAAGGTTGTCACTGCGCCTTTGAACTCGCCCTCCTTCTTCCATGGCTACATCGGTGACATCTTCACTAGTATGGTTAAAGTCTTTCAGGATGTTGCCTGGACTATATGCTGGGTGTGCTCTGGACAGTTCTCTTCTTACGAAACCTTGAGAGATAAAGCAACTTTCCCTTGGGAAACTGCGCACTGGTACAAGAATTTCTTGATACCAATCGTATGTCTTTTCCCATTGCTGATTCGCTTTAATCAGTGTCTTCGACGTTACATTGACACTGGAGACCGAGTCCCGCACTTGCCCAATGCCGCCAAATATGCTTTGTCCCAGACGGTAACCTTGTTTGGGGCGTTCCACCCACTTTATATGGAGCTCGACGCCGCCAAAGCCCAATCACAGAGTGGTCTTCATGGAGTGGATCTCTTTCAGGTTTTCTGGTTGCTAATTTTTCTCACTTCTTCACTATACTCCTTTACATGGGACGTCTTTATGGATTGGGGCTTAGGACGAAAGAAATATGGATATCTTGGAGCAACCTTGATGTACCCAAAAAGAAGCTACTATTTTACAGTCATCGCCTTTGATCTTGGTGAGTATGAATATTCAAACACCTATGAATTGCGTTTCATGTTATCTAACCACATTGGGGGTGCTCAGTGCTTCGATTTATGTGGGTTTTGACGCTCCTTCCACCTTCTTCTGGAGCTAAATTTGAGGTTCCAAGCTACCTCTCTGCAGTAACAATGATGTTGGAATTATTCCGAAGAACTATTTGGGGATTCTTGCGACTGGAAAACGAGCACCGTAGCAATGCAGCTGGATTCCGACGAGTGTCATTTGTTCCGCTTCACTTCAATACAGGACACGGCCACAATTATTCTCATAAGGAACGCGGCGGCCAATCAGTGCTCAAAGAAGTGGTCTTAGTTTCCATTGTGGTCCTTGGAATCTGTGTTTCTAGCATCATTGCTGCTCAGAATGCCAATTCTCGGCAAAACAAGTGGGCACCGTCTGACAATAACGAATTCTAGAAACTCGATATGATAATATGGCATTCATACTAGCAACCATTCAATTTGTCGTAGTCTATACTGTACAGTTTTTTTAATTCTATTCTTTTCAAGTTTTCTGACTCAACTGAGATGAAAGGCAGTAAGGCCAGTTGGCTGATTTACCATCTTCGATTTCCGTGAAGCTTTCTTCTTCCTGGAAGGATTTGTTGCGATGGGATCTGTGATTTCGTTGACGATAGTGTTGCTGTGAAGCAATGACTCTTTCTTGGTTGCACGATCCAGTCTATCGATGCCAAGAGATTCTGGTTGCGCTATGCTGTAGTTGTCTGCCGCAATGCGCAAGAAGTCCTTGATGAAATCCTTCTGGTCTTTAGAAGCCCGCTTTCGTTTTAGGTCCTGATTCAGTTGCTCGATCATTTGCGCTGTAATGCCAGGCAGACTAAGCAGCACATTCTGAGGGAGAGCACTGGGAGTGGTCAAGATGCCACCACCCTGCAGTGGTCGATCTGCTGTTTTTGCTTGTTCATAAGTTGACGAGTTGCTTGATGATGCAGGTTGCTGTAGGGCCGCTCCTTGGCCACCAGGTTGAACAACTTGGCCACAAACCAGTCTGCAGTAAATATCTCGAACAACATTGATCATGTCCCATTCCATTCCAACCATCCACTTGGGTTCGACAACGACATTCTTCACTGCTACGGAGAACATTTGAGAGCCTAAAAACTCGGTGTATCGAGGGTGCCATGCAACCGCCTCTAGACAACGATGACAAATTTTCGTTACCCGCCGGCATGTGTATGCATCCGGGTACTCTAAACATTGAATGAGTGTCAACATTAAGAAGCCAGCGGTTTGCTCATGCTCCAGGAATAAGAAATTGCACATTGCCGAGATGCGAGCAAGCTTCCGTACATCAATTGCTGCTTGATTCTCGCTTTTCGGGGTTCCATCTGCATTGATAAGGCCTTCAGTGAAACGATTTGGTGGGCCTTTTGTACCCTTGCTAGTGTGTTTTTGTTTCTGCGTTTGTTCTTCTCTAGCCAAATTTGCAAGCGTCAATGCCCAATCACCTTTGAGTGCCAAAGCAGATTGGATTACATCACAGAACATTCTTGTCACTTCTATGCGAGTTTTCTCAACAGCAGTCTCTGCGGTGTCAGCGTCAAGATCACCGACAAACAACCCTGATCGGGAATAGTACTCAGTCCACCATTCATCCCCTCCACGAATAGCTACCGCTGCCGCAGCTTCACAGTCACCAGTGGATAGTGGTCGCGATCGCGTTGCCTTTAGAATCGGCTCCCATGACTTCTCTAGACGAAATTTCATATGTTCACATAGTGGGCCAATGATGGGAGCTAGATGAGTCATGTAAAGGGTTTTGGGGCATGTCAACAACAAGATTTCAATGAATGATTTTCTACAAGAGAGAAAAGGTGAGTGGCAGAATTCATCGTTGATACAGCGTTGTTGTTTTCACTTACAAATATTGAGTGCAGTGTCTGTTTTCCATTGCCTGGAGACTTTGCGGGTCAGCGACCACTTGGACAAAGCGCATGAACAGGGGCTGTAATTCAGGTGTATACAAAGCACGTTGTGCAGACGCAAGCCCGAGCAACTGAAAGCAAGAATTACGCAGTTCATTCAACCAACCACTCCATTTCGGAGCCAAGTTCAAGTCTCTGCGACTGACTCCAGAAATGACGCTACCTGCTGTGCCGCCTTCACCAAACACACCGCCAGACTTGCTACTTTGTTTCTTGGACAAGTAAACTTCATCGTCTGAGATGGCTAAAGAATATCTTTGAATTCTGTTGGCAAGAAGATGTGCTTGATTTTCTGGTCTCCACATTTGCATCAACGACTCCAAGACACTGAGAACAGCTGGTAGAATGTGGATCCACAATGGCACAAATGGATCGCCTATTGAAAGATCTTGGGTACTGACAGGTCCTTCGTCAGGGAAGTTCTGTTCATTTGGATCGGATGAAATGTTGGTAGCTTGAGAAACCATTGGGAGTCCTCCTGTTGGGCGTTTCTTGTTGGCTTCGTGACATCTTTTTCCAACAGATAGCAATTGATTAAAAGCGGAGAAAATCGCGGCGAATCGATCGGTCACGGTCTTGACATGTGCGGGGTCCGTTACAGTCGCTGGATTCTGTCCAGCTTGTGCAACTCCTATCAGGTTTAGAATGCCTTGCACGGATGAGATTGAGTCCTGGGTCTCTTTCGACTGAAGGATGTTGATAGCATCGGCAAGTACATTGCTCACAAACGTTGCCCGTTGAACTGGATCGTCAACGGCTGTAGCTACGCCTGAAAGAAATTCGTAAAGGTGCATTCGATTGGTCGGATGGATCTCTGGAGATGATAACAACATGCGTGTTGCGTCAGTTAGCTGAGGTATGTATGGAACCAGATTCTGAGGAACTTGTTTGGAAACTGAAACCAGAGCAGTACTGCTCTTCTTTCGCAACGCAATTGTTTCCCCGCTGATTCGCTTCGTTCCATCCAGCTCAATAGAGCCGTCTCCAAACTCGTCTGGAGCCCCAATATAACGCAACAATAAATCAATGCCCTGAAGAAGTGTCGAGTCTTCATGGCTCCAGAAGTGACGCAGTGTCTCGAGCAACTGAACCTGGCGAAACCGTAACCAAAGGTATGCAGGGTTCCAGCTCACCACTAGGTTGGCTATTTCTGAGAGACACGAGACAGTTCGGTTTCGACGTTCCCTTTTGTTGTTGTTCTGCTTTCCATTCTGAGGTTTCGAGAGTGACCAAGTCGGCATTCCTTGAAGAATGTTTTCAATTGGCTGAACGGTGGCCTCGAATTGTCGTACTGCTTCACTATCGTGAGTCAGTTGCTGATTTTGGGCGTGTAGATGGGTTCGCGGTTCACCATTAGCGGAAGCCGCAAACATGGCTTGCATTCGGGTGAGGAGGACTGTGGCAGCAGTGTCGGGTTCGCAATTGCCAATATGCTTGAAAAGTTGGCTTGTTTTTGATCGAAAATCCATTATCCATCGGTCATATTCTTCGTCATCGTCCCAGCTTGCTTCCATCAGTGTACTTTGTGGGTGCGTTCCGTCGTCCACATCGTCCCATCGTATCTTTATAATTTGATCCATGTAACAGATCAAAATTTCCGAGATAAATGGCTGTAATAATTTCTTCCTCGATATTTGAGGATCCCTTAGCATTGCTATCCAAAGCGCTAGCTGACTGCTGCAGATCAATCCAGATGGGTGATGCAACATGTCGACTAGCAGTCGCAGGTAGGTGGAAAAAGCTAGCTGATCTGGGCTCCCACTTTTCAAAATCTTTTTATCATGCGTCACATGTGCGATATGGGCCAAGACCAGTGCTGCCAGCATGCGAGAGAGGGCTAGATGAAACTCCAGTTGTTCGCTCAAGGCATCAAAGCTTGGATCGTTGATTCCAGCAGCAGCATCGTTGACTTGTTTGTATTCGAGGTCCCCCGCCATGACTTGATTGGCCTGTTGTATAACTTGCGGAAGATCATTAATCCACTTGATCCATTGGTCATAAGTCAACTTTCCTCTCAGACACAAATGCTCCAAACATGTAAGGGCGCGCACTTGAATTCCTCCTGTGCTTTCTCGAATCAAATGGAAGCATGCAGCTCCGAAATCGTGCTGTGGACTTAATATCCAATCTAATGGCATGCTTCGACAAAATTCTTCCAAGGTTAATAACGTATCTACAATGGCAACAGTCACTGCCCGAACCTTGTTTTCCTCCAGTTGATATTGAGCGGATTGCTCGGGAGTCATGGATGCAATAGTTTGATTCTGCTGCAGCAAGTATTGTCGCATTTGATGAAGGCTCATCTTCCCTTGAGACAACGTAGCCACTTCTTCTAGTAATCGAAAAAGTAGAGGCAGAAAGTGATGGGACGTTTCATTCAGACCAATCAGAATATCATTTCTTCGTTGGGTCGAAATCTGAAGACAGTCAGGATCCAGCAGACACGCATGAGTTAGCAAGAGCGGCGAGCCCAAGGTAATCTCAATGGTTCGTATCATGAGCCGAAACGGCCCATGGTGTACGCTTCAAAGTCTTCTTACCTTTGCATTGTAATCACTATCGGTACAATCTTCAGCGACCAGCTTTAGAACTTCTAAACAAATCTTGACACCCATCGTAGGACCGTCTGTTGACCATAATGTTCCAAATATGTCCGTGATGGCAGTATTCCATCTTTGGGGAAAGTCTCTAACGACAAGACCAGCAATAAGACTAGCCACCTTGTTGGGAAGAATGCGAGAATCGGTGATTGCCAAACGTGCTTGTTGTTGCGCTTGGCTCAAGAGAGCAGCCCTGATGGTTCCTTTTTCTTGATCAGATAGTGTAGCATACTTGGATTTGAAGACTCCGGCCAGTATTTCACAAGCATACAGCTTTGCAGATAGTGTGCAATCATTGCTTCCATCTGCAATCACTTGAGGAAGTTGCAGCCATTTAAGACTGAGTTGTATACGTCCATCAAAGGTTGAGAAATTGGCGAGAATCCCATTCGCGGCTTGTCTATCCGCTAGTGTTATCGGCTGACCAGACCACTTATCCGACGAAGAGATGACAATAGCTCGCAGAACGGTTTCCTCCTCCGAGTTCATCTGCCACTTTATGGGAAGCGTGTTTTGTTTGATGATGAATGGGATCCGATCAACTGATGCAAATCGTGTGACGAAGACTATCTGTCGACGGGTGGACAGACCGCGAATGTTAGTCAAAGGGGTCAACATTGATGTCAGTTCAGACGAGAACTGCTTTTTACGGCTTTATCCGAAGAACGGAACTAGAGCATTCTCTGCGAATCGAAACGTGTTTTAGCCATGAGAGAATTCCCGTGTCTGTCACAAAGGAAGTGAAATAGTGAAGTTTCTCATCACAAATCAACGAAGAAGCAATCAAACGATCCAGCGGAAAATAAATCAACTTGAGAAACGAAAAACAGTCGCATCATATTACATCTCACAATATGCTACAGACAAGATCACAGTCACCAACGATGGAAACTACATCAACCACAGCTAGCAAAACCACAACCACAGCCCCACAACAAGAACAACCTGGATGCAAAGAATCGAGTCCCATTCTGCGTAACCAAAAAACTGCATTCGTACTCCCCAGCAGATGTCCTTTACGCAGAGTACATTTTGCACCGGCATTGGTGAACAAACAATCTGAGGCAGACTCCAAGAATGTGTTTGCCTCCCCTCACAAGGAACTCACGAAAGAAATGATTCACGAAGTTTGGTATTCCCAGATGGAGATCCTGACCTTTCAGAAACGAATCAAGCTGACTCTTCTGTTGAAAGAAAGGTTTCCTACATTGAATGACAGCAATTTCAAAGACAGCATGTTGGGACTTGATCGACACAATCCCAAGCGTGCTTCTTACAAACGCGCCGCCACCAAATTCACTTTGGAGGCACAACAAAAGTCGGACGATCCCGACTTTTTGGCACTGGTGTCCCGACAATGCTCCTCGTGGGCAAAGAGCATCGCTATTCACTCGGCATTGAAAACATGTTGTGATGTCTACGATTGTTCTATGCCTCTGGCGATAAAATCCATCAAGAAGGGCGGGTCTTATTGCAAAGAGGTCAACAATGAGACTACAACTGGAGGTAAGCGGCCACTACAAGGGGAGACTATCGGGCCCGCAACCAAGAGGCAGCGCTGCGCACGAGCATCATGAAGGGAAAATCCATGTTTTTACGGACAGAGGCGAGTCACCAAATAAGATAAGATAGATATAGACCATCATCAAAATAGATTCTGTTGTTATCGTTCATTGCTATTGTTACACAAATTTTCGACTTACGCTTGGCAACAGGTCGAAATTCTTGCCATCCTCAAAATCGTTGCATTACTCTATCTACAGTTGAAGGCCACGGCGGCGCAATGGTCGACTACTGGAAAATAAGGTGGATTTGAACGGCGGCAAGAAGTGCGGTGTCCAACTGTTCTGTCTAGCTTCTCGCGATAGTTGTCGCGCCATTTGTTCCATTGGAGTGAAAATAATCAATAGTTTCTTGGCGCTATATTTGCGACGTGTTCTTGCGACCTTTCTTCCTTTGCAGTGGAAAATACGAGATGTGTGTTCTGTGAGAGTGAGCGTCCCACACTCCCACACTCCTTCTCGACTGGAAAAGTTTTGATGGGATCAGTTGCAATTGATCGTCCAATATCGTGGACAAACTGGTTGTTCTTTTTCGTGTAACGGCCCCCATGTAGTGATCCTCCACCTATTCTAATACTTTAGCTAGCTTCTTATTGTACTATATAATATTTGCGACATGTGGTTGCGACTTTTTAGTTCTCTGCTTGTTGCAGTGGAGTATAGTTCGCACACTTCTTCTCATGCGGTCGCATGTTCAAACTATTACTTTACAACCCGAAAGACAACTATTCTCATCACAAAAGCCAGCTGGCTGCCGAAACGACCGCTACTAGAAAGCGTCGTCGATGAATTGGTGGCGTTCTTATTTTTTACCAGTACCGGGTACTGCTACTGTATAGTGTTGAGCTGTGTCTGTTCCTTTTAGCTTCTCGCGACTGTTATTCTCTTGAAGTAGTGGAGGAAGGTAGTTTTTTCGTCGGTCTTCCGATTTTCGTACGGCCAAACTATCATCATAGGTATGATAGTACTCTATAATAGCCAATCCCGTAGCGAAGATATTACTGTTTTCCCTCCTATCACTGCACCTACTGTATGTAAGTATCCACGAGTTCCATGGCAATTCCAAGTTCAAGGTGGTGGTGCTAAGTGTGAAAGACGGCATTCTTTGATAAATTCCTTGTGAAGACTCATCCTTTGCTTGTTCCTTGAAAAATGTCGGCTGACATGATCCTTCTTGTTGCCTCATGTATGCCTCCTCGTCACTCCAATCGATATCATGGAATGTCTTGAAGCGGCAGTCTCCCCCTGTTGCCTAGTATAGTATTCATCGAATGATGGAGCTGGCTGATATGCGTCCACCACCCGCATCATGAAGGAATACGCCGTAAGAAAAAACCAATCCATTCAATCCATTTCAGAATACTACCCATCAGCTGGTCGAGTGCCAGTCTTGCACTTTTCCTCAACCCGACCAAGACAGGAGATCTTGGAGAAGGAGGATGATTGATTCATTCACTCGTGACAAGATACTCGTTCGTTTTGGCCGGAACGAACAAACGACATTTTGGTGGATCCAACAAAGAACCCATATTGCTCGTTCTGACATTCAACTATTGCTGGCATACAGTACTGCATTGTTCAGTGATTCGTGCCATCTTTTTTTAAGTTGTCAATCCCATGATGAAATGTCAATCCCATTGAACCATCGTGATGTGCTCCTTCATGATACGAAACGTGGTTGCGAAATAACATGGAACACGTATTGATTTCCGCCGGGACATCAGCCAACTGTCAAGAAGGAAGATACCATTTATTCAATGTCCATCAGTCATTGATTCGTGCCATCAGTTTCGTGCCGTGCACTTGAAATGAATGATCAATCCCATCGAAACATTTGTGTGATCTCAAGAGTGGAATGAATAATCTTATTTGGCCCTACGGTACCATATATATAATTCTCAATGTCATTCATGGTGGCGTGAAAATACTGCAGTGTATCATTCAACCGTTCGTTTGGGCCGCAAAACACTCCAATCATTAAGTGACAATGTGTCTTGGCAAGAGCAATCAAGGGGCAAGTATTCCTAACTAAAGTTGTCATTTGATCGTTTGTGTGTCCCGCAAGACTTTGGACAGATAAGTGACCGGTGTCTTGGCACGAGCCATCAAGCGAAATGGAGGCAAAAGTGGAATTGGACCTCGCAGTAGGAAAATGACAAATCTACGCAAAATCTACGAGAGAACACGTCAGTAAATCGCCCCTCGAGCAGAAGCGGAATCCGTTGTCTCTGACCAGACAAAAAGTTCCGTCATTTCCAAACTTGATAGGAGAAACACACATCTTGCACACATCATTCGTAGGGCTGGTAGGAATTCTACGTCAATACAGTCGTGCTTCCGGTCCGAAATCCAACTCCAGCTGGCCCATGTCTGAAACGCTCTGCTGAGGGAACCTTGGCTAGTCACAATTTCACACTCCGTCAGACAACCTCACAACACAAAAGTTCCGTTGGAAATCAATCAATCAATCAATCAATCAGCTTTCCATTGCACAGCACAAACACAATACAGTATACCAACAATACTAATATACCAAGAGCATGCTACAAACGATACAACTCTCGCCAAACCACGTTGAAAACATCAGTAGGACTACAACCAACATTGAAACAAAATACAACGAAATGAAGAAAGAAATCACCTCCATAATGAACAAAAACCATCATGAAAACAACCATGAAAACGGTCAAAGCAACAACAAAACCAAACGCCGAGTCCACTTCAGCGCTGATGAGAACGATTCTCGGTCCGCCCCACACGAAGAACTGACGTTGGAAATGATTGACGACATGTGGTACACACCCCAACACATTGATCATTTCAAACAAAGCGTCAAGTACATTATTTACATTATCTTGAACAAGGAAAAGCAATCCGAGGACGAGCATGCAGAAACAGAAACCTCAGGTCTCGAACGATACCGACCGCAACGAAGCGAATACAAACGATCCGCCTTGTTTTACACACTTCATGCGCAGTCGAAAGACCGCAATCCTGAATTCATTCGAGCGGTAGCCCGACGTTGCACAGCCTGGGCCCGTTCCATTGCGACCGAACAAGGATTTGAAGATTATTGCGACGTTTATGATGATCCACTCGATCGTCTCTTGGCCGATTCCAATGTTTCCGCGACGTTACTGGAAGATTATATTGAAAGCAATGATACTACTGAAAAGAGAAGGTTACGACCAGTCGAAGACGACGACCACGAGTCAGCACCTGCCGAAAGTAAGAGACAACGATTGTCCTAAGCTACCTACTATTACTAGTTTGAAAAAGAAATTTTGAAAGAAAAACAATAACTACCATTATTATAAATTATATGAAACTTGTATTATTATATAAACTAAATGCTAAAAACAATCACCATCTTGAAGAGTTAGTAGCTACTAATATCATACAGCCGAGACATCATGCTTAGAAGGTGATGCGGATGGAACCTTTTCTTACACGGAAGCATGCTTCTAGATGAATCAAACGGATGCTAATGAGACGTGGATCCACAACAAGCACTCTCTTCATCCGCTTTTGGCTTTTTGGGTGGCTCCGAGTAAAGAATTTAAAAAAGTGTCCGTGTTTGTACGCCTCACCGAACATCCAGTTCTCTGCTTCTCCATGGGTGCCTTGTTTCTCCCTTTCTCCATTAGTTTAGATGTGTAAAAAAGACGATGGAGATTTTGATTATGATTGAGATGGCAAAAACGAGCAAATAACACGGACGATATTGTTAACTGTATTATATTCATTAGATTGATCCCATGATCTCCTGACAACAGATCCCATGACAACAGAATTAGTCAGTCAGTCATCTGAGGGATTTTAGAATTTTGGATTACAGAACAAACGGCCGACGGATGCGACAACGACGAGCGAGGATATTGTGAAATAGAGTAGTACGGTGATCCCGCGGAATTGGTCCCATGGCGACTGTATCAGTCCGCATATATTGCCATGGAATGGTTCCACCATGCTTGGAACAGGTTCTTGATCTCTCCCCCTTTTTTGCTGTCGTTGTCAAGAACATGAAGAAATGGAATGGTTGCTGCTTCGAGGAGGACCAGCTGATTCCAGTCGTCCAGCAATACGATTACACACAAGAAGGGACAATCGGAATAGAAGGGTTTCGGATCTGTATCTCGACTCCTTTATATTTTTTAATAAAATTGATATATGTGATTTGTGTAATGTAATGGCTGTGTTGGATCAGCAGTAGCAGGCAGGGCTTTCTTCGTGTCATTTCTGTTGTGGACACCGAACCGCAACACGTCATGCGGTCTACCCGAAGGATTTGTGATAGTACTAGCTGCTAGTACTAGTAGATGATCCTTGAAGTTGTTGCTACTACTACCGCTACCTTCAGGCCCATCCTTTGCTCCATCTTTGCGGGAGCAGTGGTACTACTCGCATGATTCTTGTGCTTGTGATAATGGATGGCATTGGCACCCTCTTCGTCACGTTTGCCAACGACTTGGGCCCACTCTTGAGAGCTGGTAGATGCCCTGATGTAAGCATCTGCAATGGCTTGCTCGTTGACTTCATTTCTCATCAATTGCTTGGACTGTTCCATAAGTACTGCTGCGCGTGCGGAGGCTCGGTTCTTGGTTTTGGTGATGGAACCGGTTTTGGTGTGGCCCTCAAGACCTCTCATACAGTAATTTTTGTTGCCTTTGTTGGGAACAGCTCCGCTTTCCATTCTCTTTATTACCTTGACGCACCGATTGGTCATGCGATCCATGTCTTCTTGGCTGTACCACGAAGCCGAGATCTCGCGCGTCGTGTAATCATCAATATTCATGATTTGAATCCCTTTCACGGTAGGTTGGAAGGTAACGCTCTTACTCTTGGATACGATTGTCATTTTTAGACTTGATTTTGTTTTGAACAGATAATGAAATATTTTAAAATTGTGGGGTGTAAAGGCTGGTGCTGAACCTTTTTGAGCAATGTTGAACTTCAACATTCTTCTTATTCTTGTACCGTTTTGGTTTGACCGTGAGATGATAAACATCTTGCAAAGGAAAATGTAGGACTACCGCTGGAAAAGCAACTCTAGTATGCAGAGAATAAGCGGGATTTCTTCAGTGCCTATTTCTGATTCATGGGATCATTTTTTAAAAATTGGCCCCACGGAACCATAATATTGAAACAGCTCTACTCGTAACTTGGGTTCCTCCGATCCACGGAACAATTTTTTAAAAAACTGGCTACATTGGACCATTTGGAAACATAGTGCTATCTTAATGTTTTTCACTCGAAAGGGAACAACTGAAATAAAAAATACGAGAAAAAGGGCAAATCGCTGACTGCGGTCACAAATCTAATGGATCTTCTTGATCATGCCTCCATTGGGCCTAACTAGATCGTGCGGATTGAAGATGATTCAACATTTGCCTACCGGGATGTCGACCGACACGCCGTCAAACGCATTATTTTCATTCATCCATATTTTTTATGTACTATAGCCATGAGTATAGATAGCACGGTAATGTCTATTACGAGTGTATGTACACGCGAAATATTCCCATTCACTCGCAGACGATCGATCGGTAGACGGTAGAGTGTACTTTTTCGACGCAATATTTGAGACCTTGCAATTATTCAGCATGCAATAGGCTTCTAGCTTTGTATCATCTACGGCACGCTAAACGAATTCATCTATAAAAGACATATATCTGACAGAACAGTGCCTCCTATGTCTGTTGCAGGTTGAGGAATGATGTTTAGTAGGTGATTTGGGGTGGACCAATGGGAAGACTTAGACATTCCCTTCCATCATCCATCATACTTTAAGCTAGCTGAGATTTCTTTGGACGTCCTAGCAAGCCGATGAAGAATGGAGAAAATAAGATTTGAGAAAATTGAGTAAAATTTTTTATATAGGATGCAAAACTGTGTAAATATATAGCATTCTTCCCCGATTTCGTGTCGATAAAGGTTCTTGTGAAATAAAGATTGGCGTTGATGTCGATGACCTCATGCCGCCGCTGGTAGGAGCTGTTGCTGGAAGGAATCTGATCTTGATACCTTCTCTATTATTTTCTTTCCCTCAAAACCTACAGCTTCTTCGTCACCCGTTGCAACGATTTGGGCCCACAGCTGACAGCTAGAGGCTTTGCTTCGATAGGCATCTGCAATGGCTTGCTCATCGACTCTGTTCTCAATCCATTGCCTAGATTGTTCCATTAGTACTGCTGCACGTGCCGAGGCTCTGTTCTTGTTTTTGCTGATGGCACCGGTTTTGGTGTGGCCCTCAAGACCTCGGGCGCAGTACTTTTTGCATTTGTTGTAATCTCCACTTTCCATTCTCTTCAGTAACTTGACGCACCGATTGGTGATGCGATCCATTTCTTCTTGGCTGTACCATGAAGCCGAGATCTCGCGGGCCGTGTAATCGTCGATGTTCATGATTTGAATACCTGTGACGGTCGGGTGGAAGGTAACGCTCTTGCTGCTCTTCGATACGATTGTCATTTTCAGAGTTTTATGATCGTTTCGAAAGTTGTTGCAAATTGAATTGTGAGTTGAAGGCTAGAGCGGGGAAAGGGTGACAAATTGAAAGTGCTCAAGTTCAACATGGGGGAACATTTCAACTTCAATAGAAGAGAATCGCGTTTTCATTTTCCGGAGTGGGAAAAACTCGAACTAGAAAAATGTCAATGGAAAACGACTTTTGTCCGAAGTTCAATTTGAAGAAAGCTTCATTTGTATGCTGAGAGTGAGTCTCCTTTCGACTCGCAAAGGAAAATGTCTCAGATCATAACGAAGGGGAGCGACTTCAACTTCGAGAAACAGAGTACAAGTATTATTTTTACATGATTATGTTGAATATATTCAAATTGCGGGTTGGGTACCCTCGTACCGGTACCGGTACCGATAGGTAGAGCAGGTAGGTCACTTCTCACAAGACGATGATCGACTGACTCGATTTCCTGACATTTTTTAGGTGAAAATAAAAAATGAAATCAAAAAACAGCACGCGCCCGTAAAACAAAACCCGCCGTCTTGCGTAAACTTATTGTACTCCTTGACCCATGTAGTTTTTGGTTGACTGATTGCAACAACGTGAACTGTACTTTTGTGTGCAATACTCAGAGGCTTGTGACAGCTCTCACTATAAACGGCCCATCTACCGCAGGGAGCTGACACCCGGCAAGCCATTATTTTTCGCCGTTGATGCCATAATCCTTCATTTTTAAAAAGCGGTATGAACTGTCAAGCAGACAATGGAGCTCTGTCAGAAGATGGCGATGGCTTTACCAAGAATTCCAGCTGGATCCATTTGACGCAAGGAAAAGAATTTAGTAGGCTTCTTTATCCAAATCCAGTCTGCTTTCTTTGCACCGCCACCGCCACAAACAGAAACAAGAGATCGAGTAGTCCCAATAATCTATCATCAGAAGATGCATCACCCAATATCTTTAGGCGAAACGTCATGGTAATATCCTGGTTGTCGCCTGTTGACAATGATGGGTTCTTTGTAATGAGTGTGAATGCTAGAAGACATTCGATAAAACATCTGCTTCGGTCGACACCAGGGGATGCCGTGAGTGTCGAAATGACAGATAGCACTGACACGTCTCCGAGCAATAACGATGTCCCGATAATATTCACACTATGTGTTCCGACTCTGGACTTGAAGGATTTGGTACTACACGTCGGAAGTGTCTCTGGAAAGGATATTTGCAAGTTTGGTAATAACAACAGCAACATGTTGGATTCTGCTTTTGACAATTCTTGCATGAGCAAGAGAAAGAAACGAAAGCTACAGAAGCAAAGATTAGAGGCTAGAGGCAGGAGAAGGTATCTCCGGACTGGTTGCGCTTTCATATGGTCAGCAAGATCATATGGTGATAGACGACGATATCAAGGTTTATGATAATGTGAATAATGATGAAAAAAGCGAGGTACCAGGCAATGATGATCTTTTTGTCATCCAAGGAACTGTGGCGCATATGAAGTGCCAAATTCAATCTGTATTACTAGCTCATCATCCGAGCTCTCCGATCAGTAAACAGGGTCGTCATTGTCACCATGTTCAGCAAAACATGAATATAAATTCCAACAACACAACAGAATCACAAAACAAACACGAATCGGATGAATCTGGACAGAAACAGCAAACGCACTATTTGTTCTTGGCCAAGGTAGTGGATGGCTATTGCCATGAAAACTATTGGGACTCGAGCAAACAACTCTTTTGCGCGAAAAAGGTAAAAAGACGTCAGAACGGTTCAAACCAAGATCAAAAGGTTGACAGCGAACTAATGAAGCCATCACCGAGTCATTCAGGCAGCAATCTCGGCGCAGTTTCACCATACTTGACATTTCTAGGTTCCCAAACTTTTGGACAAATTCTTCCTGTATCGCCGAGATGATGAAACACGGTGCTTCAATAAGCTTTCATCTTGTGATAGCCTTTTCACACCACAGAAACTACTAGCTGGATGCCATTTGTTCGGAGATCCCATCAAATCGATTGCTACTGCAGCATGAAACAATGCTCGGCATCTAAGTAGAATTACATAGGTTGAGGATTAGGCGGAAAATGTGTTGTTCTATTATAGAAATCATTTGAGTATTCTATGTCATGGTGTTGGAATTGCTGCCGGTACACCGCAACACGTCAAGCGGCCATTGCCCAGGGCTGTTGGTGAAAGCCACTTGGCCTTTCTACTTGGTCCATTCTTCGTTCCTCAAAACTTGAGACATTGGCACCTTCGGATTTTAGGGAGAACGCAGCATTAGTCGCATAGAGGCCGTCCTCCTCTTCCATGTAGTAGATGTCATGGGCGGCATCTTCATCATGTTTGCCAACGTCTTGGGCCCACTCTTGAGAGCTGGTAGATGCCCTGATGTAAGCATCTGCAATGGCTTGCTCGTCGACTTCGTTTCTCATCCATTGCTTGGATTGTTCCATAAGAACTGCTGCGCGTGCGGAGGCTCGGTTCTTGTTTTTGCTGATGGCACCGGTTTTGGTGTGGCCCTCAAGACCTCGGGCGCAGTACTTTTTACCTCTGTTGTTGGAAGATCCACTTTCCATTCTCTTCAGAACCTTGAAGCAAGCACCGATTGGTGATGCGATCCATGTCTTCTTGGTTGTACCACGAAGCCGAAATTTCGCGGGGAGTGTAATCGTCGATGTTCATGATTTGAATACCTGTGACGGTGGAGCTGAAGGTAACGCTCTTCTTGGATGCGGTTGTCATTTTGAAGTTTGGTTTGTGTTTTCAAAAGTTGGTGAAACTAGAATTGTGACCGTGTTTTTCTTGAGCTGAAACTGTTTGAACGCTCACCATATTCTTGCAAAAGAATATCCGGACTTTCGAAGGATATTCGTTAAGTGAGGCCAATTGGAAAGGTTGCGCATAAAAGGATTCGGCGAATTCTTGTACCACTCGGAGGTTGCTTGACATTCTTTAGCATATTAATGAGTTGTTGCAGTTTTCTGCTTCTTAGTATTCAGGAAGTTCTCCCTGTATTGCCGACATGATGAACAAAACGGTGCTTTCCGCTTCCATCTAGTCTACCACATTCTACTACAACACCTGCAAATTTCCACCATAGAAATTAGCTCCTTACGACTTGTTTAGAGGTCCTACCAGATTGATTACTTCTAAAATATCATTGAAGAATGCTGGCGAACGAAGTACAATTGTTGCTTCTAATATCATAGATCAAGGGTTGGATGGAAAATGTGTTGTTCTATTTTAAATAAAAAATTGTATCAGAATTCTTAGAGATTGATGTTGGAATTGCTGCCGATACACCGCAACACGTCACGCGGCAATCGCAAGAGGGGCCTGTTGTTGAAATCTGATTGGCCTTTCTACTTGGTCCATTATTCTTTCCTCAACACTTAGAGCATTACAGTTTTTGGATTTGTGGGAGAATGTAACATTAGTCGTCTCATTGAGACCGTCTTCCTCTTCCATGTAGTAGATGTATTCGGCAGTATGCTCATCATGTTTGCCAACGACTTGGGCCCATAGCTGACAGCTGGAAGTGGTGCTTCTGTAGGCATCCGCAATGGCTTGCTCGTCGACTTCGTTTCTCATCCATTGCTTGGATTGTTCCATAAGAACTGCTGCGTATGCGGAGGCTCGGTTCTTGTTTTTGCTGATGGCACCGGTCGTTGTATGGCCCTCAAGGCCTCTCATGCAGCACTTCTTGCCTTTGTTGTTGGAAGCTCCACTTTCCATTCTTGTCAGTACCTTGAAGCACCGATTGGTAATGCGATCCATGTCTTCTTGGTTGTACCACGACGCCGAAATTTCGCGGGGAGTGTAGTCGTCAATGTTCATGATTTGAATACCTGTGACGTTGGAGCTGAAGGTAACGCTCTTCTTGGATACTGTTGTCATTTTGAAGTTTGGTTTGTGTTTTCAAAAGTTGGTGAAACTAGAATTGTGAGTTGAGGGTTTGAGCGGGGAGAAGGTTGACAAAATTGTTTGGACAAATGTTGAAGTTCAACCGCATGTCCTTTTGGTTTTACCGGAGTGAACAACTCCCGCTGGAATTTTTGCCTTACTGGAAAATATTATACTAGGTACATATATATTTTTACATATTATGTCTTTTCTCACGAGAATCACAAACCATATTTTTTCCTGTTTCATTCACTTGGGAAGGCTCGCCGCGTATATCTTTTAATGCAAAGAGCAAGTGGCTGTTCTACCGTATGCCAAACGTGTCCATCTGTGATGTCATCACAAAAAGCGAAGCCGGAAGTAATTCACTCGCAGCTGCCTTGGAAAAGTCTCGCAAAAACTGGTTGGTTGACATTTTTCTCTCTTGATCCATGACCTTTCGTTGGAAACTTGTCATGTGGTGGTTGCTTGAAATCGATTTTTCCTATTTGATCCCGAGATAAGGAATGTTACACGACGGACAATCTGGGAACAAAGCGCTATTAGCCCGAACGGTATTATAGCTCCGCATCTTGAAGAAAGTGGACAAGCAGGAACAAGCCAGTATCATTGGACCAAGATCAGATATTCTTTCTGAATGGTAAGATCCGAAAGGGACAAAGCGAGCAAATAGAACTCATGATCACACGGCGCAAAAGATTTCACTTGTGTCGTTCTGGTTTCTGATTCTGATTCAGAAAGTGATACCCTCTGACACCCCCGACCATTGACACGTGCATTTGTCGTTCCGGTTTCCGATTCAAAAAGTAGCTGCTTCACCCGCCCATGGACCAACAGCATAGTAATTGGCTTCCGTGTCGCTGAGTCGAATCGAGTTGAACAAAACTCAACGACAAGAGTGTATGAGTGAGTCATTCGACAAGAAACCTGAAATCATATTCCAGAAGGCTTACATACGGATCGATCTATTGAAGTGAACGGTTATTCTATATAATTGGTCTATTGGCTTGCATTAGTTAAAATACATACAACTCCTTTGCATATGTGGAATCAAGGAACCGCTTCTATGAATATATTCAAAACAAGATTCATCCATGTTCCGATGGCTGCTGAATGGTTTCGGAGAAGAGATGGTTCCTCTAGTCGGAATATCCAATTCAACATTTTGCTTGAACATCGTGTCGTCCGCAATCCGAACAAGGTTGCAACCCCATGGAGGAATTTACAGCAGAATGCGGCTTTCGTGTCCGGCAGAGCTGCTGGCGATAGCAGACGTCGAGCCCCATGCCTGCAGATGTCGACTGCTTGATTGCCGTGGCTGCAGATGCCTACTACTTGATTGTCGTGGAGGATGCTGTGAAACTTCTTTGGCGGAAGCAATATCACTATTCGTGGACTGACCACGAAAAAAGCAGAGGGTAATCAGGGACATGAGAAAGCGCCCCTGCCGTTGGAGATACGAAGGGGGTTGTTGAATCGGTGAATCACCAAGCAAATCCGGACCGTATTTTCGGTTGAAATCATTCCAGTGTTCAGTTTCGATGTGTTCGGGTTGAAGGATGGGGAAAAGTGGTGTCATGTTGTTTGACGATTCTCTTCTGTCGTTCTTGTTTCTCGTGTTGTTTCTTTTGTTGATGGTTGTTTGTCTTCTTGTCAATGAAAGAAGAGGTTCCGTACCTGTACTGTAGGTTAGTTGAAGTCGAAGCTATCTGTTGCGTGGCATTCAACGATGTGATTGCTACCGTATAAATGTGGGTTGGTCATAGAAACAGCTTCCGATCGAAATGTGAGGCATATGAGGCTTTTATGAATATAATTCGTCAGAATCTCTGATTCGTGTTCGGAGCTGGTACGAACATTTCTCCGTACAAATCTACGGTTTCTGTGCACCTCAGTCGTATCAAACATGTGGGTTTCATCGCTTATTTTACAGTATGTTCGAATCAATGGACTTCTGCGGTGGACTGACTCAGCTCCTTTGCCTGCTAAGAAGAGCAGAAGCAACTAATAAAAATAATACTTGAGGAATAATGTGACGATTGTCAGTCATACCAGTAGCTCTGGTGTTACTTGTAGTTACTTCTATAAAATGATGCCAGCAGGTGACATGTCAGCCACAAGGGCTGTGCGGTGGTATAGTCTTCCTACCACTCTTGCGCTGGTGCCAATCGAGTGTAATCAATACTCAAAATGCCTGGAGCCTTTTTAATTGGCGTTACAAAGGCATAAAAGTATGCCTTTGAACCACCACTGCCCCCCAGCGCCCCTCCAATCCCGGATTGGTCAATCATTTTTGCTAGTTTGTCGTAGCTGTTCAGTTTATCATGATTGTCATCGACGTTATCATTATCCCCTTCCCCACCATCCACATCAACGGGTTCTGGATGAATAAACGTCTTGATGCTTCGTCCGTGATTATAAACCAACATGGGATGCTGTGTCGTATCTGTTTCGGAAAGGGGCGCTGCTTTTTGAATCTTGACAATTTCCAACTCGTTCTCTCCACCCCTTTTTTTGTAGGATTTCAAGGCGGAAGAATCTTGAAAGTTGATCAACCCCTGATTGGGAGCTTGTCCCGTCTTGTTGGCGGGCACGTCTAGAGACACATGAACATATGTCTTGGCATCTTTGGCCATTTCTTGGTCAATTTTTGCAATCTCCTTGGCCATCAGACTGGAAGTATAATGTTTGGCTAGTTCTGGATAGACTTGCGAAGCATCTCCGACAGTAAAAACTTGTGGCGTCTTGCCTTCAAGTAGTTTGGCCAGATCAGCATTAGGTGATTCGTTCTTCTCCTCTTCCTCTTCATCATCTTCTGTCGTCTTTTCGTCCTCCTTTCCTTCCTTTTTCGCGTCCTTTTTTTTAGAAATTGGAGTGTTTCCTTCTGCTTCCCTCACTGCGATGACAGCCTTTTTCCAAACCTTCTTGACATCATTTAACTTGACATCTCTTAGACACGGAACTTCTTTGGACAAGGTTTCCACGATTTCAGTATGGACTTGTTTTTGGGACCATTCAGAATTAGCAAACTTTATGGCCCGGACGAGATCCAGCAATTCATCTCTGGTTGGTGGCGCAGCAGAAGAAATGACATCGGTGGACGCTTTGGTTGCATTATTGCCATCTTGCTGGGTTCCAGTTTCAGCTGTCATGATTGTTGCGGATCAGAAAGTTTAATTCACGATGCTATGAATCGGCAGTGAGGCTCACGTGGTGAAAGAAGCGAGAGAAGGGTTATTGTAGCTGCAGATTGGCCGATCCAATGATCTAGGGTCATGCAATACAGTACCGTAGATAGCGGTATCTATTCAATATTGCTTTTATTGAAACCTGCTTACTACAGTACTGTATGCAACAGATATACTTTCAACTTCGTTTGAAGTGTATCCTGTATTTTGTCCGACGTCGGTCAGACACCATCGCATCCTTGATTCGCATGATCGAACACGGAAACACATGCGCGGCGGACGAATGAATGAATCAAATATTGCGTAATGTTGCGCGTTCGCGCATCCGCCATCAAAAATTATTGTTTAGATGTCATCATTATTACCGTATATCATCATATCCATATCGTACCAGGTACCGGCCTATAAGACGGTTACAGCATTCAGTGGGATTGCTGCTTTGATGCTGAGGGCATAGCCGCTGAAAGCATCGGTAATCGAATATATATACGTGGTATAGACAATTGGATTGTCATCCGAGGTGATAAACGTGATTGAGATTATTTATCCAAAGCATTTTTGAGCATACCATATCCACCTCTCGTTCTCTTCTATCATGGTTTTTCTCACGGCCAGCAAAAGAATCACCAGTCTGATTGGATCTCCACTATTGAGACTTGGCCTGGCAGCTCGCAATAGCAAACTTTTCTCGCCGTTGGTTGGTGGAGAAGGCTCATCATCATCCTCATCATCATCATCATCATCATTGCAATCAATAAGTCTTCAACAAAAGCAGCTTGATACGCCGTATTTGGACATGGCACTGCTCATACCATTTGCGCAAAAGCTATTGAGTCTTGCTCTCTATGATGAATCTCAAAAACGGGTATCTCAGCATTATTCTTCGACAGGAAAAGATGGAAGCATCCTGAAATCACTCTATCAGGGACAACAAAAACAATCGTCTCCCAGCGATGGTGATGCTTCAGTGGCCACCGCAACCAAGGAACTTTCGAATTTGCGGGTACAATCGTATGATCACGTCATTCGCAAAAGTTTATTGCCAAAGGAAACTCATTCCAATTTGCAAAGCTGGATGGGGCATCTCCGAATACTGAAATGGGCTCGAGCCGAATTTCTCATTAGCAAATATGGTCCGATGGTCAAGGAAGCCATGGATGCTTACCCGCAACTACGAGGATCGCCTCAATTTCAAAGGAATCCAAATCAGAACTTTTTTCTTCAGTTGGCTCGAGGGCGCTTGGTCTTGCCATTTTCACAATCCACATCATCATCATCGTCTTCGCCGTCACAAGAAGACGAAGCCGACCACGCCAACAAGACTAGTAACTCAATGATGCTATTGCCGACCACCGACACCGTTGTCAAGGCGTTCGATATGAAGGATTGGGCCATTCAAAAAGATTCACAAGGCTTGCACGAATCCACCAATGTCATTCTGGACAAGCTTTCGTCATCATCCCAAATCATTGACCAACAACAAGCCACCACCACCACTACCACCACCAATAACAGTGATGATACTGCTGCCAGTATGGAAGACATTTCGACAGAAGAGTTGTTACATTGCCTTTCGGGTGGTCATGTCCAATATTGCGGTCCCTTGAATGCCATTTGCGAAGAAGCCAATCTCTATCAACTCTGGACCAAGGAATACGTGCAACACTTGGGAGATTATCTCTTGCAGGAATATTCCTCCAATACCGATAAAACTACCATTGTAGATATTGGAGCTGGAGATGGTCTACTAATTCGCTATTTACAAGAATACATGGGAGGAAAGTTAAGGAAAGGAAATCGTCGCAAGCACAAGAATGCTATTACAGGTGCCGCCTTGCCTAGAATGGTCTCGACGGATGATGGAAGCTGGGGGATCTTTGCCAAGGCCAAGGTGGAAAAGCTAAATGTTGAAGAGGCATTAGAGAAATACGGAAAATTAAGTCAAGATGAACATTTGGTGGTGCTATGTAGTTGGATGCCCCAGCAAGTCGATTGGACCGCCCAATTTCGTGAATCCAAAGTGGACGAGTACATTTTGATCGGCGAGGCAGACGATGGGTCTTGTGGTCATGGTTGGGATACCTGGGGAAATTATACATTTGCTCCATCAGAGTCCGATATACCACCATTCCAGCAAGATGGGTACCAACGGTGGGACATGGATTCTCTGATACCCTTTCAATTCTCCCGGTTTGATTCTGCCATTTCCCGCAGTAGCAAAACTGTCAGCTTTCGGAGAAAGCGCTCGAGCACAAAGAAACAAAAGCAATAGCTTGATGCCATTTGAATTATTATAGAGCTACTTCGGAAAGACCGTGATGATAGAAATAGATGGAAAGCAATACACTTCACAATTTGAAATTACCTTCCATTTTTGTATTGGGGGAATACAATAAGTTCGGGGATCAAGTTTTGGGTCGGACAAGTCAAACTTCGCTGACGCATGAAAAATCATCATCGCATCTTCAATCGATCTGATGCCAATCAAATGTTATTGTCGTTCACCAATCTCCTAGACTTGGCATCATCATCATCATCATCATCATCATCTACCATAGCAAAGCATCTCTCCAATGATCTCAACCATCTTTGTTCTATTGATATCATACCACTCAACGGTATTTGCCTTTTCAAGCTCAGGCCTTGCTTATTGTTCACCATCGACACAAACAATAAGATCCAACAGCAACAATGGACAGAGAATACAGAGCAAGTCGTCCTTTGCACTGAACTTGTCCTCTGAGACGGGATCTAAAGATGACGGCGAGCTTGCAAGCAATCCTTCACGGCGGCAAATGCTTGCCCAGTCGGCTGTTGCTGCCTTTTCCAGTCTTGTGATTCCTACTACTGCTGTCATGGCGGACGAGAATAACAACGACTCATCATCCTATCCCTACAATACACAAGTCTCCTTTGGAGCATCCTGGTCCGCCGTGGATGGATTGAACGAAATGGATCTATCCAATCGTAATGACAAAGTAGTTGGCTTTGACATGAAGTCCTACAAGGCCATGCGAGACGATCCCACTCGAACACCTGTATTTGAAAAGGCCATTAAGGAACGATTGTTCAAGACCAAGAATCCCGAATCCCAGGTAGTATTGGATCTAGGAACGGGTCCGTTTGCCTTGTTTGCCATGATGGCAGCCGACATGGGTGCTGGAAAAGTGTATGCGATTGAAGGCAATCCAGAAGCTGCCGCTTCGGCACGATACACGGTCAAAAAGGCAGGTTACGAAGATATCATTACAGTCATTGAAGGACTTTCCACACAGATCCAACTCCCGGAAAAGGTCGACTTTTGCGTTGCCGAGTTGATTGGATCAGTCGGGTCTGAAGAGGGAGTCTATGCTACGGTGAAGGATGCTGCCCGATTTCTAAAGGAACCTACCGATTCTGACAATTGGATTCCAACTCGGATCCAAACCTATGGAGCACCCGCGTCTTATACCTTGCACAACCTATTTGGGCCACCGGAATTCGACTGGACCAAGCTAGGTGGCGAACCTGTTCGATTCCGATGCAGTGACAATGGATTGCAACTCCTGTCGGATCCACAAGTGATCGAAGACGTTTCCTTTGCCGTTGGTGCCGCGGACAGGAGCAAAGAGGAAGGAACTTTGACTTTTAGCATTTCGGCCGACCGTATCACAAAGAATGTCCAACCATTGTTTGAAGAGTTCAAGCAAAAATCTGATGCCAAGTCGTCCCAACAGTACGCTGAAACTACCAGTCGCAGTCTTTCGGGCATTGCCATGTGGCCTCGTCTCTTCCTAAATGATCATCTGATAATCGATAGTCGAAACTATCCACTGGGTGGTCATCAGAAGAGTCACTGGCAAACAGTTCTGCCCATCATGTCTGGACGACCACTGGGTTCGCTAAAAGGTGGTGAGACTGTCGAAGTGAAATACAAGTTTGAACTGCCGTCGGATGTTACCAAACCACCACAGTATTCGATACAAGGAGTATTGAAATACAACAGCTAATATAAGTTTGTGCTATACTATAATACTATTAGGATGGAATATATATGCATACCGTTAAGACTTGGGTCATGGCGTTTACTGTCTTACTATAGGCATCTACTAGACAAGGTACAAGCTCGTCCGTCGCCCGATAGTCCATGACTCATCGTGTCAGAAAATCGTCACTTTTTGTGAATTCTGTAGATCAATATCATCATGCCCACCACACCACATCACGAATGGAAACTGAAGTGCCACGAAGTCAATTCCAAGTCCTTTTGATACACAAAAACGGAAACCGCAGAGCCGGTGATTATCATCACGCAAGATGATGGATCCCAAAGATGACATTGAAGCTTTGGCGGCAACAAATACTACTAATGATACTAATAATAATGCTGACGAAGCCACGACCATCAGTTCCGAAGAGAAAACAGAAGCAGCTTTGAAATCTGACAAGCCATCCCTCGGCAAACTATTTGCTCTTGCTCAACCGGAAATGCCAATGCTGATTTTCTCAGGTATTCTCATGGTGGGGTCGGAAGGCGTCAACCTGATCACCCCTCTGATTGTGGCGGACGCCTATGACACTCTGGTCGATCCGACAGTTCTAACGGATGATGCTCGCATGACCAAGATCAATGAGGTCATGACGATTGCCATTATTGTAACGGTGGCAGGTATTCTTGGTGGATTCATTCGAGCCACCATTCAAGGTGTGATTGGGGAACGAGTGGTGGCTCGGCTTCGCTGTCAGTTGTATGCTCACATTTTGAAACAGGAGATTGCCTTTTTTGACGAGCACAAGAGTGGGGAATTGGTTTCTCGACTGGGATCTGATACCACCTTGCTACAAACTGTCATTTCGCAATCTTTGCCCGACTTTCTGGTCCAGCTCATCAAGGCTATGGCATCCATGGGGCTCATGTTCTTTTTGTCGGCCAAATTGGCAGGCGTGGCATTGGCGGGTGTCATTGTCATCTTTCTGCTCAGTGCTCCGATGGGGAAAATCATGGCAAGATTATCCAAAGAATACCAAGATGTTCTTGGACAAGCACAGACCCATTCTACTGAAGCCATTGGATCCATGCGAACGGTCCAAGGATTTGCGGCGGAAGAAAAGGAATCCAAGCGTTACAATGAAAAGATTGGCAATCCAGACGATATCCCCTTATGGTGGCCTCCCAGAGAACCCAAGACAACCTACCGCGCTGGCTTCTTCAAGAGTATTACCGCTTCTGCCTTTTTTACCTTTGTCTTTGGTGCTGGATTCGGGTTTCTGAACGTTACCCTTTGGTATGGATTCTACCTTGTCATTCAAGGAGAGATGACTCTTGGTGAATTGACTGCCTTTAATTCTTTCATCATTACAGTCGGATTCTCCATGGGTCAAGTAGCCAATGCCATTTCCAAGGTCTTTGAAGGTATGGGTGCCAGTGGTCGAGTATTCTACCTGATGGATCGGGTTCCCACCATCCCCAAGCCGCCACCACCACCATCATCGGCAGAAAGCAAGACCAAAACAATTGAAACCATTCAGCCTGAATCCATGCAAGGCAATGTCGAATTACAAAATGTTGTCTTTCATTATCCCTCTCGGCCTGATCAGATTGTTCTGAACGATGTATCCTTGAAGATTCCTGCCAATAGCACTACGGCCTTGGTCGGAAGTTCTGGAGCTGGTGTAAGTTTTGCTCGAGTTTGTGGCATGGTATTTACAGACCAATTGTCTAACGCATTTCCCTCATTGTCATTCTCACTATTACTATTTCTATTACTATTATAACAATAGAAATCGACCATTGTGAGTCTACTCCAGCGCTTTTACGAGGTCGACCAAGGGAGAATCACCGTGGATGGTCACAGTTTGGACAGCTTGAATCTGCAATGGCTACGAAGTCACATTGGATACGTCCAACAGGAACCCCAACTCTTTGGGTTGACCGTCAAGGAAAACATGTTGTACGGTGTCCATCGGGAAAATGTCACCCAAGAAGAAATCGAACAAGCGTCCAAGGATGCCCATGCCCACGAATTCATCCAAGACTGGCCAGAAGGATACGATACCTTGGTCGGAGAACGCGGTGTCAAATTGAGTGGTGGACAGAAGCAACGGGTGGCCATTGCCCGAGCCCTATTGACCAACTGTCGTATCTTGTTACTGGACGAAGCCACTTCGGCCTTGGATGCCGAATCCGAACATTTGGTCCAACAAGCCATTGACAAGGCCGTGGTCGGACGAACGGTGATTGTGGTAGCTCATCGGTTGTCAACGATTCGCCAAGCGGATCAAATTGTGGTCATGCACAATCACAAGGTGGTGGATGTGGGCAAACACGACGAACTATTGGCTAGGTGTACCAGATATCAAGATTTGATTCGACGCCAAAGTACCATGATCCGAGATGTATCCATGAACGGATTGGCGAGTATGCTACCAGACATGCCAGAAGATAATGGAGACAGCGAAGTACAATTCTTGGACTCCGCCTCTGCTTAAAAATACCACCCACTCGATCATCATCGTTGTACCAATGTGAAATAAAGCAGGACGAAAGGGAATTGGTATTGCTATTCTTGATTCTTTTATATATTACAGTATATGGTATATTATTGTATACAAATTAGGAGGAGGACGATGACGACGACAGCGACGGCGACGATACCAATGTCGATCGGACCAATAGGGGCATTGGATAATGAGGAGACAATGTGGAAATGCCACCACACATGGCCACGACACCGGCATTCATCCCTCTCCAATTGTCCACCATTAACAAATGTCCTGCGTCTTGAAGTTGATAGACTTCGATATCCGGTCCATTTTCATTTCCTTGCAGTTTGCATTGTTCGTAGACAGAGATTCCACCTTGAATGTCCATCCAGTCCCGATCTCCATATAGAAAGCTTACTTTCTTTACCCCAAGTTTGGGAATCCGATCCACCGTGGGCTTTCGTGCATTGGCCGTGGAAGTCAAGATGCGACTCAACATGTCTTCTCCAAATCCTGGAACCATGGCCAAATAATACAAATAATCAATGACGCTCTGTTGTTCCAAGGGATCCGTAATGACGGGAAGCCGTCCTTGGACGTAGGATTCAATCATGGATCTACTTCTGGCGCTAGGCAACCTTCGCGAAAACCCCGCGGGCGTCACTCCAAATTCAAACAAATACCGGACGCTATTGACGACCGATCGTCTCGTCCAGGACATGCGATTGACAAAGGCTTTGGTTTTTTCCTCATCTTCCTTGGGGACTCCCACGGGACTTAACAGTACTAGTTGTTCGACTCGTTCGGGATACTTTTCACAATAGGCAATGCTAATATAACCTCCCATGGAATGTCCGGCCAAGATCATTTTGTCCACGTCATTCGCCTTGCGCCATGCCTCGAGCGATTCCACAAAAAAGGCTTCGGTAGCCTCGACGGTCTTGTCGACGTGGGACAACAATCCAGGATTCCTGGACGACAGACCACATCCTGGTGTATCCAAGGAATAGACTGTTTGAAAGTAATTGCTAAGGCCGACGACATTTCGATAGAAATACAAGGCTCCGTTCATGTATCCATGTAGAATCACGAGTGGCGTCGGATGTTTCTTGCTGATGCTGCTGATATTATGAGCATTAGCATTAGCATTAGCATCAGCATTAGCATCAGCATCAGCATTAGCATTAGCATTCTCATCTTCTGTTGTTGTTGTTGTAGTGACACGGAGACTGTGAATGGAAAGATCGTTGGTCAGTACATTTTCTCTATTAAATGGCAGCGCCTTACTTGGAATGGGCGTATCGTGAGTCGTCATTTGCAAACTGTTGTCATCCGAAGCTCGATCGCCAAAGGTTTTGGCATATTCCATCAATTTGGATTCTGCCTTTTTCAATTTACCCATTAGGACGTCAGGGTTGTCCCAAAAGAAGGAACCCAACATTTGAACGCGACAGGCTACTTGATATCTGGACTGAACGGAGGATACTGTTTGTTTGGTCACTTGTCGGGAGGCCGCTTGCATTCTATTTTTTATGATTCTTTAATTTTTCTGACGATGATTTTTGTTCAAGTTTTCGATCCTCCCCGCCGTCTTGCAGTTTGTCCATATTTTTGGAACATCTTGGGTGTTCGTTCTTCCCTACCGCAGAGCTTCCAAGATCAAATGGCACTGGGACCCACGTACTATACCGGTTCGGTGCGTGTACACCCGCAAGCAAGCAGAACTACGGATTGACGCGCGCGTGTCAAGCTCAATCCCCGTTTCAAAATTCCCGCTGAATTTCAGGCAGCGCAGCCAAATTCCAGCGGCATGGTTGGATCGTATTGCGAAAGTGTAGGTAAGTAATAATGTACCGGTAGCAGATAATACACAATGCCTAAGAAGTTAATGACTAAATTGGTATATAAACTAAGATATACGGTATATCCAAGAAACCACAGCATGCATTCTTTTGTAGACACACTGCCTTTCGATTCATAAAATGTTCCCTTTTTTGGAGTGTGATCCCCACACCCATGATGTTCTTCATCCCTTTTTGTGCATACTGGTAGGTACATACGCCTTCCACCAACCTTTTATAATTTCTTCTTTCCTTCCTGTTTATCATATTGAAACAACCCATTGACGATCTACCAACATACATGATAATCATTCTCAATCCCAATGATACATCACTTTTTTTAATTGTTCGATTGATCGATCCATACCATGCACTCCCTCCAACAACCTTTTTTCTTCTTCTTCGTCTCCCCATTTATTATTCGACAACCCAACCATGCATGGCAGTGTAATGCATTGTGTTGTATAGTCAACAAAAACACACACACACACACACACATACATACAGTTGCACTGTATTTTAAAATTAAAAAGTCGTAGCTTGGGCCACCTTGTCCAATTTTTCTTCCAAGGAAATATCAATGGACAAGACAATGGAGGCCGATCGTGTCGTTCGTACCAAGGTTGGTGATGGATAATTGGGTGGCAAACGGGTATTTTCACGTCCACCACAGACCATGGTGACGATACCTGCATAAAAGCCTCTCCAATTGTCCAACATCATCAAATGTCCAGCATCTGCAAGTTGGTAGACTTCCACATGGGTCTTGTGGGGAGCACGAGATTGTTCGCACGCTTCAATCCCACCTTCAATGTCCATCCAATCAGATTCCCCATAAATGATACTCACTTGAGGGACTTGCAGATGTGGGATTCGATCAATGGTGGGTTGAATGCCATGCGAACTCGATCGCAAAAACCGATTCAACATGTTTTCTCCAAACCCAGGCACCATGGCCAGATAATACAAATAATTGGTGACTGCCTTTTGTTCTTTGGGATCCGTAATGACGGGGAGTCGTCGTTCGACATACGATGCCACCATGCTCTTGGCACGGGATCGTGGAATCTTGCGCAAAAAACTAGCGGGTGTCACCCCGCAATCAAAGAGGTATCGAATCATGCTGGCGGTTTGCCGTTGGGTCCAGGACATGGAATTGAGCATCTCCCGAATGTCTTCTGGGTTTTCCTTGGTCAATCCCACTGGCGTTAATAGCAACAACTGTTGGATTCGTTCGGGATAGGTTTCCGAATACGGAACTCCAATGTAACCCCCAATGGAATGTCCGGCCAATATCATTTTCGATATTCCATTGGCCTTGCGCCAGGCTTCCAAGGCTTCCACAAAGAAGGCTTCTGTTTCTTCTACCGTCCGGCCTACTTTTTTCAAGAGTCCAGGTTTCCGAGACGACAATCCCATGCCCAGAGTGTCTACCGAATACACAGTATTGAAATGATTGCTCAGACTGACAATGTTCCGGTAAAAATAAAGAGCGCCATTCATGTACCCATGTAGAATCACCAGCGGTGTATCCTCCTTGTTGGGATCGTATTCGTTGTTCGTCACCTTGACGTGATGCATGTGCAAGTCTTTTTTCAGCGTTTTATGGTTCTTCAGAGGCAAGGCCTTGGCGGGAATGGAAACGTCTTGGGCCACCATGGCAAAGGAATCCGCATCGCGATCTCCAAATTTCTTGGCGTATTCGATCATGTGTGCCTCGGCTTTGGCTAGTTTGGAGAGATCATCTTCCTTTTTGCAAAACAAACGACTCAAGCCCATCTTACAATCTGTGCGAGCTTTTGTTGTTTTTGTTGTTACGATAAACTACACCTGTTGTTTTCTTGTCTTTCACTTTTATTTTTCAATTGATTTTTACGGATGTTGACACACACACACGCAGTTCTTCGTCTCCTGCCGTACGAGAAATTCGTGTAGTTTTGTTGTTTCAACGACGATTCTACTACTGCCGTCAGCAGTAGGGGATGACCGGCCAGATTTAAGGGAAATCTAAATGGGATTGAATTTTACTATATCGAAAATAGCTTTGTTTATTGCATTAAATGTCCTACGACATAACTACCGTTGCATGAAAAGTGATCGAGAGGACGCACGTTCGACGCATTCCGAAGATACGATCGGAAACCACGAGTAGATGGAGCAAAATGGGCCTGCCTGATACTTTCGCCCCTCAATTGTTAGAAAGAGTTGGTATAATATTATAATAGCTAGTAGTCTGAAAGTTAGGAGTCATTATTGCAACAATCTGGTTGCCATGTACCGGTATCACTTCCAATCATTCCATCATCCTTGATATCAGCAACCTTATGAAGAAGGCCTATCCAAGCACCTGAGGAGGTCGTGGATTCGAATTTTATTGGTTGCGTCGTTTGTTGGTCATTTCAAATGCATGATGATCGACACGAGGAAAATGACACCAGATACTACCAGTACACTGTACTTGTAGGTACAGTAGTTGTTGGTACTATACTGTTGGTACTGTATTTACTATTGCTACGCCAATATGTAGTGCATCTGTACCTATAGTACTTGTAATCATACACCATATAATCATTCGAACCATCACATCATTGATGATTGATGATCGATTGATTGATTCCAAACATCGGTTGGTTTGGGATTGCAATTTGAAATTCGGGTTTATAAAAAGCCTATCCAAGTACCAATCCAATCGTGGAAGGGAATTTTAAAATCCACCGACGAACAAGAGAAACAGGAAGGAACAAGAAGAAGATGACTGACTCAATAAAATATGTGTGTGTTCGTGCTGGAGAAGAGATGATGAATGATGTACTGTAGTTGACACGAGTCTTGTTTGTTATGTACATACCGCACATACTGTATAGATTCCATTCTAGGACTAGGATGTGCCACAGTACTAGGAATTTTAAAGAAACTGTTGGTTGATATATTTCCTCAATCATAATAGTACTCCGTTTTCTTGTTCTTTTATCGAATAGTACTGTCCTGGTGGTGGTGGTGGTGGTGGTTTGTTGGTGAAACCACCATCCAGCCAATCATGGCAGCTGATCTCACCAACTTTTCAATATTCAATCAATCATCATCCATAGAAGGCCTATCCATATACCAGGGAATGAGCGATTGAGCCTCTAAATACCGGTACTCTTGATAATCGAAGATTACCCGGCGCCGCCTCCACTCCTGGGCTTGAATCGCATGATGTAGTCGTTGTCTGGAGAAATCGCGCCCGTATGCTACCATGGGAACTGTGGCAAAAGCCTGATGCTGCTAGCTACATACGAGAAGCGAGTAGGTTTGGCACAGTGGCGAGGTACGAAGTTAGTGACTGGTTTGCGCAAAGGATTCGAAAAGGACAATCAATAGGATTGACAACAAACCCGGACGAAATGGGGTACCGAGCTATGCTGCAAATGAGAGAGAGGGTGGTGACGGCAGGAAGCGGGGAAAAACAAAGCTGACGGTCTTGACCGAGCCCCTTCTATCGTCTCCATCATCCCACAAGCTCCCATTGCGAACCAAATCTTCTGTCCTCTTCGTCGACACTCTTCGCTCCGTCCGCCAACCGTGTATCATACTTCACTGAAGCGGCGCGCCGCAATCGGCCCAACGGAAATTGAGACTAAGGAAGAGCTAGTGACGCCCATACGTCTCCCGTCTTGCCGATCAATAAGACGGACGTGCGGCCAGCTAGCAATGATTTGAAGCATCTTTTTTATGTCTCTTATATATCGGTTGTATGAATCGTTGTGAGTAACTGTAGCCGGCTGGTCCGAGTCATTCAGTCAAAAAAGACAGAAGGGTCAGAATCTCGGAGTGTATTAGTACTCGTGTTTTGAGACTTCAAAACATGAGCATAACACTGTTAGAGAAGGCGTCTGTCGTGCGAGAGTTCCAGGAATCTACAAACTCTACGGGTACCCGACCTGGTACTCGGTGGTTCTGTTTATATGTGTAAAAAGGCTACCAGCCAAAATGACCAGAATCCTTCTCAGCAAGTCATTTAAAACATTTAGTATGAAAGTCTGCGTGCAAATCCATAAAGTTTACTTTTTTAGCCGCACTCGCTATGAAGGTGTGTATTGCTCGTGGGAGAGAAATAAATCAATGAAACCACGTTTGAAAGAAATATGATGTCCATCTCATCATCATCATCGTGGGTTATAAGTTATGATTTCATTTATTCTTCCAAACAAAAAGAGACGCGCTAGCTGAAAGAACAATGAATGAAACAGGTACGACTAAAATAAAAGTTGAATAGCCACACTGCACCTCGGCTTCAACTTACTTCATTTCTTCTCTTTCTCCTATCTGTTAAAATCCTGAGACAGCTCCACAGGAGCAAGGCCTCTGGATTGGGCTTTGAGTCGATAAAGGTAGTTTATACGAAGTTGGTTGATAAATAATCGAATTAATAAATTGTGAGGTTATCACTACTT